AGATTGATGACTGCGAAAAAGCTAAGTACTTAATTTAGAGGTAGGTTTTTGGTGCTCGCTTACCCCGCTTGTTATGCCTTTCTCCCTTAGGAGAGGCATAAAAAGCGGTAAGAAAAGCACCTTTAACCTACCCTTAATTAATATATCATCTCGATGCAAGTGAAATTCACCAGCACTTGGTGTAGGTACAACGTAGTTTGGTAAGACGAAGATCGATGTAGGATCAGTAAGTAAACTGCAGCATGGTCGCAATGCAAAAAAACTATAAATAGCTAAAGCTATACCGATATCTTTCTTCTCCTCCTCTGGCGGTTTAAACAGGTCCTCGTAATTCGTATACGTAGCAGCACTTTTCTCACAGAAGTCTAACTTCTCCTCGATTGCTTCTAAGGCGTTGAGGACTTCCAGTGTCTTGGAGGCTTCGTAGACGTTGTCGACGTCGAAGATTAGAAGTGCAACCTGTAGATACAACATTGACTATAAGCTAAGTACACTCACCCATACAACATTGATTATAAGCTAAGTACACTCACCCAAGGGCAACGAAGCAACCAAAGCGAAGCATTCACAAGCCATAAGATAAACTGATCTTTCACCAGCTCTTCCTGCATCGCTTGACATTGTTCTTCCACAGCCACACACTTCGCCTTGTTTTCATCCAACATGGCGTTCGAGGTATCGGTCATGAACTGCTTTGCGTCCGTGAGTTTGTTTTGGACAAACTCCGACGCTTTCAATTGCATCGACTCCAGCTGCACTTGGTCTTCCATCGAGATGGCGACTTTGTACACCTTCTGCAACATGTGGTAGATCTGTTCGACCTGCTGTTGCTGCTTCAGGAGGAATTCTTGGGGATTAGAGAAAGGGGGTGGAAATGTGGGAGAATGGGAGAACAAGGAGAGACAAAAATGTGGAAGACGGAGCGACAAAAATTATGAGTAGTTGGTTGAGAGCTTATTGCCCACCTGCAAGTATTTGACTATTGTTATTACGCGTTATAAAGAAAATAAACCGCTCCAGCATAACTAACAGACTAATTAGATGATCGTGGCATCCGCCGTAATGTTGGTGTGAATTTCCGTGTAGTTGTGCACGAATTGCGCGTAGTTCGACAACTTATCCGGTCGTTGGTCCAGAATCTTGTTAACGCCCTCAAAAGCGTGCGAAGCCTCTTTGCACAATGAGCTACCAATCGTTTTCAGCAGAGTCTTCATGCACGTTAAAGCCTTCTCTGGGATTGGCGTCAACTCGGCTTTGAGCTGTCTAGCATCTATCAGGATGAAGCCGACGTTGTGAGTGACTCGGCATTTCTCTACAGCTTCTTCAAATTCCCGCATGCGGGCCATTGCCTGAAATTGAGAATGAAATGTGACAGTTAGAAATAGATCAACTTCTTGCTCTCGATCTCTGAGACTGATTATATATGACATAGTTGGATCTTACATGGTTAGCTCTGATCTCACCTGATCCAAATCGCCCACATTGTCTTGTGTATGGGTCTGCAGGAACGCCGTCTCATCCCAGCGCTGGCCAAAAGCGTAGACAGGCCTATAGAGTTTCTCAAATGTCTCATCTGCATAGACGGAAGCCCTCTGTATTTCCTGAGTGATGCGTGTGGCGACACTACTAGTGTACTCCGCGAAAAGAGCGTTCTCTGCACAGATTTCGGATATGCTCAGTGTCATGCTTTCTTTGGCGCCTGGTCTCTGCTGGTCTGGTCGCAGGTACTGTTCATATTGCCTGCACATCAAGAACTGCGGAACAGACGTCAGAACCGCAATAGCCGATTGCCACAGGTTACTGAGCATTTTCATGAAGGCCTCCGCATCTGGCTCTAGCGCCATGCCATGAAGGTCGTCTAGTGCACCTCCTGCAGCAATTTCGCCGAATTTGACTGAAATCGCGAACAATCGGTTGGCTGCCTGTCTAGGATCTCCTTCTACCCGCATGAAGAACTCCCTGGCGGCTTCTATCATGATCTGCACCGAGCAACTCTGGAAAATGTAGTCCACTAGTTGAATACACTCTTGGATCATCGCTTGGTCCGCGGTTGCTAGTTTCTTTCTTCTGGCCCGCTCCTTGGCCTCTAGTTTCAATTGGACGATGGACTTGCCCTTGGCTTCGTCTGGAGCGCCCAGACCACCAGCGTCGTCGCCGTCACCGGCTGCACGAACCTGTGTGTGCACGGACAACATTGCATTATGACTAAAAAAAAGGAAAACAAAATCAGTAGATTCATTTTGATTATAATATCTTAAAGTAGTTGTACTAGAGTAAAACTAACTATTTATTCTGTCTCAACAAGCTAAGCAGGTGCACCCGGCGACTTCTATCAAAAAGCCAAAAAGATATTACCACTTTCGCAATCAGTGCGTCTAGTAAGGACACGAAGTGATCGTGTCTCAAAAAGATATTACCACTTTCGCAATCAGTGCGTCTAGTAAGGACACGAAGTGATCGTGTCTCGCCTCCAACTCTTTGCCGGCACTAATCTGGCACACTTTCTGCAGGTCTATGAACTCCTGGAGCTGGAAGTATGAGAACTGTTGATAGCTCTTCGGATCTGACAAGGCTAGAACTTTCACCGAAGAGCACAACTCGTGTCGCGCTTGGAAGCATCTGGCTAAGTCCTCTGCGAATAGTGGCTTCACTGAAGATTAGAAGGGATTCATGCATGTTGGATTTCGGTTTGTGACGATGAAGAGCATGGCATCCCTCATCAACGATGGTGTCGTGAGAGGAACGAATGACGAAGGACATCATACATCGGGTCTAAACCAACAATTCAGATTAGATCACGCCTCAAAATGATGAATGTCAAAAGACTACTCTCCCTGTAGTTCATGAAGTCATCTGGCGTCCTTCTATAAGAGGGGCAACCAAAAATTCAGATTTCTGCCTTAAAAGAACAATTTCTTCGCCAACTGTCTTCTCTTCTCCAGATACACGTCGTATCGCGCGTTCTTTCTCCATGTCCCGAAGATCTTCGATGCCGCATAGTTTTTAAACGTGTTCATACTAGCTAAGACGTTGTAAGTGAGCGACTCTGAGATCCACTCTGGTATACTCAGATACTCGCTGGCTTGTCCGGGTTGACAATGCACTATGCCCGTCGGGGATATCGTGAAATACTCACCGTTCACCTTCTTCTCCGGTACTGCTATCAAGTCGTATCTATTTTGAAAAGACGTCAAGTAGGTGGAAGATGGATACAACTACACAATCAAAGTGAAGTCGTTGTATCTGTATCTATGTATAAGTTAAAGTTTAGTGTAATTGGAGGCATCACATTCATAATGCGGCAGATCACTACAGATGTCACAACAAGTCCAGTGAAATTCTAAAAGCTGCAACATTGCAAAAAAAATCATATACACAAGTACGGTCTAAATTCCACAGGACTCGGCGGCATACGGTTGCAGTAGACTATCTTCAATCTCGTCGTCGCACTATTCCTTGCGAAAAATGAGATAGCGTCATCTCCTGTTTGTATTCCCTGTATCTGCTCTTCCACCAAGGTTTCGATATCCACTTCTGTTCCTTCCGCAAAGAGGTGCTTCATAGCCGCATCTCTCGTTAACATGCCTACTGGAGTTTCGGCCACTAGTGTCGGGTCTAGGGTCTCTCCAGGTGCTACTGTGGGCTGTGCCACGTACATTTTATGGAGCTGCAGAAGATGCTTGTGGGGATTAGAAGAGTAGATAAGAAGAGCGTACGTGGATGATCTCGCCCATCGTCCCACACGAACTACAACTACTGCTATGCAACATTATATTATTCATTTGAATAATAATCGCAACAAATATTAATATTCATTGTAGTTTAACAATCAGAAAGTAGAAGAGTCATAATCTCTGCCCACAATGCTTCTTCGTCGACTTCTTCTTTGTGACTACTAGCCGCCTGCGAAAAGACCATTTTTGGCCCTGTATCCGACAAATCCATCTTGCCCACGCTTTGCGCCTTCTGTATCCTCGCCGCCAGCTTCCCGAGATGAAAATCATCCTTGTTCGACTTGAAATCCCAAGTGCCATGTTTGTGGTCGTAGGCGTCTAGAGACCCAAAATGAGTGCTTTTCTTGTTGAACTTCTTCGCTGAAGCTGAAGCTGGATTCCTCTTTGCTTCTTGAAGGCACCAAAGCGCTTCTTCTGACAGCTTTAGTTTCTTCAGCAGTGGAAGATTCACTGAGAGTCCTTGATTTGTTTGACCCTGTTGCTTCTGTCGTTTGTTGGACCCACCAGAAGAGGTGGCTCCTCCTTGACCGGAAGAGCCAGCCTCTGTTGGATCTACTGATTCTGCCATCTTGTTCTTGCTGCTTTTGTGTTGAAGACTTCTAGTTGTATCTTCGAGATGCAGATGTCTCGTTCTCGTTGACCAAAAGACAAGACTAGTATCTTCCTCGCCGAAGAAAGATGTTGATGCCCGTTGGAAACTAATTGTAAGTCGTCCGAGCGCTGCTTCGAAGATGCCAGGACCAACGTCTTCACTTCGATTCTACTTCAGTGCAGTGTGCATTCGCTTCAGCGTGCCACGGAAAGAAGATCGTCTAATCGTAGAAACTGTTAGCCGCCGGTATCGGGCCCCACCCTCGGCGCATGTGGGGGCCTATGCGCGCCCCGGCGCGAAAGAAGCATGATTAGACCTTTGTGTCTTGCTGAAGAGCAGCTCTTTTGGTGGGCTGGTGATACACTTCTTCACGACTTCTTCACGATTTCTGCAGCATGAGGTTGGTTTTTTCTAATGCGATGATTCCATCTATATCAGTGGTATTTGGACGCATTCTTTGCTGGACACGTTCTTTCTCCAACTTCTTTTCCTCAATCGATGTGCCGCTTTTTCTCTACTTAGTTAGAGCGACTTCGATTCCTAGAATAAGAAGATATCGATTCCTAGAGCAAACCTCTCGAGCGCCAGCGACAGCCGACCCCTCCAAAATAACGACAGAAGCGAATTCTCTCTCTGCGTCTACAATTTTGTTGGAACAACGAACATTCTTGTCAGCGACTTTGATGTTGTGGACGAAATATTAATCTACTCTATTAACGAGCGTATACCTACAGCGTACGTTCTTAACGTTTAACAAACAGCAAAAAGTTTTTGAAGCTTCGAAGCTTCGTGGGGTTGCGACGTTTCATTTATAGGTGCTCTACCTAGACAACAGCGTAAGAGAGATCGGGTAGTCGTGTCCTCTATGAAGGTACGTAAATGAAGTGTGGCAAAACGCGTCGGCGGCAAGCTGAACCTTCAGCGGTAGCATCGCAGAGCACCACAAACTGGCTCGTCTTTCTCCATCACCACAATTATGCAAAAAAATAAGTACAACTAGTAGACGGGATCCCAGATGTCACTGACACGTCCATTCACACAGAGAACAAGCTTGACTCTGCATCCCCTACTGGTCGGTGCCAGACGCATGTCATGTATGTATTCGTGATATCGGCTTCCTCGATGAAGATTACAGCACATCGTATGTTCCAGCATTCGGTTCCTCCATGAGACCCCGTATTTCTGACAACTCTGCATGATCTAACGCTTTTGTGTGCAGCTCCTTCGTTTGCGGTGCAGAAAATGACACCCGGATGCCCCCGCTGGCTTGAATTAGATGATGGGATACCCAGTTCAGTTGTGAACGGGTCGTGTAATGGTCAGGATATCCAGGGGTAGAAATTCATGATATCCAGACCATTGCACGCCAGGATTCTGAAACTGAGCATTCATATGATATCTGAAATATTCTTTCTTTCATGGTCAGGATATCAATCTATTGTGAATAATAGTTAAAAGTTGTTCCCCTTGATGTATGAGTATTGACTACTTTTGACTCTTCAAGCCACTACATCCGCTTCTGCTTCGATGTAAAGTCGGGTGCCAAGGCGCTGTGAGTATTGGGTTATCCAGCAGTCGTGTAATACACAACGTGGTGAACGGGTCGTATAATGGTCAGGATATCCAGGGGTAGAAATAGAATTCTTTCATGGTAAGGATATCAATCTTTAAGTTGAAGATTGAGTTGAAGAGAACAGGAGGACTCACGACTAAGAGCACACTAGAAAACACGAGAAGTTGTCAGACCATAAGAGAAAATAGAAGAACGACGCGGCTTGGACAAGCGTGAGAAGGTGAAAACGGCCAAAATAAAAGGCTGACAGGTACAACTCGTATGCTCCGAACGTTGCTGTCCAACTGTGGAAGGGTATTTTTTCCAGTTCATCAAAACGAATAGTGCCTGTATTCTACCAAGTAAATCTAGTGCGTGCAGCACCCTCTTCAGTCTATGCCTAGCAGCTTAACAAGAGCGAATCAGAAGCAAGCACCTGTAAACTCTCCAATCCAGTGCGGAGAAGAAGCAGGCTCGATACTGTGGTAACAATGCGAGCGACTCCAAGGCTCGCTTAAAACCGACAAGTATTAGAAGGAGAAGGTAGTTGGATGTATTTCCAACGTTATAAAAAAATACATGCATGTACTCTTCCTCGTGGTAGTGACAATGAAAGAGAAAGATGCTTCCGCTTAAACATTCAACATATTACGATGGTCATGGTCATGTACTTCAAGGCCGACCCTAAATGGCCGTATTAGAAGCAAAACTTACACAGAGGTAAACTCATGGTAAGGACAACAATCAAGTTCAAAAATGACAAGAACATTACGACCCAACAATCAAGTTCAAAAATGAAACAATTAATAACAGGATCTTCTTTCAACTGCCATAAAATAAAGGCCACTGTTCCAGGTCCGACCGACCTCAAGGCAGACTCCAGATTTGCGCTTGCTACTGCTCGCCTCCCTCTTTCTTGGAAAGAGCCATCGCCGAGTAACCCGTAATGGACTATGAAAGGGGGACTTTCTTTTGAGTAGCCTCCACTTAAGCCTAGGAGAAAACCGTAATGGAAAAATTATACCAAGGGAGGGCAGTACGTGTGTACTTAATATGACAGGACTTTTAATAGGCGGAAGATGCAGATGACACTACTTTCGAAATGCAGATTTGATACGACTATGAATATGATCTTTTGTTGCGAATAGGGTTACGAACGACCTCCGAACAACTATGAATATGGTCTTTGTCTTTCCTCCATAAGTTCTGCAGGTAGCCACCCGTCAAGAATCTTGTCCGCTCCATCTGCATATTCGTAGTGCACTAGTCCCACCATCACCGACAGCGCTAGTGCCGAAGCTACTAGTGTTCTTTCGGTTGCGTCGCCAAGACCGTATTTCCGGAGGTTGGGGTAAAAGAGGATGCCTGAAGATGAAATATGTGTCAGATCCTCATTCATTCATTCATCACTCGCAAAAAATCTGCTACATTTATCGTCATTTGTTTCTTCACTCAGTCACTCAACGATCTTCTGAAGACGAAATATGAGTTCGACTAAAAAGGGCACTAGAACCGATATTAATAAATCAAATACAATTTTTAGTTATAAGTAGAACCTAAATCATACAATATTATTAATTAGTTGTACTTATAAGTACACAAGCATCCCTGTCCCAGCACACACGTCCATATCCACCAATACGCGGTTGACAGTTGCCTCAAAGCGCAATTACAGAGATACGTTAGCAGAAGTAGACCCTGTGTGCGCGCACTGAAACCCTGGACGGATCCTCGTGACAATACGACGCACATGCATCCGCAGAGCAACTTAGAAATGGTCCTGCGGCTGGGGGGAAGCAAGACGGTGGTGGAGGAGGGGAGTAGATCAAGATACAGTCTGAAAGGGGGGAAGCAAGACGGTGGTGGAGGAGGGGAGTAGATCAACATAGCTGAAGAGACATTCTGCTTATATTTCGTTAACTCAAGTGGATGATATTTCACCCGATGTTGAGTCTGACGGTAGTACTTCTATAATTTTCGTGATTGCAGTTTGAAAGTCAACTTTAACTAAGCGCTCGAATCCGTAACAAAGCAGAAATGCACTAGTCCTGCATCGATTTCGAGCCAGTAGGTAGCGAAGCTAGGCAAGATGGAGCCTCCATCTACCAAACCCGACGTGGGTGATGTGCTCGTTTTACCCAGTACAGCCCCGGACGAAGAAGAGGATGATGAACCCCCCGTTGAGGACGACATATTTTTGTAATTAAGTGGATGTGGAGTTACCCTTACTTCAATAGGACTAGCACTGGCCAGTTCTCTTATACTCAAGTCTAAGTAGCAGTTTTAGTTTTTGATTTTCTCACCTCTTTTGTCGTCCAGTAAGGATTCGTTTTTCACGTTTTTCTCCATCTTCACTCAAATCGCTCGCCACCTCTTCGTCCACACTCGCTCGTGGAGAAAGCACCAGAGCAAGTTCTGTGTGAAGTCATAGTCATCTCTTGAAAAAGAGAGCCTTAGTTACTTGCTTTCAATGATGTAACATCTTTTCCTATCGAGGCTTCAATGAGCTGCGTTGACACAATGCGTTTGTCTGAGTTTGCCTCATTAGAGTTGTTCTCGAACTATCAAAAGGGCAGCACTCTTCAACGAACTTCATTCTCTCATTTGCTTACAATACCTTTCAAATTCAAGTTGTGCACGCGCAGCAGTCTTCTTTGTAATGAACAATCCCCATCGATAACTTCGCCACCACGATCAAAAGCGTCAATCCAACTGCAAACAGCTCACGCTTAGCAAAGGTCCGCTTGTCGAGAAGAGCTAGTGAATTCAGATTTTTAGCATCGTCACCACCCACCTGGACCTGCGCCAAGCCCAACAGCATGCAGTGACTCCCGAAAATAAAGAATAGGGCAAGGGAAATCAGCAGTGTCGTTATCACACCACCGACGCCACGCCGCTCGATGATGGTACCATCTAGATGTTCCGCAAGCACGATTCGGTAGGCAATAACATTGCCACCACCAGCGCAGAGAGCGCCAACGATTCCAACCCAAGCGCGTTGTCGCAAAGACAGTCGGAAGACACCAGATTCGCGTGAAATAGGATCAGAAGCAGGTCCCTTATCCTTCGTTTTCTCTTGATCCTCGCTGCTTCTATTTGCTACCGCAAGTTCGTTATTTCTCGGAACCACCGATAGCCAAGGCACGTAGAGCGCAGCTAAGACATTAAAGCTACTTACACAACGAGTAGGAGGTCGCGTTTTTTCATTCACTGAAGAACGAAGTGCTTCGGAAAAACAACATGGTCAGTATGGTGCGAAATTTGAATTACTTCTAGTCTTTTCCCCCGTCATAAAAATCGCACAACTCAAGAAAATGAAAACGTAACCGACCGCGTTGATCGCAACGTCAGAGTCTCTTTCTGCTGCCATTATATCTCTACCTGTACAGTGTACTTGTTTGCTCTTGTTTCGCTCCCTGATAAACAAGGATTAAAACGTCGCTGGGAGGTTTTAAGACTGCACGAAAAAGTTTTTTTTCAGTAGAACATTTCCTTTCTCTCCTCGATTGACTAGGTCACAGAATGAACTCACTCTGATCGAGAATGCATACAAGAACAACCGTAGCGAACAGTAGAAACAGAATGAGAATCTTGTATTGCATAATCTGCAGCGGCTGGTGTGAAGTTGTCACTACCTGTGTCTGGCATGAATACACACATTTTCCACTTGTTCTTCGACTTCGCTATGAACGATTACTATAGGTTCTCTTATTGCAAGTTGCACACGATGATAATGAAAGCGGAACTCAGCGGTGCCAGTACTTTCCCGCCGTGGTGGTGGTAGCGGTTCGTTCTCCATCAAAACTAACTATCGAAAAGACAGGCGAAAGCCTCACTTTGGTATAAGATCTTTTCCGATCTACAGAAACATTCCTTTTTGTGCTTCTCCAAAACTATAACTTCTACTAGTATCGACAAGAAATTATAGAATCTCTGCACATCTTCTCACTCCTGTGATGAATCAGAGGAGTGGGAAAACGGACTAGACGAGATTTTTAATCCTAATTAGCAGAAGAAGATATATTATTCATCTGATGTTCAGTAGATTATCCTACGCAACAGGTCGTGGGTCGCTGCTACCGAGCACGACACGACCATCATGCAATGACCTCATAATGAAACAAGGAACATCAACTACATCCAGAGTTAGTACGAAACGCAGACTAACTCATCGGTGAAAATAATAAAACCATACATAGTAAACAAGAACGACAGATAGTAGTTCAAAAAGAGGATTTTTCATAAAATCTTTCACGTTAGAAATCATTCCGGATGTTAAGAGGACCTTGAAGATTAGGCTCCGAGTTCTTGTACCAATACCTCCTGATATTTGGCCCTCCTTCTATAATTTTCTTCTTCAAGAATAGATACACGTACACGTTATCAACATAGTACAAGAACTCGCATTTCGTTTTTCAAGACACAAAAGACCTTGACCTTCAAAAATATCCGGCAACATCACAATGAGCTTCTTCCTTTTGTAGAAACGCTTCGAGTTGCGGTTTGGGAAGTCGCTCTACTGCTGTTCCTCGGTCCAATTGCAAAGCCCTCGACGTTTGCAAGGCAGTCCTGTCAAGTCGAGTTTTGCGGATGATAGGACCACACCTGCACTGCAACGGAGTAAACATAAAATTCGTACGTTCCTCGCTACAGGCGGTGTCGAGAATAGCCTTTGCTAGTCGGAGAGAAGCACTGTCACTAAGGGAGTTGTTGTGCGCCACCTCGATCAAAGGCGTCATCCCATAGTACGACGCGCTAGCCAGATCCGGTCTGAACTTCAGTATCGTAGTCAGAACTGCTTCCGCATTGGTAGTTTCATCACCATGAAGTGCATCCAAGGTGTGAAAAGGCAACAAAAAAGCGCCTCTGTGTGCCTTGTAGAGAAGTAATTTCAAAACTGAGATCGTATTCGCCTTGTACGAATGCTCGTCCGCAAGTTCTGCACCAGGATAATCAAGGCCCATTCCGTGTTTTTCTCGCGAGTAATTAGAGTCCGCCTTAGTGATGCGTAGATGAAAGATGCATCCTAGACGAGAGAGATCCTAGAGGACGCTTTTTCCCCATTGAAACTATTAAATCTTCTTTCGAAAGATGAATGTCTCTCAAGAAAGAATGTCTCTCAAGAAAAGAGGCCTTAAAATACGTCCCCATCGGTGAACAGGCCAAACGGATCACTGCAGAAATCGCGGAGATCCATTGAGAGGTCCAAAAATGATCGCCACGCCGCTGAGCTCTTGGCATATTCATTCCATACGTCTTTCGTAAATCGTCTGCCCTGTTTGAAGCGATTATCTTTTCCACCGCCTTCGGAGTGGGTAAAAGCAACGAACGCTCTCTGTTTTCAATGTGGGAATTCGCTATAAACCAATCAGATTGATCGGAATAGCCAGCCAGATGGAAGCGTTTCCCACGATTAAACTGAAAGTCGAGATCGTTTGCAAACGTCGTCTCCATTAAAATCCTCAATGTGTCAACGGCTCCAGCCTGTGCGGCGGCTCTAATGAGACTTGGACAAGTGTACGGTGTAAGACTTCTCTTAGAGGTGGTACTTCTGGGGTTTATTTTGGTGTTCGCTCGTTGCCCCTTTACTTAGTTGGTTCTTCTTCTGCCATAATTTCCGTTAATATCAAGACGGAGACGGACAAAACTAAGAGTCTAAGCCTAACGGTAATTAATATGTCACAAGCGATCATTAATGCAGCGTGTAAGGTAGTAGAAGAAAGGGAAGAGTGATAAACACCAAAAGCCTAGGACTCTCGTAACTTCAATAGGAACCCAAGGTCGGCTGTAATCTGGCTGCTCTTTCAATTCGATGAACATATTCAACGCTTTCCTGTCGTTTGAGGCAGCTAGCAATTGGAGCGCTGTTGTCTTCGTGTACACGAAATTACTGACGTGATCGAATCTTCCTCTCGCGCCGCCTAGCCCACCAGAAGCCTCGTGCAGACCTTCTCGTAAGACATCCTCGCGCAACAAGAGTCGAAGGGCATCGTGATTCTTCGACTGAATCGCGATCGAAATCGGACACCATCCAATCTTCATACCTTTGAGCATGGTCTTGCTTGGCCAGAGTAGTGCGGTGTGGGCACCGATAAGGGAAGCAGGATTACTCCAATCATCTAACCTCGGATTGATCCACAAAAAACGCGGCCCAGCCTTCGAGAGAAGGTAGTCCAACACCTTTCTGTTTGTGTTTACATTGTTTGGCGTGTGAACTCCTGCGGCGACTGCGACAAGCACAGTGATCAAGGGTGCGTGGCCGCAATAGTTGTACTCCACGAATTTTTTTATTTTTTGCAAATCCGAGTCGATGATCGCCTCCTTCAAACTCCAAGACATGAAATGTCCACTCGCTGCGTACTCTTTTACTCGGTCAACGAATGTCCTGGGAGTGCGTCTCAGGTTGCTGTTGTGATCCTCAAAGTCCTCATTCTCGTCAGGCATTGCTTTTAAGTTGCGACAGCGTACAAAGGATTCCGCCTTACCCCAAGCGCCCTCCGTATCTTGCACAATCTTAATTAGTAGAGGCAGGAGGTACTTCAGGTAGTTCTTGATCGATCCTCTAGAAATTCTTGACCCCCACAGAGATCTAGAACTAGAACTCATTGATTGATTGATATGCCTGGCAAGAGGTCTGTTTAACTATTGCATATCTTCCATCCTTTTCCTTTTGGTTGATGCCCTTGAAAATCAGCAGGTCATAGAAGGTATGCAGCTCTTCTACTCAGAAGATAGTAATTATAGATCAGAGCGCCAACTTCTACTTGCAAAAATCCTTCTTAACTTCATCCAGTTCAAGAGGTCCTTCGCAAAATGTGTGCTTGTGTTTGTACGGGAGTTGCTCCTGTTGTTCTCGGACTCGGACTCCCTTCGGCCAATCATCGGCGCATCACGAAGCGACCTAATGTTAAAGGTCGACATTCATTGGTCACTGATTCTGAAAGAAAAATGCCCCATGCCTCTCCCCTTGTTCTCCCTTTGTTTTCCCCTGTTCTCTAAGGAGAGCCCCTCTGCGATCTCAGTGACCAACGAACCCCCATGACCAAGGAAAGTTGAGCCTTAATAGTGGTTGTTCCTTCGTTTCTTGAGAACCAGTCTGCTTCGTCTTTTTTCAATGCCGCGACCAACGCTTCAGCCTTTCCGCTCACAAAATCTTTGTCTGGCGAGTGGAGTAGGTACGAAGTAGTGCTCATTAAGTGCGCCGAAGCCAGAAAAAGTTCAATGCTCTTCTTCGGTTCTGGCAGGTCTTTGGCTTTTTCCACACGCTGGACATCCTCCCAGAGTAATCCACGTAGTTCAGCAGCTTTTTGCATCTCTTGTAGAAGGTCAATCGACTTTCTAAGACGCTTTCGTTCCGGAGATCCTGACAAATGACGGGCTGACGACGGTGGATCTGCAGAAGGTAGACTCGTCGCAGCGACGATAGTACAACATGTTGTTGTACTATGGTGCAACAGAAATAGCTGGAACGGTATCTTCAAGAACATCATATTGGAACAAGTTGTTTGTTGGACACAATACACACGGGCGCTTGTTTACGATACGGTAGTCACTTAAGTGTACCTCTACGGAATCAGTCTATTGAAGCAATACGAATAGCTTGATTGCCATGACCTCACAGAACAGTTTTTGATGTCAGAACGACCTTATGCGGTGATAAATATGCTTTAACCACAAGCACAAGTGGTAACAAAGATGCTAATACGAACCGAAATGTTTTTGAAGCAAGTGAAAATGTGAAATATTCACAGCTTTTCCTGTGTTTCGTTTTAGAGGAGAATTTGATACCTCTGAGACACTTAACAGATTATTTCAACACGACACGGCTACCAATGACAGACTCGGTCCTTGAGACGGAGGACTGCCAGCTTAGTACGCTTTTTCATGATCACCATCATCATCATCATCATCGCTTTTTCAATTTCATTTCTTTGAACAAGAATTTTGCGATGCCGAAGCCGATGGTCTGGCATCATGATAGCCACCGACACTGCGACAACACCAGAAAACGCTATGACAGATGTGAAGGAATTGAAATAAGGGTTTCCGTAATCACGGAAATTTCCTTTTTTGATGCTGCAGGATGTTTGAAATAATAAACGAAGGATGCGATGAGCGTAGCCGAAGACGCGCTTCTGACACTTTTAGAAAAGCACCTTCCGAGGATTGCAATTGCAAAGAAAGTTTGACCTTCATTTTTCACCTCGTAACCTTTCAATAGCTTCTACTACAATCGCATCTTTTTCTCTACTCCCAAACGATCGTGGGAGCAAAGAAAAAACGTCCTTCTCCAAAGATATATGCAATGTTTGTGCAGCTTGTAGTAGAGCCATAGTATCGAAGAAAGATAACATCTTTTTAGTGTGGTCGAGTGCTCCTTGCAGAGATTCTTGCCGCGTTTGTGTTTGATTTCTATTCAGATTAACATGCTGACAACTCGGAGCTGCGCTTGCCTGAATGGGAACGATCACTCTGATCAAATACCGGAATAGAGACGCACAACGTATCCCACAACGGGTGTGTGCCTTCAGGAGAAACACAGCTTCGGTACGAGAGATGTTCGTGTGGCTTCGCAAACTCCCTCCACCAGGACCCAAAGAGCCTGAGATAATCGATCTCCCCACAGCATGCCAAAACGATAAGCCCGTATGTTTCATAATCGAAGCTGCTTCTACGAATTTGCATATACTGGCCATCGTCATGGTCATAGTACCACCTTGTTTCGATGTGGATTTTGCCATCGTTGACTTCACCATTGATGACTTCGTTGACGCTGATGCTTCCCGTGGAAAGCTATTCTGCAGGCTATCTTTCACCATCTCCGTCCAGAAGAGCCTCCTGCGTGCACAGAAAAGCACGACATTTGCTAGCCCCTCTAGTGTGAAGTCGTTTTTGCGACGCAGACAAGCATCGGCAAGGGCTTGCTCTGTCTCTGTAATCTGTAGAGGCGCTTCTCTTTTGTCTTTCTGTTGATGCGCGACTAGAGCCTTCTCCTGGCCTTCCTCATCAACAGTAGGACCCGCCAAAAAAGCATGCTGGATCTTCTCTCCCATCTGATTGAAAAACAAGCAGAAATTACTCAGGTCCTCAGGCTTGCACTCCCCTGCAGGTATGTTGATGTGGTCGGAATCAGCGGGTTCACTGTCACTCCTCGATGACGTCAAGTACCTCTTCCCATCCTCCAACAACAATTTTTCCAAAACTGGTGATCTAAAATTCACTCGTGCATAGGCTCTACAGAGAGAAGACAGTCCGAATGGGCAGGCGACACCTCCGGAGCTTGTTGTAGAATGCAACCGAGAAAGTTCCTTGTCGATGTGCAAGAAAATTTCTCGACTTTCCTCTGGCGAAACGTGCAAGGAATGCTTAGAACAACTGTCTGTAACTCATCTCCAAGGGCATCCCTGAAAAGTATGGGCAAGCAATATTTTTCCCTGGTGATACTTACTACCTCATACGTTTCAACTTCAAGGATGCAGGCAAGGATGAATCAGCTTCACTACAGCCATAAAATAGTAGTTCCCGATAGCGCCAAGTTCTTTCAAGTCCCATGCCAGGGGTAGAGGACTTCCTTTTCTAGTCCCTGGTGATCCGCCTGTTCCGCGCAACTCCTTCGGCTTCATTAGTTTTGTGACCCAAGAAGGTGCTGTACTTTCGTATGATCCTTGTTCTTCATCGGCATCGGACACATGATGCTCTTGTTCTTCAGGCAAAAACACCTCATCCCTGAAAAAATGTGCTAGTTCCTGATCAGACACATGTGCCTTGGTGAAAAGCTGAAACAGTGACGCCCAATCTCTAGTCTGTATCCGCATAGATTTCACCTCATGCTCTACGCGCTTCGCGGCAAAATATCCAGACATAGACTTAGTGGAAGAAGAGGAGGAGTAGAGCGAATGATCATCATTCCCGAGCTCTTTCTTCGCCTTTGCTACACGCAAGAAAAAGAGAGTTACACGCTTGTACACTAGATGCTCTGGAGGCAATTGAAGGTCCAGATGGGCTTTAAACCCTATCTCTAGAGCATGTTTAGCATTCCGGAATTTAGTGGAGGCATACTCTCCGGCTTTCAGATCCCTGGCAAAACTGCGACGTAGACCTTCGAACTTCCCCTTGCCGGCTTGCACCGTCAAATTCGGAAAAGACGAGCTGCTACTAGAACAGGAAAACGAGCTGCTGCTGGAAGAGGGAGACGACGCTATTTTTGGGTGCGAAGACGAAGTGTAATGTGTATTAGTGGTGGAAGAGGAGGAAGAAGTCGGAAGATGGTTCTGAAAGTAGTTCGCCGAGGATGACGAGGATAAAGACGGATGTTGTGTTGATGTGGTCGTATAACTTCTGCAGCAGGTTGTCGCAGAGCAGGCAGTCGCGGTCCTGCCACTGCGCATAGCTACCGGATGTGCGCGTAGCGCATGAGTACTTGCCTTTCTTGCCATTCTTTTGACGGTTTTTATGTAATTATGAGTCAATACGTAAAAACTTCGCACAGTACATAGCAAGTACACGTAGTTCTTTCGGCTCAATCTCTTGGCGGGTAAAACAAGAATCTTGTTAACATTTATTTTGTGGAAGATATATATTGGAGGGCGTCTCTCGACCTTTCAATTTCATCTAAACTTTCTTCATAGGGCTCGGCCGTGACCCGTGATTCTGCGATCATGTCCGACCAACACCAAACCCTCCTCCACTCGCATTTGACGGTAACCACGTGTCAGCTATTTTGCCCAAGCGTAAGCACAATCACAAAACAAGTATGCGTCACGCAATAGAAGAAACTAGTGTTTCACATTCTGCTTTCAAGAGTTAAGAATCTGTTTCTTTCATTCATTCATTTTCGCGGTTCGGGTCCGGCAATGCAGCTCAGAACCAATAAGTCGGAGTGCACTAATAGCATCAGAAAAACTGCATAGATACTCGCCACACTTCAAACATTATCGAGATACTTTCCGACGCAATAAAAACTAAATTCTCGAAGTTACAACAAAGTTCAGAAACGGCTTTTGCGAAACCCAATTCTAGCGCTACACAACATAATAGTGAAGATCTTCAAAATTTTACCTCAAAACCAAGAAACTAGAAACGCAGAAAATAAGACCACTTGACTTCCACTAGCGAGAAACTTCATCTAAGTATTCATCATTCTCCTGAATGTCGTCCATGTCACTCTCAGGTTATCTTTTAGGAACATCAGCTTCCTTTTTCAACAACTACGATAATACGACCACGGCCTTGTCGTGTCTATGTGTAAGTAGAACTTCGAACTATTTACTATGTTGTCTTGCGATTAGAAACTACCACCCCACGCAACCCCAATAGCGTTGTTACATCTCCATCGTGCCAACCTTTCGTTACAATCATTGATTTTTGCTTCGCGTGCGTTCATAATCCCCTGACATATCTTCTCTACTTGTAACTATCTCATGATCCTAGTATTGAAAACTTGTTTGTATCATCACTCCACCATCTTCTTGTTCATTTTCATCACCACCTTAATCATATCCTCAAAGGAGGAACATCCCCTTTGCCCCTTCGAGTTGCTTCACACGCTGTCGGTAGCGAGGAGAATCTTCTCCCTCGAGTTCGCCTTTCTGGGTCACGAAGCGCGTCAGCCGTTCAACCAGACCTTTGTATTCGGCAGCAAAAACGGGTTTGAACGTCTCGTAATGCGGATAGGCAGCGTCGTTGCGCACATCGATCAGGGTTGGGTATCTGGGGATCGATTTGGAGCATTCGGATACATTAATTTGGTCTAATAAATAGTGCATTCGGAAGCGATGACGTGGCAAACATGATTGAAAGGTAACGATGTTCCGAGAGTGGAACCTGCAACCATCCGTGCAAGAGCTCTGTTGTTGTACTAGCTTAGATTATACCAATTGAGTAAGTAGACTATTTCCACCTAGTGCTATTTGTACTAGTTGAAGATGAATATTGCCCAGCTTTAAAGGCTCCTTCCAATCCAACAAAGACAAATGATCATGTACAGACTTACAATAGTACCCAGCTCTAAAAGCTCCTTCCAATCCCACAATGGCGTCTTCGAATGCCACACACTGACTGACATCAGCGCGCATTCTTTCAGCGGCTACGCGGAACAAAATCTCCTTTTTTTCGGATGGGGTCACCGGCTGACCTTTACCGCGTTCCAACTGACCAACACGGAACAGAACTTCTGGATCGTCGCCACCCACAATCATCTCGAAAACATCCTGAGCCAAGTCATGCGCTCTCAAATGTGCCTCTGCTTTGGCACGCGGACTCGAAGTTGCGATAGCCAACCCAGGAGAGGGGACTGCAGCACGAGGACCTGGCAATTTCTGTCTGGCAGCCACGAATTTGTCGATCACAGAGTGGATCTTGGCGGCAGCAGCTGAGGCATTTTCATCCACCTGCTTGATCAGGGACTTTGCGGCTTTCTTCTCCTCTTCGAACAGGGACTCTGCGGTGAGGCCAATGAGCTTGTTTTCGATGATCACGTGGCTGTTTTTGTCCAGTATCTGTGGTGTGGAAAAGGAACGACGAGTATCAGATTCTGAATAAGGGTATGCAAGACGAAACAGATTTGACGACGACGGTGCTCTTTCGCGTGATGTTATATCGAAGTACACAAAATTTCATCAGCTTCAGCACAAAGCCTCAAAGACTCTTCTATTCAGTAGTGCTTTCTCTGTATAGGTATAATAAACTCAAGCTCAACTCGTCCAGGTGTGCACTTTTTTAGAAGTAATATCAATCTTAGAAGAGTACTATACCTTCTGCCAAATATCTTCCGGAGTCATTCCTGCGAGTTCTCGCAGAAATTCGGCTTCCGTAGGATATTGGAATTGGTAGCGCTGCAGGACTGGTTTCATGTACCCATAGTAGACAGGCATGGAATCAAAAAGCGTCCCATCCATGTCAAAAACGAGGACGCGACGACTCTTGTCAGTGGCAGAGAGTTGACCAGAAACCTCGGTGCGGAGATCATCAAGGAGTTTGGTTGCACCGTTTTTTTCCACGATGGAGGAAGAAGAAAAAGTAGACTCTTCTTCTTGTTGAGCAAGATTGGCAGTACAACTAGTCGCGGCCACGACAGCAGTGGAACCTGTGATAGTACTGGAAGCCGAGGAACTCTGCTGCATCGAAGAAAACGCAGTAGCACCAGAAGGACCAACAGATGATGAAAGGTACAACTGATCCTGACGTAGATCGATGATCTTTTTGTATTCCGCACCACTACTAGCTCTTACTCCAGCATCCGAGTCGACGAAAGCGACGCACTTATCCGCGGTAATCTGCCACTTCGCGAGATTTGGATTTTCCCAGACTTTCACAAGTTTCCCCTTGATGGCAGGCGCCTCGCGGTCGACGGCTAAGCACGAGGTGTGTGCTCCTTGGGCACCCGAACCGTAAGCAGTGATCAAGTGATGAACCGAGACATCTACAGGTTGATCATGAGTGATCTGGCGAAAGAGCATCTCGATAATGCAAGCACGAGTTGTAGGATCCACCTGACCACGTTGAGATGAACCACGAGTGATCGTAGTAGAAGATGAAGGTCCTGCAGTAGTAGAGGTAGAAGACCTAGTACTGGAAGCCTCCAGCATCGCTTTTTCCACTCTTTCTCTTTCTGTAGCCAAATGCGGATCAGACGCACTGCTCGTCTCATCAAACCAGAAAAATGGAAGTTCCAGCATGGCAGCCGGATCCGGGCCAAGGGTCACGATGCGCGTGAAGAAGTCCTGCAATCTCTGGGCTTTGCCGAAGCGGTTATGCAAAGTCACCCCCTTAGCATTTTCCAACCTGGCCAGTTCTGCCACCGTAGCTCTACGTCCAAGCTCCGAAACCAGACCCAAAACGTGGAAGCCATCGTACAAACGAATGATCTCCATGACAGAAGAGAGCAATTCACGACGATCATTTTCCTCAGTCTTAGCAGACAAGTGAAAGACGAAAGCGCGCACATCTGGGTGCTCACGCCAAGTCGTGACGTCTAAGATCAAGGAATAGTCAGCGCCTTGGAGTGATTCGATGCCGTTGACTGCGTCTTCAAAACCCATCAAAGTTTTAGGGTGTTCTCCCATCAGTTGAGCAGCAGTGGCGAAGAGTTCTGAACTGGGTTTGCTGACATCGTGATCACGTTCCAACTCCAAGGCCCAGCCATCGGGAGTCCGGCTCACCTGACGCCAGACGTTACCAGGGAAGCGAGATAAGAGAGAAGACCAAGATGCCGCTGCAAGGTTCCAAGGGTCAACAGCAGAATTTCCCTGCGTAATAGCCGAAGAGGACGGAGACGACATGAACCCACTTCTAGAAGAAGAACCAGCTGAAGCTGAAGAAGAAGATCGTGTCCTTGTCGAAATCGATCTCGATGAACCAGAAGCCGCACCACTACCAACTGTGCTCAGCATTGCACCCTGCAGGAAGGAAGATTGTGTCGCGCTCCGTTGTAGGAATTGGTTGAACTTGCTTTTGTGCAGGAAAGATAGAGCGTTCGACTCTTGTAATTGGAGTTGCAGACCCTGATGTCCATGGTGCGACTCAGGGAACAAGACCTCCAAAACATGTTTTTCAGACTTGTGGATACCAACCAACACGTCAAGATGTTTCAGCAAACCAATATGACTCAAGTGGGTGATCAAAGAAGCACGATCGGAACTGGAGGCAACTGCCAGGCGAATATCAAGTCCTGTGGCGGCGTTGTACTCCGTATCAATCCAACGAGCTACGTTAGTGACCACCGGAATCTCGATCGGACGAGTACCCATTACCTTCGTCTCCATCCTGTCCAAGCCATGCGATTTTGCCGCAGGCATCAACTTGTACTCCTTCGGCAAACGATTTTTGATGTCCACGTAGTTCTTGTCGTTGATGTAGTGAACCACCGCTTCTTTCTGGCGTGAGGAAAGAGTCGTATGGTCGACCAAACTACGCAAAATTCGGTCTGGCGCTTGTCCTCCGTAGATGCGCATGAAGGAGTCGTAGGTGAATCGGTGCTGTGAGGGAATCTCGAAGTCCTGCAGTATCTTGGTTTCGTCGTTCCGCGTAGGCACATCGACTCGGAAGCCACGGTCCCACGTGTACCAGTACCACTCCATAGAGTGGATCAAGGTTCCATCGCAATCAAAGCTCAATCCACGCATCAAACCATGACGTAGGAAGAGCAGAAGAAGTTTGGTCTGGATAGCCATGATCGGAACACGCACTTTCGGAGGAGGAGAGGTCTTCGAAGATGTACTTTTGGCTTTCGCAGATGGTGACCCTCGGATCTTGATGCCTTTGACTTTGGGCACTGGTGCGACAACAGCAGCAGCAGCAGCAGTCGTTGAGGAGGAAGTGGCAGAAAGTGAAGTAGGACTACTCGTAATCGACGCTGTTGTGGTAGTTTCTCCGGACGAAGCTGCGGGAGCTACGTAAGCAATACGACTGAAGTTTGGAATATTAGCTGCTTCCCAAGGCAACGCTTCCAGAAAGAAGGCTTTCATCGCAGCTAGTTCCGTTCGTTTTAGGCCAGAAGGATTTACGAGGAATTCGTTGACCCTATCCAAGAGGCCCTTGACCAAACAAAGAGTGCGATCCTGATTTTCTTCATCTTTGAGCTTCTGTCGTGCTTCGTCACCACGCTTGCGCGTACGAGTTGTTTGCTTGCTTTTTTCTCCAGAAGAACCAGTAGATGTCGAGAAAGCACCAGCACCACTAGAATGCGTAGAAGTTTCTTGCGTCGACATAGTAGTTGAAGAGCTGCGCTCAGAAGCCGCCACTTCAGCCCAACTGTGGCCACGCAATTCAGTGCGTTGCTGCAGACACTCCTCCATCGCTAAGACCTTTTCCAATCGGTTCTTTGCAAAACCTTTCTCACCGATAAGGTATACGAAGCGGAGGATTAGAAATGTCGTGAATTTGGGTCTTTTGAAGAAACAACTCAAACTCGATCGATTAATTCTGGATGAAGACTTGATACTAATCGAACTATTGCTTGGTATTCGATAGCGATGAGTCAATTATAAATGTTGAAAAGCCTTAACTGAAACAATTCTGCTTGGCTGGCACCATGCTGCATATTCAAGTCGAGGACGCGGGCGTCGATGTTACCGGAAACAACAGCAGCCTCGATTTTCCTGTTAGGGTAATGTTGAGGATGGCAATGACAGACTGTAAAAAAATGGTAAATGAAGGTGACAATGCTCCATTTGCGTAACAACTACTGGGAGATAAAAACCGTAGTAGTAAGTTACGAATGAAAACTGATGGTCCTTCCTGGCTGGGTGAGCCGAGTCTTAGTAGAGCCTGATCTTTTGGAAGGAACAATCGACGCAAATGCTGAAGATGATGAAATACAAACTCAGAACACTATAACGGAAAACTACAACTACTCTAAGTTACAGTTACTCAGGGTCACGCAACATTCATGAAAAAGTATATAGTACGGGTGGAGCCAAGCTAACTAGAAAAAGGTAAGGTTAGGCAAAGGGTATACAATTACAGAAGTATAGTAATGGCCAAACTAAGTAGGATCCGTGATAATCGTTAAAAGTTGTTCCCCTTGATGTAAAAGTAACTAGTGTTCCTTGGACGGGTATGCACAGTGGGTTTTGATTATTTTTCTGTTGAAATTCATTGTTGTACCAAAAATGTTCATCCGCGACACGGCTTAGCTGCTTGAGAAGCACAGATCCGATTTCGTCTAGTCCAGAAGGCGGTGGCGCAATCTTCTGAGGCGTTTTAGCAGCATCGACCTCCCAGCATGCTTTGCTGGTCAGCAACCAGAGCAATGGCGAAAGGAGTGGTCTCATTTTGCTTGTTGCGCTTGCGTGGTAGATGTTGTTCGTAAACGGAAAGATTTAGATTTAGATGGCTTCCTGCTTCAGGAGCCCTGCGCTTTGAGCGCCGAAGACACGAAGATACTTAATAAATTTTCCTTGTTAGGATACGAGTCGATTCAGTTTCACAACCACACACGACGACCTCTTCACACTTAGAGCAGCGAAAGAATGGCACAGAACTACTCGGCAGCTGCAAGGGAAGGATTTAATCTACTGACACACAGATCCACAACACTTTCTACTTTTAGAATGATAAACTCTACGAGGATTCAGATAGCTATCTGCCTCAGACTACGCGCGTCGATTTGGTTCAACGCAAACATTTGACAGACGCAAAAATACAAGGCAAATAGTGAAAACCTTCAGACTGACTTCCACACTGACAGGACAGAACGACGGAGCACTTGCCACACTTAGGATAGGATAGGAGCACTCACATCATCCTGTAAATAATACTTATCGGCCTGGGCGAGGCTAGGCTGTCGTTGAACACTGTGCCTTCGTTGCTGCATTTTTGACTCACAGTCCTGCTTCTCGACCTTGCCTTCCCAATTTAAATTTACTGCCGGAAAATGTTGGATGACGTCTTTCGACTTGCGCGGCTCCTAGTTGAGATACTTGGCTCCTAGTGCTCAAGAAGCTCGAGTAACTGTGGTCATTTGTCCTCCAGTAGCCAGCGCTAGTACACATTCACTAAGGATGACGATGGAATATGCAACTTGTGATGAACGTGCTCGTTCTACTCGTAGGGAATCTTCTTCGTAGAATTGCATGGAGGTCGATCATCCATCGTTGGAGGTATATATTTTTAGTACACATCATCCGTCTTGTATCATAATCGCTTTGACTTCCTGAAACAACATGTCCCAAACAATCACAAAACTGCACCTAACAAGAAATTGCACTAACAAGAGTACGATCTGTTAACCATGCAAACAAATACAGTGGAGGAAAACGTCAAAACAATTAATTATAAGAAGCATTGTTCTACTTACATTAATGAATTGAATGTATTTTCTAGATCTCTTTTCTTCTTAATTCTTTTGGTAACAATCAGTCTCAATCTCAGGACATAGCAGAAGTCTAACACTAGGGAAAACTACAAGACACTGGACACTAGGCCCCGCGTGTGCTCAGAGATCGTGTATCAATTACAAATGCATTGTTTTCAGTATAAGCAAAGTAGAAAAATAAAAATTATTATCATTTTTAATTAGTACCACTCAGAGTCAAAATCGTATTAATTGGTATAATTCTCGGTAACTTGAAGTATCTGTGTTCATTCGCCTCTTTGGACAAGGCACCTGCCGCCCACACAAATCCACTGATCGACCTGCCAAAGGTGATCCTTGTATGGTCTACGGAGATACCCTTGTCTTTTTGTATTTTTCTTCTATTTAGACTGCGGAGTCTATCATCATTAGACGTTGCTGTTCAAGGAGTAGCTAGGTCAAAAAGTAGGAAAATAAAGAGCATGATAATCACATGAGTCAAAAGGTAGCAACACCGCACTCTGTAGCACCGGATACCTGCATCCTTGTCCATGGCTCCATGGCTCGTACTGGACTCTTCCTCTGTCTTCACACTGCTAGTCCTAAATTATAGTCCCTTCATTCATAACTTCTTAATCCAACTTCTTTCCGACTGAAGTAATTTACAATTCGTATTGCGTCATACCTTCTTACTCCAAGAACTTCTTTCCGACTAAACTGGTTTATAACAGTAGTATATAAAATTTGTTCCCCAGATGCACGATTATTAGGTGTTCCATCTAAGCAGTAACTGATTTATTGAACTTTGTGGTCGTGGACATAACTCTTTACTCCAGCTTCCCGATCTTGGTAACGACACCCTTTTTGATGCCGTATTTGTCGATCACCTTCCTCTCGTGCAGCATATCGAATTCCTCCGTGGCATCCTTACCAGCGTAGATTACGATGGCCTGTGTTATGGTGATGAAGAATTAACCTAAAAATCTAGTCAGTTAGTACTAGTAGATACACGTAATGTTAACCTAGTAGGTAACACTAGATAGACCAGCCTAGATAAGTGTAACCTAACTAGACTAGATAAGACCAGACTAGATATAACTACGACTAGATAAGACCATGACTAGATAGACGAGACTAGATAAGTAGGTAGCCTGTCTACTAGATTAGTGTTCTTAACCCAAGTAGAATATGTTCTTAACCCAAGTAGAATATGTTGTTAGCCTAAAAGGAGAATATGCTCTTAACCCAAGTAGAATATGTTGTTAACCTAAGTAGAATATGTTGGTACCTTAGCGCCTCCCGGATGATCTGGAAGAAACTTAGTCACGTCGAACACCTCTCCGTCGATGATGACCCAGCAGTCACCTTCGGTGTTGTGCTTCGCCACCTCCTCTGCCTTCACCATTTTTTCGGCTGTTTGTCTGGGGACAAAAGGCACAAATTATCACACAAAAGTTGTTCTCTAGATACTCGGGTACAGGTTGTGAAGTTAATTAATGAATACTTTCTTGTGGTCCAAGAGAGCGTTGTGGTCTAAGAAGGTACAGGTTGTGGTCTACGAGACCGTTGGTTCTAACAAAACAACTTCGTGTATAATGTTTGTATGTTCAGGTTGGAAAATTGTAATGGGAGATAAAAAATTCGGTGGAGGAAGATATGCTCGGAAATGATTAGAATCAAATCAAGTAATTGGAATCAACCACGATGAATCAAGGCTGTTTTTTGATCTATGTCCAAAGAATCGAACATTTCGGTTCTAACTGCTGGGCACAAAAAAAAACTCCTCACGTTTTTTGCCTGCATCGATGACACAAAAGCAGATGATGGTAACGATAATCAATGACGATTGAATGTCGATGATAATGCATGTTCTCTCCATCAAAAAACCGCGAAGAAAGCGATGCAGATATCATGCGCCGCTTTTCCTATATCAAAAAACACACAAAGAGAAAATTGTTCTATAATCGCTTGACTCATTCTTGATGCTCGTTCTTGTTTCAGACATACGAGAAAACAACGTTTTTCAACTCTCATCTATAAAAAAACTGTACCTCTTGCATTGAAAACTTTGTCTCTCGTTCTCGTTCAGACGAAACCAGATTTGCATTTCCTACTTGAGAAATAAACACGTTCTTTTCTTTCGTGGTAAAAACTTTTCGCGGAACCACAAAACTCAAAACATTGGATTGCCGAGGGCCTGATATCAGAAGAACTGTTCTTGCTGCGCTAAAAAGAGGTCAAAGTGGTCTTTTTTTAGTTTGCTCAGCTTACTTTCTGAAGATGAGTAGCTGACACTCAGAAATGCGAAAAGCATTTTGTTGTAACGGCCACACCACTGCACACATCTTTCCGACATCTTGCTCGCCCACGAGAGCCAACCCTGCCTGTTATTTAATGCTACACACGCGTGCCTTTTTTACCATTAGGGTGCGCACTGATAACGACATGATTACATCCTTGGCTAGATTCTCTGAGACATGACCAACGTTGCATTTGGAATACCCAATTGTCACTATTCAGTTTTTGAAAAAGGTTGCCTGTTGAATACTTTGAGATCAATGTTGCGATACATGATTGAACGAGGCATACAAGACGCTTGGTTTTCTCACGTCATTCTCATTGACTGATGAATATCTCTATATCATTACATCGACTTGCACACTGTTCATTTCGAGATATATCAAAGAAGGCTAGACTCTTAGACTTCGTATGTAATATCCTGTAGAGCCTGGTCTTTATTTTTTTCTCTTTAGTCTTTACCTTGCCATCCTCCTCCTCTTCTAACTCTCACTGTGTAAGTAGTTGTTGCACAACGTCTTTACCTTGCCATCCTCCTCCTCTTCTAACTCTCACTGTGTAAGTAGTTGTTGCACATCTTCACCTCCCCATTCTCCTTCTATTCTGACTCTCCCACTGCTGAGCTCCTTCGAAGCCGTTGCGTCCGGTTTGGTAGTCCCTAAAGGCGTCCTGGATTTCGGCTTGCGACGTCATCACGAACGGACCGTACTGCACGATGGGCTCGCCAATCGGCTGCGCGGCAACGAGGACGAGGGTATGAAAGTGTGACACTGAGGAATATGCAATCTTAGTTCTGGTGGGTTGAAATAACCTAGTAGCCTATTCCAATTGGGGTCAAGTATATAAGTAATACCCTCATTGTCACTTTGTAGCATCAAAAAGTGCTATCCTTCACTAGGCTATAAGACGACTCTTGGGATTCATCGATCTTCTATGAGTATGACGAGGTCATCCATCATTCATTCATTCAACCTTTCATCCATAAAATTCGCTATCCTTTTTCTCAGCCACGACTTCGACGCCTTCTTTCACTCCCTGTCCTTGTACATTGCTCTGCAACGTGACTGTCGTATGTCCCAACACTGAACGATCTTGCACTTTGCTACCGTCACCTCGTACTGTGATTTCGCAACCTTCTAGGGTATAGAGGAATGCCGTGAAATTGACTGGCAAAGCTTGGCGAAAAGTCGAGCCTTTATCTCCCATTTTGACGTGGATGAAGGTTAGAAGAAGACGAGGTATGAAGTACCTGGGTGAAATTCTACCTGTAAAAATCAACAACTAGCGCGTCGACCTAGAGGTGGATTCATCTTCAGCATGTGCGAAGTGAGGATCACGAAACGATGAGGAGTTTTTTCTTCAACAAGAACATCTTATCATATAAGCTACTTCTGTAGTTCATCCCTGATGTGGAAATAAACATCACAAACCGTTTAATACTTGTTCTATTACACCTTCTGATGTAGTTAGACATCTATTATTACTTCCAATATTATGCCTGTGCTGCAAGCTTCTGTTAGACCCCTCCCTTTTCAATGCAATATTTGCCATAACAGATAGCATGGCGTTCTTGTGCGAACTTGACTCGTGACACCCAGACTCTCGCCAGCTGCGATAGCAACTTGAATCGTCTTGCCGCTGTCATCAGCCGCTTCAGCTCTCGCCAGATCCTTAGCTGGGATTTCTTGATATTCAGGCTCAGCCATTTTTTCGGAACGTGGAAGGTTGATCCACATTGCTGATTAGAGAAGGCTAGTCCAGATGTTCTTGTGGATCTCTAAGTCACTACCCGCGCATAGTACACTAGCAGGGACCGCAGCTATCTGTGGCATATTCTTGACTACTTATAACCTCACTTGCGCTTGTAACTATTTTTCAGTACAGTCTTCTAGGAGCAAAAAGGAAGAGACTTATAATAAGTTTCTCTCCCATAATGCAATCCATGTGCTTCTTTCCTCGTTTCCGGAACTTCACTGTGCATAATACCTTTCGCAGCCGTCATCCACTGCAAATCCGATGGACCTAGCGTCCCAGCATTCCCTTTAGAATCTTCATGCGTCATGTTTCCGGGAGTATTGGGAAACATGTAGGTCACTGTTTCCATACCTGGAGAGGATGTTTCCAGGAGTATTGGGAAACATGTAGCTCACTGTTTCCATACCTGGAGAGGAAGATCAATGTAGGTCACTGTTTCCATACCTGGAGAGGAAGATCAATGTAGCTCACTGTTTCCATACCTGGAGATCAGATTGAGAAGTGATAATAGTAGCCTTTTAATTGAGGAAGATCAGATTGATGGGATAAGATCAAGTAAGAAATTCAAAAAATTAAGAGACTGAGACATCAAAAAAATGATAGAAACGGAAGTAGACGTTTTTCATCGACAGAATTTCGATGGTTGAAAACATATTAGTCATTGATACCTCTATGCGGATGATCTGGGAACCCCGCTGGCAGACCAACTTTAAACTCATCCAACATCAGAAACGGATCCATATTCTTCAACTCTGGACGGCCTATACTCCTGCGGACTCGTGCCCCAGCCCCTTCTCCTTGCTCTTGGGAGACGTATGAACCTTTTGAGATAAATTGTTATGTTGGAATTCGTCTCTGATAGATAACGAAACGGATTTTGTCTAAAACTGAAAGTCAAAGTCGAGAGAGACAATGAGAAATATCTGAAGAAAGGTAGAAATTAAAATCTACCTGCTAATCGAGGTACCAGTAGCCCCTCTCATTTTCGTCGCATCCGAGAAGGCTGGGGGCATTCGGCCTGCCCGAAACCCAAACCTACTCCAGGCCATGGTTTCCATGAAGGCGAAATTCGGATCACTGGTCGCCGACGAGCACTTCAGGTTCCGATTTGTTGATGTACTATTGTTGTTCTGAAACACTTGCTGAACTTGTTCTTCTACCTGCTCCCCTGTGCGAGCACACTGGTCTTCCCTTTTCTTCTCTATGTCGTCTTCACAGTCTTGTTCTGCTTTTTCTAGCTTAGACCAGAATTTAGCATTGTCGTCAGGATCGAAACTCGCTAACTGAGCTGGATCGTGGTGGAAATCACAGGCTAGGGTGCTTGTCACGCCATAGTAAATCGTCGTCAAGCTGAAGAAAAAGACGGTCAATCTGCAACGTCGATTTGACGACATGAAGTCCATCTTTCTTAGAGAACCATCTCTATTGATGCGGTGGCTAGGTGCTGGTCTACGATTTACATTCTTCTGACAAGGAAGTGGCTACGATTTACAAGCTACAACTACTAACACCAGCACACGGCTAACATTTTTTGTTTTAGAAGCTTGGATTACAGCACAGGTTCTGTGCGCTGGGCTCATCAATGCACCCGCCTGGATTTTTTTAGAGAAAGTCGCTTCTTCGTAGAAATCCCTTTTGCTACTTCTCATCCCAATTGACGCAAGAAAAACCTCTTCTTCTTCCTAGGGACACTCGTGGTCTGTAGGTAGAACACACATGAGAGGTTATTGAAATGTGGCTTTTCTGGTGATCCCAGTGCAACAGCCGTAGGTTGGAATGTGGATTCTCCCTGTTTCAACTTCAACATCACTCGCGAAAGATAACGTATTTCGCAATATCAAAGGCCAAGAATCCATCAATCACGTAGCCAAAGAGAAGACGGAAATCAGGTTTCAAGTAGTGCAGGGAGATGTGCAGAGCAAATGGATAGTACAACTTCAAGGCAATCCACATCCAAGCTAACAGGGTTCTCTTCCGTGTGTAATACGATACCTTGCCAACCGTGACATTTATTTTCTGATGTTGCTTTTTCTCCGAGGAATAAGATGATTTCGAGGCTTTCACGTCGTTTAGTTCTCCAACTTTTTCTTCAGCTTGTTCCTTAGCCGCATTCTCGGAGTCCACCTTCGTGGAGCAGTCTGACGTCCTCCTGTGTCTTCTCGTAGTAAAAACAGACTGCTCAGGTGAATCTTTATCTTCAACAAATCGTGTCACGCCATCTTCTCCTGCAGGTGGTCCCGACACAAATCGTGCCACGCCGTCTTCTCCTGGTCCACTATCCTTCGTTTCAACCTCCTTGACCTCGATAGCGCAGTCCTTGTACACATAAAAATGTGCTCCGCAAAGTACGAGAAACACTAACGAGTGTTCTTGATATGCTTGCAGTGATGTCTCTAGAGTATCACGAAGATCCGGACTGCATCCAACCAGTGCTCCCAAAACCGCAGTCGGAGGGCCACTGCATACTTGCGCGCCGATCAAATGAAGGTAATAGAGCACGGCCCAAAGAAGTAGGATCTCCAAAAACAGGCTTAGGGGACTGCGATGGGTGATGTTGCGCTCTCTGTCAGTACCCCAGAAGATGGTACAGAGACTGCCAGTCCACACAGAACGCCATGTGAGAAGAAAAAAGGATCCTAAGGTAATACTCAACAGGGCTATCCGAAAAGCCTCGAAGCCTGTGAATGCCACTAGTTGTTGTTCTGTCATTTTGGATCTTTTTAGTGGGATATGTTTGTCAGTACCACGAAAAGGCATGAGTATCTATGTCATGCAATGATATATTATAAAGTTGTAACCCAGATGTAGATGATTGACTGATCTTGACCTTGTCCATGTAAATATTGGGGATACAAAAATAAAGACCGTTTTCATCATGGAAAAAAAGCAATCTCATAAGAAGATGAACAATGAATGACAAACCAATTCAGCCTGATGTACAACAATGTGGAAGTTTAGGTTTGAAAGTCTTCGTCAAGCATACTGCAGCAGAGTTTGGATTTGGAAGGGGTGGGAAGGAAGAAAGCTTCTGTCAAAAGCACAACAAGGTCGATTTTTGTGAGGTCTGTCAGAGTCCTATGATCCATTAACAGATTTACATGTGATAGAACGTGACTGAGCAAGAAGCTATGCAGCGCAGACAAGTTCCTGGTCGAGGGAGTCAGAGCCTCTCTGTAGGAGAAAATGACTGAAGAACAATTTCAGCTCTGGTTTTTTTCGATATACTTGACCAGATGAGAAATGTTCTGTGCTGAATCCGCGTGGATTTTACGAGCAGGGCATGGTCTTACATTCTCTTTTACGCTAAATCTGACTTAAGTACACTTCTTCTTGGTGCACACAATACACCTCTCAAACTCCATCGAAGTCTTGATACATCTCAGCAGTGGGTACATTGTATGTTGTCTTAATACCCATCCTCTTTTTTGCGATTCGAGAAAAGAAAAACAAAAAGTATCAATGTGAATATTGATAAAAAACATTTTCTTCTACTCCACAAATACGCGCCCGCGCCCGCGTCCTCCTCCTTCTCCTCATTTTCTTCAAGATCCCCGGCGGCGTCAGGGTCAGCATTTCGAAAAAGACGCTTCATATTTCGTCCTCAACTGCTGCGTGTGATAGTAATTCTTCAGGACGAGGATACTGCTGCATATAGTTCTTCAGTAGGGTGCTTTTACTGTTACTTCTTATGTGCTCGTCTCCCTCTCGCCGCAGAAAAAGAGCTTGAGTCTCAGACCCAACGCAATCATGGAGAAGAGTGCACCGAGCAGATTGGAGACTGCAAGCGACCACACGGGCCCACTGCGGCCTATGTAGAAAAGAGCACTAACTGCCCAAAAAAAGGAATTCAAGAACCCCGTGAGATTCATTGAAGTGGACCCCATGAGATCGGTTTTGCCCGTCCGGAGCACTTCAGGCAACACCGCGATGGGATGGCTGAACATGGCGACATTTGACGCAAATGCGAGCCACCCCAAGATGCAGAGAAACCAATACAACGGGAGTAATTGTGGATGGTCGTGATAGTCAGGATAGGCGCCCGTCGCACTCGTGATAGAGCCCTCCGTAAAAAGCTGCTTTGTCATCGCAGCGAAGAACTCGAAGCTTCCTCCAAGGAGTATAAACAACATTGCGCAGACCAGCAAAACAACTACGGAAGCGGAGAATTGAAATGACCACTGAATTGTGTAGCGAGTAGTTGATGTCGGATCCCTGCTATTGGTGTTCCGGTCGCGGACTTGAAAATTCGCCTGTGTAGTTGCTTCGCTTCCTTTCCCCACATGATATAGGGTCGACAAAGAGTCATAGGCTCTTCCTCGAGCTTCCAGGGAATTTTCTTCCCCATCGTCGAAGAGCACGTTGGGAGAATGGTTGAGAAGCTTTTCCGATTCTTCGTCGCATGCAGCCTCTTCCTGCTCTACTTGCTCTGTTTCAGGCTCCTGCTCTTCCGTTCCAGAAGGAGCAACTAGAACTATATGACGCAGCTCTCCATCTTTATTCTTTGCATCTCCTACTTCTTGGAGCTGGTGCTGTCCTCTTTCGCCGCTGTAGACACGGTAAAGGATGGAATACAGGAATCCTGTGACCAGACCTCCAAAATTCACATATGTGCACTGCGAGTTCCTTAAGCCGGTGCCATGTACAAACCAGAGGCCGCATTGCAACATTTGCGCGATAAACGCTAGCGGTGGCATGTCTAGTGACCTTCTGCCACAGATCACAGGCAGCAAGACAGTGAACGGCGCCAAAAACAGGAAGACAGGCAGAATCGCGCAAAAGAAGGACACAACCTCCCGAATAGTAAAATGGACCATTTTAGCTTATGGAACCCGATGTGTTAATGGATCTAATGGACGCTTGCCGACACATTCCTGATGGCCAGTGGGATACCTTATTTTTTTGGGTTGGATATCCCTGTATCTCACCCTGGTCCTCGGTCCAGCGTTCTTCTCGGGGAGGAATTAGTCAGATGTCTACCACGAAAAGGCAGGAGTATGCTAGGATTAGGATTAGGATGCGATCCGCCGTCCGCAGGGTTTAGCTGCATTCTCAAGCGGAATAACGCATCCTCTGAAGGACTGCCAGAAGCCCTGCGTCATATGGCAAGGATTGATGATCATCATATTCATGTAAATATTGGGGATACAAAAATAAAGACCGTTTTCATCATGGAAAAAAAGCGATCTCATAAGAAGATGAACAATGAATGGCAAACCAATTCAGCCTGGAAGAAGCTTCTATCAAAAGCACAAGAAGGTCAATTTTTGTGAGGTCTGTCAGAGTCCCATGATCCATTAATAGATTTACAGAAGATGACACGGTGGGTGATTTTTAGGCTTTTCCTTCCTTTTTCTGTAGCGTGTTCTAAAGTTTGTAAGCCTGCAACACAAGAGAAATTTGTTCAGTTTCTGCCCGACGACCACGACAGCATGATGAACATTTCTATATATAAAACGACGACTGCTGCACTTGTTTTGGCTACCTTCTACTTGCATCGATGTCTGATGCATGATGTTACATTGATTTCATGAGGCATGAATCTATTCTGCATCTTTTTGCCAAAAAACTGTTGAAAATACACTACAACTCACTGACTCGGGATATGTCTTTGAATGAGACTATGCATGGCAGATAGAAACTTGGTGGAAGAATCATCATCTCTGCATCTCTAGTAGTAATCCTGAACTACTTTTCGTTTATTTTACTATGCAAGAAGATGTCAGAACTTGAGCATTGATGGCTTGTTCTCTTGCATCAATAGAGGTGTCCGGTCCTGCGAGCACTTTCATGCGAGTCACAGTTGATGTAGATATATTTTTCATACGAATTCCTACTACAACACAATTTATTACAACGCCCTGCAATACCCACTACAGTAACATCAGAAAGTGATCATGACGTACGACGTTCATTTTCAGGCGATATTTTTTGCTATTGAATTTCACACACTAGAATAAATTGGTTCCTGTCATCTAGGAAAAGATACTGTACTTGATTGCTAAGTAGTTAGAATAGTTCGGAGATGAAGATTGAATGCATGAAGAGAGCACATTTTTCATTTACCTACGTCGACCTGTAGTAAGTACATTCTTTCATATTGACCGACTATATGTATCAACTGTGCAGCATGATGCCTACTTCAAATGTCTCATTATATCTACAGTCAAGCCTTCATTTGCAATGATCGAAGATAAAGCCGTAAAAGAAACTGTTCAAGCTTTGTGTCTCCTCACGCGGATACAGATACGCGGAGCCCGAGCAATCCGCATTGATCGTTCCGGCAGTCATTGCGAAGTTCGCGGCACCTGCACTCGTCCACATATTGCCATCATCCTCATACTTCACAGTACACGCATTCAGAGCACTCCAATTTGCCGCACTAAAATCGGTCTGGTGCGGAACTGAGGCTCCTCGTGAGACACCAATTTCGAATAGGCGCTTGGCTAACCGAGCTGGATGGAAGGCGTTCCAACTCGTGTTGAACATAAAAACACCGGCTGTCCAGGAGAACGTGAAGAGGAGGAATGGCGTCATAAAATCCTTGGTTAACAGCTGACGGCAGTAGTCGACCTGCGTGGGTGGGGAATTTCGTTTCAGTTGTCAGTGAGTACGCGGAGTAAACTTCTTTGCTTCATAGTCTACTACTTGAATCTTCAGTACTGCACATGCTACTGCACGAGAAGCAGAAGCACCTAGGACCGGCGGGCAAAATCCAAAACGAAAAAACAACTACCTTGCTATGCAAATCCCTAGTGTTCCTCCACTGAAAGACGAAGGTGACGATAAGCCATTCCAAGATGTCGACTACGAGAAACGTGAGACCAGCAAGGAAGTATCGACTGTCGTCCAAACCTTTGTAGCCAGCCATATCGACGGTTGGTGTCCATGCTGGAGGCGGGTCGGAAGGAGTTGATTATGGTCCTGCTGCACTAGATTTTCTTCAAAAATGAAAATTATTCTACTTTACTATCATCTTATTTGCAACTATCATTAGCCACAATTTAAAATTTCATCCTATCCAGAGCTAGAACTCAAAGAGCTTCTAAAGAATGAGTACACGCCAACAGCGGTGCGAAGATGAAGATGATGCTGGTAAAGAACTTACAGGAAGCTCTGTTCTGATACCGCAAAAACACAAACCACTGGTACGCGCCGACTGCTGCTGCTAACAGCTCTTGCTCTTCCCTAGTTATTGGCACCACGTCTCGGAAGACGGCAAAGCCTTTTTTCCGTAGAATCTCGTGCTGGGCGGCGGAAATGCCAAGAGCCCCCAATCCATGCTGGCCGAGTGAGGTATCTTGCTCTTCGATATCCATTTCGTGACCTATACTTGTCCGACGCGTCGAGTCCTTCCTTTTAGGCTTCGATTCCTCTACTCCCTTGGGGGCTTCTTCCTCTGTAGGCTTTGGTCCTGAGTCAGCTGCAGCCATTGGATCATCCTCAAGTGCAAACGAGAGGCTTGCTCGTCTGCTACGCCCTGAGGGGGACGACTTCGGCGATCTCTGCGATGACGCTGGGCTTCCGGAACTGACAGATCCGGCTAATATGCTAACAGACGCAGAATTTGTCGCGGCAGCGATTCCTGCTTTATCCTCCTCATTTTCGCCTAGGTCGAATGACAGTGAAGCTCGTCTTTTCCGTCCACCTGGTGCTGCTCCAGCTCCGGGTCTGATATTTTGATGGAGCAGTTCGAGTTAGTTTCTTATCTTTCATACTTAGCTATACCAAGCCATGAGCTTTAAAACTTTTTACAGATCATGTTGTGAAGCCAAAGTCAAAAAGATAAATGTCAACATTATACAACTTTCTATTCTGATCCGCCAGTTGCATGCTTCCACTGCCGGCTTCTGGCCCTGAACCGTACCCGAAGAGTCTTCCTACCTTACTAAAAATTCCATCGGAGACAAGACTACTGGCGCAAGACTGCGCTTCTCGTTCCCTTTTCTTCTCTGCGGCGGAATGCAATGAAGGGTTGGGAGCTTGTTGGAAGAACAATCTCTTCTCAAGATTACAACAATTTAAAACCCAATCCATATAATCCAAGGAACTACAAGCTCAACATAACATATTGAGTTGTTTACTGCAGACGCAGCCGCTACTCCGTTCTGTGCTAGATGATAAAGTCAAGAATAAGCCAGCAAATACCCACTAATCCTTCCTAGCCCAGATCAACATAACTTAAAAAGATTCTGCAACTTCGAGGGCAGATTCACGACGGTTATTCCGTAGTTGTTAAAGACAACCCTGACTCGCATTGATGTCGTTTCTCTTGCTTCGCCCACTCCCAAATGGTCGTTGTAGTCAACCGTTTCCTCCCAGCACACGGCTAGAGATTTCGGAATACCCAAGAACCTCACAAAATCCTCTGTGAATCGTGCTGCTGCGTTGTAAAGGTGGAAGTATCGCGCGATTACTTGGTAGATGTGGGGTAGCCCTTCGACGGCATTGGGGTCGGACAACTTGAGCACGAAAATCATGTACAACTCGGAATATTTGAAGGCTGTTGGTGTGATGAGGAGAGGCTGGAGATGAATGAAGAATGAGAATGAAGAGTGGCGATTGACTCTGGTGGTACTCACGACGGAGGTGTGCTCCATTTAAAAGCTCGTGGTAGAAGTGGGAATGAATGGCTCTGTTGGGATACACTTTAGTGCTTTTCTTTGGAAACTTCTTGACTTCTATCAGGACGAGTGCCTGCTTATCTAAAAGTGTCTATGTATAAGTGCCATGTATGTTTGGATCCCTGATGACACTGTTAGTAGTGCCCGTAGAGATTAGTTCCAAAATGTCCGTATAAGTCATAGTAAACTTTAACGTATGTGTAAGTACCAAAATGCCAGAACTGGTATAAAATGTCCTTGACTATCAGCAGAGCGAAAACCTCCACTCGTGAGAGATTAAACAAGACGCCTCGACCGTAGACGAATCGGATGAGATCCAACAAGAAGTTCATCGTATACTGCATTCGCTCGTAAACGACTGTGTTTTTCTCGCCGTTGTCGTCGAGTATGAAGCATGTGGTCTTGGGTTCACGGAGGAGCAGGAGAGGGGGAAGCGAGATACTAGTGTCCTTATTTACTTAGAGCCGGAGATAGGAGTACAGAAAGAATGTAATGGAACAAGTGGGGGTCACAAAAAAATGGTGTTATTTCTATTTATCTTGTGAACTCCTGTTTCGCCATAAAGTACTGCATCAAAATATCCTGCGCGATCTTGCACACATGCTTACCCCAGAATGGTAGGTAGAGGGAGAAGAAAAACGTCGCCATTAACATCTCGAAGATGGATTGGATCACGACTCCCGTGGTTCCCTTGTCCTCAGTCACCTCTTTCATTTTTTCGAAAATTAGAAAGGTGCATCTTGTAGGTCATTCATTCATTTACCTGTTCTGGAGGTATCTAAATGACGCCTAAGCGACATATAACTTGTGGTGGAGCCGACCTAAGCAACATATAGCTTAATTATTGCATGCGTCCTTCCTTCTTCTTAGCCCTTGGAAAGTAGTCGAAAGTTTTTGATGCAACTTGTTGTTGTTTCCTGAACGATAGAGATTCTAACTCGCTAGTAGACTTCTACGACCATAAAACCAACGCCGGGAAGAAGACATCTGCGAATAGCAAACCACCGTAGAAACCAACGAAAAAAACGATTCCGAACTTGAGATTCCACCACCTCAAATTCCTTTCTCGCACAGTGTATTCTCGAAGCGGTTCGTCGGAGGACTTTTGCTCGCTTTTCCTGCGCCAGGGGAATGAACGGAAAGGACGAAGAGGAGGTGAGGAATTTCATGCTCCTGTCTTTTCCATAAAACTTAATAAATAATGAAGTCTTCCAAAAGTAAAATCTTAAACAAAGCTACGCTTAACACGAGCACAACCTTCCAATTCCAACCATACCCTCAACACCAATCGGATGAAGCAATATTGGCCCAAAACCACGCTCATTCCGGCTACCATTCGCACTAGACTCATCCTCGAACTTGGATCAGCGTTCGTGCTCTTGCTGAGTGTTACATACACTCCTCCGACGATGAAGATGAAAACAAATGCAGCCACACTAGCTCGCCACTTCAGTGGTATCCTCATCTCTGGCGGATAAAAAGCATAAACTAGGCCCATGACGCTAAAAACCGGACAGAACCACCAGAAGAATCCGTATTCCACTAGAGCGTGCCAAAGAAATCCAGGTATTGCACGGTCTACGTATTCGTGTTCGCAGTGGACTAAATTTCGCATGACTACGTAGAGTAAGACTGGAAAAGCGTGGAGTATGAAGGAGGAGCGGAGAGGTATCGGGGACGAGGGCAATGAGAGATCGTTTGAGGATACATCAAACAGAAGATTCTACTTACTTGGCTGAAAGTCAGCCCCTTTAAATTGCACTAAACTTGTCTTGGAAGGGTAGCTCAATGATCCTTAAATAGCGGCGCCGCTAACTGCAACATGAACATCACCCTCACATGATTATGCACAGCGTCTTCCAGTTTTCATGGGTTCATGGGAGTTTCGCAGAGATCCTCCATGGAAGACGCTGTGCATAATGCTGAAAGCCAGCCCGCCCTTTAAATTAATTGCACTAAACTTGTCTTGGAAGGGTAGCTCAATGATCCTTAAATAGCGGCGCCGCTAACTGCAACATGAACATCACCCTCACATGATTATGCACAGCGTCTTCCATGGAGGATCTCTGAAGCATCACCCCTCGCCCACCGGCTGACGCAGAACTTCCTGCACTATCGATAGACCGAATTTTCACCACCGTGTCGATTCCCCCTGTTGATGGTGAGCCGAAAGCTCCGCCTGTATCGATGAGTAGTTGTAACCGTTAGGGTTATTTGAACCAACAGATACAACACGCACAGAAAGCACATTACCTAGCAAGTTTCTCTATGTATTGAAGCAAACTACAACCCGAACAAACAGACCTTTCTTCCTCCCTCGCACGACTTTCTTCTCGCGAGCTGCCTCTGCCTGTGCATTTGCCGCGGCTACCAAAGCGTCATCGTCCAACAAGTCTTCAGGCTTCAGCAACGTGGGAGCATCTGCCACAGCGGCATCATTATCTTTGTTTTCGTCTGCCATTTTTGCTTTTTGTCCCTGGGACGAGCTGGCTCCAATGAATTATTTATCAAGCGAAGACCGGCCGTGATCTGCTTGCTGCAATTCGCCAAGCTGGACTTTCCACCAAAATCAAGGTGCAATCGTTATGCCGCAGGAGTCCCCAAAGTCTGCTATGCTTACAAATCCATTTATAGCTGCGTCCAAGTCCAAAATACTCGTCAACCAAGTCCAAAATACCTCGTACTGCCGTAACAGCTTTTATCGCCGTGTTACCCAGTACCACAACGTGAAAAAGCAATCATCGATTCAAAGGCCATGTCGCTTTGAAAAGCGACGTTGTATCGCTATACAATCACACACGACGATTTGGAAAGATTATAGATAATTGGTCTGCAGACCATTTTTCCTTGATAGTTTACAAGAAGAGCGTCGGAATTACTTCGATGAGAATTTCATGAATTAATACACAATCAATGTCATTCCAAGAAACATCAATTCACGGCAAGAAAAAAAACAACAAAAAAGGGTTCCGCCTACACTCTCACCGACAATATGCAACAGATCCTCAACAACATCTTTCTGTCTGTTCAATGTGGACTTTCTTGCAAAAACAAACAGAAACTCAACGAAGGCGATCATCATTTTCAGTCGCTGGTCACACGAGGACGACTGTCTTTGCCTTTACGTGAAGAATGGACCGAGGACCGACAAGAGACCTTGAAAAAGAAACTCCACAAGAGCTCGCAAGAATACTGGTTAGGCTGCATGAACAACAATACCGCATAATCGCGGCAAGGCATGCCGCCAGCAGCTTCGTTTTCTAGTTCTTCGAATCGGTCATGATATGCAGGGGAAAAAAAGGTAGACATGATATTGTGGATAATGACATTCTACTCGCATTGCTTCATTGATTCATCTGGGTAACATCATCATCAAGGAGCAACTGCTCTCGCACCCCTAGAAGGCCATTTGAATGCACCATAGGAGTGCAAAATATAGCCAGCAGCAGCAATCGGACCCGCTATAGCGATCATTTGCAACATCGCAAACATATGATAGTCGCCGGGATCCATGGCAGCATCATCGGGGAAAACGACGAGGGATGAATTGAGCTGCGTACCTGTGAGGATTGTACGCGAGGGAGAGAAGTATTGCCAATTTCCTTTTGTGGTTTTATAATTTCGAGTTTTCTCGTAGAGTTTTCTTCGAGATTTTTATGGGACGAAAATATCTTCTCAAATGTAACGAAGACGAATGGTAGATTAGGTCCAAGTGTTACCTGTTTTCAGTACTACGTAATCCTTCCCGGGCGTCAGTCGAAGCTTCTTGGTCAACACTTCTGAGCCCTTTTCTCCATTATTTGTCGCTGAATCTCTCGCTTCTGTTGAACCATCAGTCTTCGCTAACCGGACTTCGTACTCTCCACCTGCGATCCCATATACACGGTTGAAAAAGACACGTTCTTCTCTGGTAGCCTTCCCGCGTTTGCGCGCATCTGCCATCCATAGGCTGCCGTCAGTCCTATCCTCAGCAACCGCATCTAAGAAAGCTACCTGTGCGTCTGGACGATGCGCTGGAGAAGTTGTAGGGGCTTGATGGTGGTACAGTGCTCAGGTTAGACGCATGTAGGAGTAGGATGTGCATGTGGTCGTGTAGGATAATATTCATAGGAGAGAGTGATTATGATCTTGGAGCAACTTTGATGTCAACTACAGGTAGGTGGTTGAAAATTATGTCCAACTTCTAGTAGAAACAAATGCTAATCGACAAAGCCATAACTTCCCACTAGCAAGCACAGAAATATCATGGTCCAGCTCCTGAACCGCTTGCGCCGCTGACTCGGCTGCCGGTGAAAAACCGAAGGACTGGAAAGCTAGCAGCTTTGAAGATGGATCTGCTAGACGCTTTTGGACCTAGTGGTTGTGGGTAGATATTAGAAGGACCATCAGGTTCAAAAGGGTCTAGTAGATACAGCAAGTAGAAGGAAATCAAATCAATAATACGATCAACAACAGCACGCTATCTCCCTTAGGGAGTTCCCGAACTTCGAAACTGCCCTTGGCTTCTTCCTTCTGGAAGTTGAAACCAATGCGATCCCCTTCGTACAATGCGCCACGGATGAAGCGACAGTTCCTTTTAGAGACAAGACTCTGCCAGAGTTGTACTATAATGCTTGAAGGGCTAAGCCTATAGAAGAGGTAAAAACTAACGACCGGTTGTTTTTTTTTTAGTTGTACTATAATGAAATACATAATTCAATGACCACAACATATTATTGACGTACACGCAGTGAGTGAAAGTGGAACTCAATGATCAGAAAAGATTTGACTTTGAGATTGGGATGAACATAATATTATCGGTGGAGCACACCTAACTAGGAAACAAAAAACCAAAAGAGTCAAGTAATCCAAATATCTAAATAAACTAAGTTGTTCATTTTTTTTTTACTTTGAGTTTGACTTTGAACATAATATTCGAATGCAACAACGCATTCTTCTTCGGGGAAATGTTGTTTCTCTGCAGGGTCACGCCACTCCACTCTGGCACTGCGTTGCACACTAGTAGTTTCCGATGCTCTTGTCCAAACTTCTCGGATGTTGTAGTACTAGTACTTCTAGAAGAAGTAGGTGGAGCCTTTGATTTAACTCCTAGTATTCTGTTTCTCGGCAACGCAGCTGGAAGTTCAAAAGCAGGCTCACTAGACGTGTGCCGCCATCGTGATGCATCGACTCCTGTGGTGGGACACAGGATTAACACCACGGAAGACAGAGTGGTCAAGAGCAGTGGCATCTTTTTAGCTTTTCTATTGGCTCCTGAACGTTAGTCTTAGTATTTAGACTTATCAAGTTGTATTTTGCAGACCTAATCCACCCACCAGTCCCCACCCCGGAGCGACCCAACCAACCTCTAATGTTGCGAACGCTTTGGTTTGTCTTTGTTTTTTTAACTCCCTCTTCTTCTGTTATGACAGAAAATGATAGCGATTTTTTCTGTCGAGTTTAGCCTCTATAAATTCATCGTAGTTTTATTCCGTCTGTGTTTGATAATACAACCGATGCCATATTATATTCAGCTTGTTGCACTCTTCCCCGCTCTCTCTCTGCAATTATACGATTTTGTAAATATCATGATCATCTCAGTTGGAAACGGTACTATAACTTCTTCTTGCGTCACGGCTCCGGTAGTTGGAAACGCTACTCTGACCTCTTCTTGCGTCACGGCTCGCCCTTTCATAACAACTTTCCGCAAAAACAGACCGCTCTACAGAAGTCTGTGATAAGATTGAGTTTGGGTCTTGGGAAATTTTTATCTACGGAGACGTCAGTAAAATGTCTTACCGTTCGTTCCTCAAGGGCAAGAGGTTAAATCGTCTATCAAACCAGCCAAAAAATAAAAATTCGAGTCCCTGACACTATCTGCTCAAACCTGAATCCAGGTTTCATTCTGCTCAATGCCCCCTAGGTATCACATCTTCATTCGGATCTACCCACTCCCTTACATCCACGATATGTGGAAAGTAGTGCTGGACAAGTTCCTTGATTTGGATATTGAGTGTAATCCCACTCTTTGGACAACCGCTACAAGCGCCCATCATCTTGAGGTAGACGACGTTATCTTCAGTCTTCACATACTCTACATCTCCACCATCCTGCTGGACAAAGGGCTGGACGCGCTCCTCTAAGAGCTCCAGGAGCTCTCTTTCGAATTCTTCGGGGGAGGCGGCGCCGGTGGACTGTAGTTGAGTGTGAGTAATCAAATTTAGGTGATGATTGAATGATACTTCTATCCATCTGATGTTGATATATTTTGTATTGTCATTCTTGTAAAGGTGAACAAAAATCTTAGCCTTTTACCTACATCCCCAAATTCTTGTTCCTATATTTTGTACCCGAACAATAAAAGTTATATATATACAAACTGGAGACTTAACCCCCGGGGATCCTAAATCTACTGGTGAGTTATACTTTTTAGTGCTGTGGCAGCACGGTAGGCTGGCTCGGCAGACCCAGGTCTTTGCCGGCGCCGGTCGTTGCACCTACGGCCCATAAATTTGCCACGGAGCGTGGCGGGAGGCCTTTACCTCCCCAGAGAGAGTTGCACACCAACGTCCGGGTGTCGTAACCCCTCTCGCGGCTCGGCCGGTGTTCGTGCACCGTCGCCCTACGAGTCAATCAACCGGCACCCGCGAGGTTTCGGGTGCTCGCTCTTCGCGTCGGACGCTTTGGTCCGGGGCGCTTTGGCCCGGGTGCGCGGCTAATCCCTCGGCAGTAGCAGGCGTTGTCCCCCCGCTGGGGGACAAGGTCACTTTGAACCTCCAGCCCTTTGGGCCATCCTTTCTCGACGCCTCCTTGGTGCGCCTTCCATCCTTTTCCCGACGACTGGAGGTTCAGAACCGCCAGGTGCGTACGTTTTTTGTACCCGGTACTGCTTTGAGTGCCCCTGAGCCGCTGCTACTGGCGCTCTTTGGCGCTAGGGCCGTCACCTTTTTGGTAACGGTATTCTGTTGAATCCGCCCTTTCTTCTGTAGCTTCTGCTTGGGGGTGATCTTGATCGTCCGCTTGACCAAGGTGTCCTCTTGGACCGCCTTGGGCTGCACGAAGACGCGCGGGGGTGGACCCCCCCCCGAGGGCCACCGCCTGCGCAATCCGTGCAGCGGGATGAATTCCGAAGCCTCCCACGTTTTGTGGTCGGCTGTGTACTCGTCCCACATTTTGCTGGACTGTTCCCAGCCCATGTGGGTGAGGAATTCATCCTCCTTCACGGAGATTTTCCCTTGCTCCCACTCGCGTCGCGTTGCCAATGCGAGTCCTCTCCTGCAGCTGTGCAGCGTGCCGCTAATTCCCTTCGCCAAGCTACTTATCCTGGCCTTGCCTAATGGGAAATCAGATCTCATAACAGCGCCTTCGCCGTGCATCGGGCAAAAGCGACTTCGTGCACCAGCTGTTTTTGCGTTGGTGTCGCAATTGCAGTGGATTTCTATTATCCTACCGCGTTGTTTGCGGATTTTGTCTTCGGATATGTGGATGCGCCACACGTCTCCTTTTTTGGAGATGTCCGTGTCGTCCACCGCCGCGATGCTGTCGCCCCGCAATCCCGATAGCGCCCAAAGGAGGACCATTTTTTGGTCTTTTGCCTTTAGCGCCTCGAGCTTCGTACCCGGTAGGAAAGGCTTTGCTTTCCTCGGGTTGTGGTCTTGGATTGTTCGTTCAATTGCCTTTTCCACGTCCCCGATGTTTCGGAGAATGGCGGGGCTTTCGACTAGCCGCTGCGGGCCATCCGCGGGTGGCGGTTCTACCAGCCACATGATGATGCTGGATGTGTACTGCGCGACTGAGGTGTATTCATTGAACACTAGGAAGGCGGCGAATCTTTGCACCGCCTCCGGCCTCACGGGTAGCTTTTCACCCTTGGCCGCTAGCCAGTCGAGGAAGAAGGCGACTCGCGACTTTTTGTTTCTAGTCGTGGAGTCGGCTTCTCCCATGGCGCGCAGCTCGTCGTCGTTTAGATCGACAGCTTTGCGCAGTGCGTCCGCCCGCTTCGACATTTATTTAATGTTACTTTTTTATTTATCTCTCGCTGTTGTTCCCTCTAACGTTCTTTTTAGTTTTTATTTAGTTAGTTTGTTCTCTCGTCCTTACTTACTTTTTTGTCTAGGCTGGTTCGTGCGGCTGCTTAGGCGAACCTCCACCATGGATCTTGGCCTCCTGCCGTATCTCATGAAGTGGTCTCCCCAGCCTAGCTTCTTTACTTACTCGTAACTCCTTCCCACTCTGTTTTCCCTCTTTTTAGCTTGACGAGATGTAACACGTCACTCCCTCGAACACTGCGCCGCCGCCGCCGCGTTTTCCCTTTCGGCCACCAGTCGTCACTGGTGGTTTGATTTGTTTCCTCCCTCTCAACTAGAGTGTTTTTTACTCTGTCAAAAAGGACGAATTTATTGTTCCGCCACTAACTTAATAATGGTCCGGTGCCCCTGGTAATTTGACCAGAGGGCTTATGGCGAATGCTTTTGCATTCTGTTTTTCGAGGATTTGTTGTCCTCGAGGCCGGTAGCCTTTTTCTTCCAGCTAGTCGCGTTCTAGCTTGTGCGTGGCTCCTTCCACCACACCGCGAGGGAGCGTTTGCTCCCAACGTGCTCCTTCACGTCTCTCCCCAGGAGGATTTTTCCCTCCATCACTCTCGATTTATCGGCGTCGATCGCGTGAGCGGCTGTTTTTGCGCTCGTTCGATCGCTTCGATTTGTTGCGGCCACGATTGTCTTTTTCGCGACTGTCGTTGCGATGCCGTTGTCCCAGCGGAACCGCGTTTGCGTCGCTTCGCTGGGGTCCTTTCGGTTGGCGGCGTGTTCGGCCGTTTTTGGCCTTCATCGCCTTCATCGGCTGGACTTTCGGTTTTACGAAGTCTTTCGGGTGGCGGATTGCTTCCTTGTCCTTCGCTGCCGCTCGTTTTGCCGCTGTGCCGGTTGGCTGCTGGTTGATGTTTCGCCCTGCCAACCGGGCCGAGAAGAGGACTTCGGCCAGCTCTTTTTGCGAGCGGATCACTTCTGCCCACGTTCTCTTGGCGATAGTGATGTCTGGGGGAGGACGGTTGCGGTCGATGAGGTGGTGGTGTGTGCATTCCAGGTGTTGAGCGTCGTTGCGACAGCCTGACTGCACCGCATGCGCTTTGTGCGCGTGGAACCAGTGGCATACCGCCGGCGGAAGCATGAGTCCCATATTTTTCAGGGACTTCAATGCGGACGGCTCCACTAAGCCGGTTTGAGGGAAGTACACGTAGTATGTGGTGCGTGTTCCTCCCTTCGCGTTTCGGCGCTCGGCTAGCACCACGTCGACACGTTTGTCGAGGCGGCGGTTGTGGACTGGGTCCATGGCCGGGTTGAAATCTGTTTTTTCCAGATCCAAACTCTCCAACCAAGTGTCGCTCGGCATGGTTGTGCCCGTGTCGTCGTCCCCGCCGCTGTCGGCGTCGCTGCCGAACGGGTTTTGCGGGCCTTCGCTCGCCGATCGCTCTCGCGATTCGCTGCGGCGGCGGCTGTGGCTACGAGAGCGCAGTGTGACTGTCACACGTTCGCTTCTCGGCTTGCCTAAGCTCGCCTCGGCGTCTCGCATGGAGAACATTTCATTTTTGATTTCCTCCATGTTCTCCTTGAAGAACGCTTTTTGGACGGGCGGTTTGATTTTTCCCCCGTCTTCCTCGTCCGTGTAGCGCGCCTCGTCGATGAGGTGGAGACCGAAGTGGTTGTACCAGGCCAGCAGGTTGAACATGTATCTGTTCACCAGCCCGGTCTCCCAGCGCTTCATCTTCTGCTGGAGCGCGTCGAGGCTGCGGGAGCCTTCCTTCATGAATCCCAAGAACACCATCATTTTTTTGATGGCGATTTCTGGGAAGTTCTCGTTGAACTCGGTCATGAAGTCGAAGGGCTGCAGGTCGGTGGCGCCGTTGATGGCGCTTTCCACGCGGCGCAGCGTCTCCCAGCACTGGTCCAGGTTGCATCTGTCCCAGTAGTCAGCCGGGACGCTGGCGACGACCTGTTTCCGGACCAGGTTCTGGAACGCGCTGTTTGTGCGCTGCAGGTTGTCTCCGTTAAAGCCTGCGATGGCGCAGTTTGAGACCTTGGGTTGGTTTTTTCCCACCTGGGCTTCGCCCCAGATGCCTGCGGCCGCGTATGCTCCGAAGAGCAGCGCCAGCGCCTTTTGGTTGAGGCGTTGGCCTGCCGTCGTGTTCAGGACGCTGTTTTCGTCCACGTCGAAAACGGAGCGGAGGCCGTGCTTTTCCACGTGTTTTAATAACGCGGTGAGCACGTGGTTCGCCTGCTTAGAGGCTTTTTCTCCGTTCGTGAAGAAGCAGTTTTTATACTGCTCCTGTGCGTCTGCGACTTCCTCGCCCGGAGTTAAGACGGAAGGCCAGACGACTTTCACCTCTGTTTTCTTCTCGACGCCGTTTACGCGTCGGTAGACGAAGAATTTTTCTCCTTCGCTAGCCGGGCGCGTGTCGTCATAGGAGAGGATTTTGTCCTCTCCGCTGCTGTTCAAAGCCGTTGCGATGGCCTTTGCGGTCTTCTTCGCGAACGTTTTGAACAGAGCTGCCGTCTCCGGCGGCTCCTCGGAGGACTCTTCGCTTTTGTCGGCGAAGTCCACGGAGTCCTCCTCCTCTTTCTTTTTGGCTTCGAGCTCCGCCTTGCGCTGCTTCTCCTCTTCTTCGAGGAGCTTTCGGTCCTCCTCCTCGTGCGCCTTGCGGACCGACGTCCACGGCGTCTTGGCCGGCTTCGCGTCCCAGTCGTTGAGCACCTCTTTGTTGGTGCGCTCGATCAGGTAGCGGACTATCACCTCCTTTTTGGCGGTCTGCGCCGGGACTTCCGCCAGGTTCAGCTGCGGGTTTTCCTCCCGAAACTTTCGTTTTTCGGCGAGCTTCGCGCCGGCTTCAAAAGTCTCTTTTTTAATCAGAGACTTCGAGGCCCAGGGTTCGGCCGTTAGTTCCTCGTGGTATGCGCCCAACCACAAGTGGAACCACATCAAGGTGGTGCCCTGTTCGGTTAGGGTTCCACCTTCCCCCACGAAGCGCGGGTCCTCCAGGTCTTTTTTGACCGTGTCGATGAATTCCGTTTCCGGAAGTTCACCGACCATCTGTCGGAGTGCTGCAATCCAGTCCTGGATGTTTGCGCAGAAGATGAGTTTATCCTCATACTGCGTCTTCTCCTCCAGCTGCTTTTGCAGCGCCTCCATGGCCTCCGCCATGGAGGGGTGAAACAGTGATCCGTCGATCAGTTTCAGAAGGGCTTTGCCCTTCTCGTCGACGTCCTCGCTCCCCACAGGATTTTTGCCTGTGTGGATGACGAGGTCTCCGACGCTTTTCAGGGAGGTCATTTTGTTTTTTGTTTTGCTGAAAACCAGAGTGCGGGGGCACTACTAGTCACTAGTTTCTAGATTGCGATTATACGCGCACAGAAAGTCCCTGGATTTTTGGGAAAAAGAAAAGTTTTTTGACCTGCCCAAGCTAGCTTTCAGCTTGAGGTTACGAAAATGTGCTGCCACAAGCGCCAAACCCTCGCGGCGATTTTTGCCCCGCGAGGGGATGGCGCGCCGCGCGCGCGGCGGAACTCGATTTTTACGAGCTCCCCAGCACCCCCCACTGGGCGCCACGCGCCTGCCCACCGCACCGCCGGAGGGCGCGTTGGCCCTCCCGCGGCCTACGCACGAGCGCTTTGGCCCGTGCGCCGGCAGCCCGCTCCGCTCCGCTCCGCTCTGCTCCGCTCTGCATGTGAACTCCGCCCCGTGGGTGTAGCATTAACGCTCTCACCCGACCGCACCCGAGCCTCCGCGGAGGCGCGAACCGTGGTTCGCCTTCGCCGAGATGCGCCATTGCATCGACCGGCGGCGTCGCGCGTGAGTGCATTTTTTGCACCGCACACGACGGGGTTCGCGGGGCCCGTTGCCCCCAACCCTCTCCCTAGTTGGTCCCTCAGCCGACATTTTTTGTCGACTGTCGTCCAGGAACCTTCCAGAGAGCGTATCTTTTCTCTCACCTAAGTTAACTCACCAGTTAGTATAATCACTTCCCCCGCAAGCTCCTCCAGTGCATAAATATGTACTTACATAAAAGTTATATAAATAAATGTACCTCCGACTCCTCGATCCCATCAGCTCTCGCATCGCGCATTCTTCTCTCCCCATCGCCAAACCTTTCTATTAAGTCTTTCTGCATAGGCTCCAGTCCAGCCGCGAAGAACTGGCTCATCACCAGTTCAATATTGGGCTGCACTAGGGTCCAGTCGATATCGGTTTGCTTTGTTACCGTGACATGTCTGGCTCCAAGCATGACACTGGCAACGCCGTGTACTTTGAATAAGGCAGTGGCAAGGAGAGAGGTGCCTTGGGCTGAGGCCTTGTCGGTGAAGGTTTTCGTTTTAGCCGCAGTGCCGAGGACGTCGTGGTCTTGGGGGTAGAACATCAGGGATTCTGGGTTTGGAGTTTCTTCGGCGATGACGTAGATCGTACGCTGTTGAAATGGGATGTAAATTTTGTTCCATGTTGGATGAAACAACTGCAGGTCGAGAATAAATGAACAGTGTTGAGGTATTATAGTCTTCAACTTCATTTGAGAAATTGAAGATGACTAGACTAAGCTACAACAAATGGAAATAAACAGGCGTTCATCAAAAGTGACGTGGAAAAACCGGCGTTCAAAAATATACCCAGAGAATTTTGAAATACCCTTTGACTTCCGAACGCGGTTCTGTTCGAAGAAGACGAGGAACCGCCAACGGTAAAACACGGGACAGACGCTAAGGAGCTAACGTGAGAAGCCGATGTAGCCGCGGCTCTAGCTGGTCGCAGAACAGACGACGCTGGGATCGTCCTGCCAGAAAGGACCGCAAAGGCCCTCCGAGAAGCATGGCGAGCCGTTGAGACTTTCATTTTTTTGCTCAAATCGCTTTACTTGTTCGATGATGAGGTAAGATATGAACGATATCTAGTCCCAAGAAAAGTGAATACTACGGAAAGGGTGTATACTTACTTGACGTGACTCTATGATTGTGCTCTTGTTTGACAAGTCTGCTATAAGAAGGGTCGCTGGGCTGTAAAAAAATATCATGGAATGGCTTATGACAATGATGTCGCTAATTGCTTTTTCGCTGCCAAGAAAGAAAAAACGAAAATCAAATTCTTGCATTTAAGTAAGTTTTTCAATGCCTGTCGCTAACTGAGCAAATGAAAACAAATCAATACTTGGGGGTCAAAGTGCTTTCACCGGGGCTCTGGTTGTAGGGAAAAGGGATTTTAAATGAACTTTGGGATGATATGGATATCGTCCTTTAGAAGTGAAGATATGGACCTTCCATACACACCGTCTGGAAGATTGATGCTCTCTCTCTTCTAAGACGAACATACAAGGAATGAACAAAAAATTCTCTCATCTCCACGTGACGAACACAATGAATCTCCTTGCGTTAGAAGTCTTCAGTCCTGTCAATCCGGTATTCTATTTGGGTTCTCTGCAGACAAAAGAACAAAGTCAAGAAATCAATTATTTCTGTCGTGCCAACACTACTACCTTCAGGAGTAAAATCTCAACATAAGTACTCAGATCACCCAGTATCCACCAACTGTCTTTTCATTTTCTCAACATACAAATCTCTTTGCAATGACCTCAACGCACTTCCCAATTGTCTTCTTTGTTTCCTTTCTGTCTCTAGTCTTCTCGCTGCATCCGAAACAGCTTGTTTTAAGACGTCGATTTTGGCACCATAGTTTTGTTTTACGTCTCTCAAAGCTGAATCTAAAGAATCTCGTTTGTGCTCCGCATCTGTCAAACTCCCGCGTTGATGCAGAAGCTGAGAAGTGAGCTGGTTGCATCGCTCCGCAAGAAGAGTGCTGCGCTGTCTTTCTCTTTGTAGTTTAGAACAGAAAGCATTCAAATCTAAATGTAAATCTATGTGATAGATTCTCGAAGATAAAAAAGATGCCAAAGTGAGACATCATGCTGTACTATGTATTTGATTGCCGAACGCCCATCCAATCTCAAAAAAAAAAGAATGAAGACAAACCATTCTCGTCCATAACTAGAGCTTCCTTTAAGTCCATCTCCGATCTGCGCAATGTGTTCACTTCAGCTTCCTTCTCCCGCAGCAACAGGGCCGTCCGTCTTCTTTCTTCCGATGCTGCGCTAAAAATCGCTCGTAACTCATCCGGAGGAGCACTCGAACTCGCAGCAGTAGAGGTAGTATTTTTGCTAGAGTTCTTGCTATGGTTCGCGTTCGAAGAAGAAGATTTCAAAATAGAAGAAGACTTACTAAACTGTTCTTTATGTTGCCTTCCACTCGTAGGTGGTATGTTAGGTGGATTTGGATTTTCTGAGTCCTGGTGTTGATATCGAACACGACTTCCTCCCCCTCGAGAAGTAGCACTACTTCGACCACTACGTTGATTCCTAGTAGCGAAAGATGACTTCGATCGAAGCTGTCCTGGAAAAGAGCAAGAGTTTTCCTGCAAGGACACAGACTCGTCCTCAAGTGAATAGGATCGGAGATCGTCGTCAGACAACTTGCTGAATTCGTCGTCCTCGTCACCGCGTACCTCATGATCGAAGGTGTTCGACATGATGATATCAATTTCTTGAGGCTTTTACAGAAAAAGGATGCGTTATTGAAATGTCGCTTCTACAGGACCATGTCGGTCTCAGTTTTAGCCTGAGTGCAATCCTATCATTGTGCTTGTGATCCCGCTGTTGACTTCTAAACTTATTGTGATTCTACAACTAGACATTTTTGTAAGGGTCAGCAGCTTTTGTAAAAAAAACGCTCAAGTCGTTCGACAGCCTTTTCTGGGTGGCTTTTTCCACTTTTCACTTTTTGGTGGGTGGTGTAAGCTCAACGACTCCTTTAGCTTTATCGCCCAAACTCCACAGCGGCGGTGAGCATTTTAGGTCTTGCATGCGTGATGCGTCGTGCTTCCATCTATCATTTTCTACTGTTTGATGCTGCTGTTCACATTTTCAGTACTCTTGTTTTCAAACACTTATACAAGAATCCTATAAAAACACGCGATTGTTGGTTGTATCCTATGAAAAATTTTGCGACCACTGTTGTTGAGAGGGCTTCCTGCAGACAAAATCTTATAAGTATGTGAATTAGAGACATCCTATAAGTAGGTGAATCGGTCTGCGCATCTGGGTCCTTTTTCGGCGTTTCGGTGCGGCACAAGCTCGTCTTCCCGAAGCGACAGAAATTCTAGCGCAGTCTTGTACAGAATCTGCGCTTTCTCTTCATGGGTGGAAGTTAGAACAAGAACCCAGTCATTCATTGGGAATCTCCTAGACAGAAGTATGGGTATAGTCGATGGATGAAACATTTTCATCATCAAGTAAGTATCCCTCCTGTGTATCAGCATTAGAAGCTTGCGTAGAGGTATACGACTCAATCAGTTCCAATTACCTTAAGAAAAGGCCCGAAGTCTCCACCATTTGCCCTGGATAGCAATCTAATACTTCGCCGGACCCTGGAGCAACGCTGCCTACTTCTCCTAGCGGAAATGGATAATCAGATCCGAGTGCAACCTGCGCAAAGCTGCCACCCATTGCTTTCGCAGATTAGAGACCTGAGAAAAGACAAGGGATCGCCAAGTCATACGACAAGAGATACCATGGGGGACAGTCAGAAAAAAGAAAGACCAAGCAGAGGCCATCGCCTCAGCCCCAGGATTGAAGGCAAGAGCAAGACCGAGCCCGCCGAGACACATTGATACGCTAGCCGGCGCAGCCGCGCACACGCTCGCAGAAGAGACACGCGCCCACCTGAGCGATGGGCGCGCCTGTGATGCTGCACACCCACGCGGAACCCACACTGTTGCTTATACGTCACGCGCAAAGAAGGGACCGGCAACCGTGAGGCGCAGCGCCGCAAGATCTGCCGACGAAATCCGACCAAGCTCACGCAGGTTGGGGCTTGGTAGGTGGGCGCAGGCCCTTGGCCTGCTGCATCTGCATGTAATAAAGAGCGCGCAGAGCTCCCCCGCAAAAGCCTAACGCCGAATCTGGCAGGCGCCTCGCACGTGGGGCGGCCTTCGTTTTGCTTGCCAAGCCCAAGCGCGAACGACTGCGCGGCGGTCACGTCCTTGCACCGTTCCCAAGTACTAGGCCCCAGTCGCGTTTTTTATCGGCCTGCGGTGGGTCGTTCCGATTTCTCCGAGGGCGTAGCAGGCTCCCTCCGCAATGTACGGCGCAAGTGCTACCCAGATCCAGGCGCATGCGCGTCCATGCGTGGCGATGTCTTGACGCAAAACCCGAGCGCGCAGGAAATTGCTGAGCCAAAGAATGGCCGGAGATCGGCGGCACTGCGCCCACAGGGCCATAGTGAACCCGCAGAGCTGTGCCCGCATTTGTTCTGGTCTCTCGGGTGATCTTCTTCGCCGTTTTTGGGTTGCTAACCGCCCTGGCTGTAGTCTTCGCAGCCGTTTCACCATCGACTTCATCCCAGACTCGACACGCGTGGGCAGATTCTCCAACAGCCCGCCGGAGGGGCCTTGTTTTCGATGAGGTATTTCTGCGCGGTGGTCTTCACCTGCGGCGTGTCCAGCTTCTGCCGTGGCATGGCTTCGATTGAAGGCATATAGTTGCCCCCTGCGCCTGAATTGGTTCCAGCCGTGGGCGTGCCTGAGTATCATGCGGCCGCATCACGTTAAACGCCGCGGCAGCGCGCCACCTCTCACGCGAATGCCCAACGCGAGCACCCTTGCCTCTGGTACGTAGCTGCTAAGCAACCGCACAGCCAGCGCTCCACTCAGACCCAAACCCGGCGGCTGCTGCGCTTCAACTAGACCCAAAGAAACGAAACCAGGGACGCGGCGCCCTTGCCCGCGACATGTCCTGGCAAAGACTCAGGGGAGCGCGGCGCGCCGCTGTGTGATGTTTTCCTTCATCGCTGCCCGGCCGATGGCTGCCCGCCGGCGAGACTCCTCGCAAAGTTGAAAGCGCGCGCTGCCGTGCCAGCTCAGTTCACCTCGCACCCTCCGAAGCGGGCCCCTGCCCACTTCTTTGCCCGGCAGACCAGGGGAGCGCTGTATTTGGACACACATAGCCACACCAGTCGCTCTGCCTTCTCACTATGGGCATTAGATACAAGCCCAACAGTGTGCAGCCTACAGCGTGCCCGCGCATTTTTTGACCCCGGCCCCGTCACACGCAAGCAGGCCGCCAGCCTTTCGCGCCAGTTTCTAGGGCGGGGCGCACAACCTTCCCCGACGCCTCACCAGGCTGGCGCCCCGTTTGTGCTCGTTTCGATCCCGGTGGGCGCGCTACTGTATGGCCGCCCACGTTCTGGGAACCGGGCCGACCGCCGCCACAGACTGGACCACCGAAAAACAAGCGGCACACTGCTGGCTCGGCCGTGCACGATATCCCGCGCAGCAGGCAACCCGCTTACCGCAGGGGTACTGACCTGCAGGCGCTGCCGCTGCTCTAGTCTACGCCCGCTGAGACACCGGCAAGACTGCCGGCAAAACGCCGGACCCTAGTAAACTCCGAGACAGACGCTCCCGCATAGATCTTTTAGCTGAAGCACGATAGGGGGCAGGTTTTGCTTCTGCCGAGAGACGAAGACGGCGCCCTAAATCGGTCCGGCTGACCGTTGGGCGGGCGTGTGGGCTGTCAGCCGTGTCATGGGACACACAATGACGAAGGGCGCAACGTCCAGCCCTGACGCTAGCCCTGCAAACCGTTCTACGACTGTGCTCCACCTTATCATCCAAGACAGCCCCGGTCGAGGGCGTCTCTGGTGGGCACTTCTCTGGGGCCGGGGGCCGCCCAGGCTGCAACCTGCGAGCACGCGGCGCCGCTCTGGCGACGGGTCGAATTCGTAGCGGCTCGAAAAAACTGGAGCGCCACGCGCTGGGAACGGCGGCCCCCCTGGCCAGGGCCAATTGGGCGGCTGAAAACTGCAAGGGAAAAAGTGCCGCCCCAAATGCCTGCCCGCTGGTCGTTTTTGGTCACAGAATGGCGAACGCCCATGGCTCCACCATCAGTGGGCTGCAGATACGCTGGCATCGCCGATTCTCAAAAGGAAATTGCTCATCCCGTCATAATTCAAGATGCCCAGCATGTCTTCGTCATGCGTTATGCTATCCACGTATAGTCTCTTGATGGCTTCCTTTGGACTGACAGTTTTGCTATCGACCGCCACTAGATCTGGTCGACACCGGTAACCCCACTCTATCCTTCCAAGTGTACCCGGCACAGCACCGCCTCCATGTGAAAACATGATCTTCAACTTTGGAAATCGCTAGGCTTAGAAATAGAAGTTGTCTCATTTTACCAACATACAGAATACTAAGTCTCTACCCCTAGGGAGTCGATTCCTGTAGATGAACAATGCCAGTTTAAAGATGTTCATCTTCACTTGCTGAAACAGTCAACGCACCCGATCCTAGGAGAAAAAAGATAGTAGACATAACCATAATCTACTTAATTCGAGACCAGAGAACTCACAAGAAAGCCTTAATGTAATATTCCGCTTAGCATGACATGACACATGCTCAGCGACATCTCTGCTGGCATACCGACTAACCAGGGAAGCCAATACTTCGAATCACACCAATCCATATCCCAAGGATGCACTAGAATCGGGGCGTTGAGCTTCTCACAAGTGGCCCACACTGGATCGAGTCGCCGATCGTAGAGATACATGTTCTTTTCGCTTTTTGGTGTTAGAGAAGGCATTAAAGGGCGTCAAGGACAGATATCTGGACTTGTAAAAATGCTAACTATATAATGTATCTATTGCATTGCAAAGTCGATGCTTAGAGTAATAAACGAGAGAAACTGCTTCGACAAGACCATACAGTTGAAGCCTCTGAGCTTTGAGGCATGTTGACGTGACTCCCAATTTGAAAACCCTTGAGACCATCTTCTGCGATAGCCCGTTCAGCTTCCTTCGCTGCAGATTCAGGATGCTGCAAGGGAAGTGTCCCTAAACCAAGGAACCGACCAGGCTGACTGCAGGAACGACAAGACCTGGAACAATTTCAGCAATATCAAATACGGAGGAGAATCGACAAGACCTGGAACAATGTCAGCAATATCAAATACGAAGGAGGTATCGATATCGAGCAAGAATTTCTACGATACGTACCACAAGTGAATCTGAAGCAAGCAAGGATGAATAGATCGTTCGAAGTACTTCCCCAAATCTTGATTCAGGAATCGTGACCACTCCATCCCAATCGTTGGTTCCAATTGGTAGTTGAACATGACAGGCACTGTACAAGCAACTTGCAAATCCACTCCACTGCTATCGCAATCTCTCAGGACTTCCTCTGGATCGAACAAATTTGCTCTGCATTTCCGGAATAGAGCCCCACTTGATCTCCATTCCATCTGTGCAACGAAGCCGGTCGGCTTTTCGAAGGGTATTTTGTCTCCAAATCGATCTGGCGCATCCTTGAAGTGCGTCAACTGCAAATCCACACCTTCGAACGTTGGCCAGGCACGTGGCAGCAAATGCGTGTGGATGTCCACCTTCCATTGGGGCAAGCCAGGCCGATCGGAAGACGAGGATGTCATGGTCCTTGTCGATCTTGACAAGTTGTTGGACAAGTTGTTGGACAAGTTGTTGGACAAATTGTCCAAAAAGTCTAAATATCAAAATTCATTCAGCGTTTAAAACGTCTCTCGCCGCTCGCTCTACAGTGAAGATGATCTCTCATTCGATTAAAAGCACAGAGAAATGGATCTTCAACGACTACAATTATCATGCACCGAAGCTGCATCTGTTTTTGGCTACTGCTAACTGTTTTTTGTCCCCTTCGCAAACCGCCAAACACCAGCACGCCTCTTTCGCATTCGCACCTGCACAGAATGCATGCATGCATGCATAACGTAAGTACTATAATATATTGCGAATCATTAAAAAGAATGAAGCACTTTCTTAGTCTTAGAGGATGCACCTGGAAAGTTGAGGTCTCTCGGAGTCATCTTGACGATGATGCCAAAGAAGATGCAATTCATTCATATCGTCTTACATCTTGAGCGTTGTTATTTGTTGGTTTTGGGAAACTATAATTGGAAGTATGAGAGGACGAGTCAATCTCTTAATGTTGAGAATATCTTACAAGGGACTTAATATAGAAGTCACACAAGTAGGATGCTTCTTCTATGTTTCATGAAACTAAATCGATGCGAGTTGAAGTGATTGGAGAAAGCAACATAATCTGCAGTGATGAGCCAACACGTCTACACTAAAAATTAGTACTACGACCAGCCAGCTCTGTAGTAAAAATAGTTAGGTAGTTCAGTCTTCACACATTCATCAAATCATCGTCAATGGGAAGTCCTATGTCAATGGGAGGTCCTATTTACTCCCTTCCGCCATCAACTGTCCTCCCCATTTTTGCGCCATCTGTTTCCATAGGGTAATCGTTACTTTTGCTTTGTCTTTGTTCACCCGATGCTTACTTTTCTCGGGTACAACCAAATGTTTCAGATTGTCTACCGCTAGCATCAGGCTTTTCTCTTCGCCAGCACCTACTTTGCTGACGCAGACGAATCCGCTCTCGCTGCATCGGAAGGCGACATCTAACCCTTCCGCGCACAGAGATTTTACGCTGTCCTTTTCGGAACCAGTAAGACAATTCGTAACTTCCCAGATGACTTGGATTTTCTCGGCTTCGTCGACAAGCATGTGGGGTATGAAAGAGGACAAAAGCTGTAAGGTGTTCTTTCAGAAGAGGAGTCGAAATCTCGAACTTACAAAAAAAAAATTATCTGCATGAAAAATTATCTTTGTTCCACCTAAAGAGCGACGAACATCATAGAAGTTGTAACCCGATGAATCAAACATGATGACATCATGCGAAAATCAACACTCCATCAACCAAGTCCATAAATTTCTCGATCTTCTTGCATCCTGGGGGAACAATTTTTCGAAGTTCGTGATTTACTGACGTGGTTGGTTCAAAATCCGGTTCCTCTAGACGCGTCGGCGCCCCACCAGTGATGATCCCGGGTCCTGTGCGGACGATCGCGTCATCTGGCACACTGAACTCCCTATTGTGTGCGTAATAGTACGCGTTTGCTCCTTTGGTTTTGATGTTGTGTCGCAAGGCGGAAGTGGTTTTCCCGGGAAATTAGAGATTTTTTGATTGCTTAGACTAGCAAAAAGAAATTTCAAATTTGTTGTGTTACCTTTAGACTTTTATAGGGTAGATCTACCATGAATTTTAGGGTATCCATCATGAATGATGAAGTTGCCGTAATCAGCAGAAATCTCCTCCTCTCCTTCCTGGATATCTCGTTCCTCGTCTGCCGTCATCTTTTCCTCAGCGGCCATGTTCCTGTCTATCCTAGGTCTAGAAGAACCACTGCTACGGCGACTGCACCAAGAACACCTCCGAGCAAATTCAGGCAGCAGAGATTGAAGATGACCCACACGAGGAGGTTCGGACTTACGCGAAATCTTGTTCGTGAAAGAAGGACGTCGATAAACCGAACGTCCAAGAAGAAACTTCTCTGGGTAGCTCCAGCCTATGATTATTCAACAGTTGATGTGATCAAAGAAGTCAACCAAACAATAAATGGTTGTATCAATGTAAGTATGAGACAAACTTATGAAGAAAAAATGTTGCAAAGTATGTGTCTATGCTGAAGCTCCATCCGCATCCCCGTCCGTCAAGTAACAAACTTCCCCCACTACGCCTGCTGTCTGAAATTTTTTGAAAGAACCATCCAAAATTTTGTGAGGTCGTTATGAAACAATGGAATGATTACTAGATGATGGCAAGATCGACGAAACTAGTACTAGAGCAGATTTTCATCCGAAACTAGTACTAGAGCAATTCGAAAAGTGAGATCCTCACACACATCATCTTCCGAGTGATTCCCAGAGCTCAAATTCATCCGATTCTGATTCTCATGCGCGTATCAACAGCATATGGTTCAGATTGAAAACAGAAACCAAGACCCGCGAACCTGTATCATGAACACAAACAGAACTTTCGTTTCACACATCACCATCGTTTCAGGAAACGGAAAGGGATAAGATCTTCCTGCATTTTCCACTACTTTCTTCGGAAAATATTTTTTCACATGAACTTAACACAGAATGGGGAGGAACGGGAATCGACATGCATCATTTAATAGGGTCGTGAGCACAACATCTATTTTGGGAATCAATCTTTCGTGCTCTTCTGTCAATCTTGGAATTGTGGCTGAGAAATTGTGACTGGACGCTTGAATTGCGAAAGCGAATTCGATGTGAGTGATCTGTTCATTGCTAGTTTTTGTTCAAGAGTTGTTCTATTGGCTATTTATTATATTCATTGCTGTTCATCGCTGTTTATTGAGTTAAGTGATATTTTCATTGCTATAGTTTCTAGTTACGGAATCGATTGAAGAGGGGATATTTCCCTCTCTTGTGCATTTCTATGAGAATGTAAACAAGTATGGACAGAGGTAGCCCAGGCATCATGACATAATATCTCAGTGCACGAAGATGAATGACATGAGAAAATTCATTGTCCGCACCTCCTCGAGGGGGGTAATCAGAGGCTTCCTAAACCTCTATCCTCAACGGCAACATCATAATCCCTAGTCCGTCATCCGATGGTGTCCCCGCATCCAATATCGGTACTCCATGACCTGTCGGTGTAGCTGGAACCTCCTCTCTTGGCTGTAGTTTAGCCAACTCTGATGGATCAGCAGTTTCCATCACTTGCTTTTCCGCTATTTCCATTCCGTTGTAGACGTGCGCTTCTTTCAGTAGACCTTTTCTCAGAGTACTCTTCTCGGATTGCATTGCTCGACCGAAAACGAAAACCAGTTGAGCAGCGGTTCTTGCGTCCGCGCCGGCGTGGGAGAGACTGCAGTTGAGTTTGGAAGTACGTATCAAAAAGGAGGAAAACTAAAATCAAATACTTGGACTTACAACTTCCATGTTGTCGATATGATCAGAAAAACAGCGTGGTGAGTGCCCATTCCAAAATAAAACATCAGAGAATAGCAGTACCGTTTCCCGCCTAGTGCAAGATGTATCACGCCTTGGCCAATGTACTGTATTATCAGCCGGCTGTCGTTGCAGGCTAAACCACTACATATTTCCCGCCGTAATTTCTTTACCAGTGACGGATTCGTCAGGCCACCTGGAGCAGTTGTAGAACAAGAAGAGGTGTTCACCTTATGGCAAGTCCAAATTCATCTTACGGAGGAACCACATCAGTGTGTGTTTGCTAGAACTAAAATTCTCGGTAACCTAGGATCAATCTACTTAGTGTTCCTATGTATTATATATTTTAGTACTCTTCGCATCCGGATAGCTCAATGTGACGCATATCCATTCTTCTTCTAGCACTGCAGGCATTATCAAATTATCCCGAGGCGTCCTCATTCCCTCAGATCCACTTGGCATCGGCGCGTCATCGCCGCCTGATTTGCCGCCTGTAATAATATGGTGGAGGTGAAATGATAACTTTAATTTTACCTAAGTATCTTTCTTGCAAATGTTTTTTCTCCGATTCCGAACTAGAACTTCTGTAAATCAATGCATGACTGGAAATTATCAAAAATCAGAAAAGACGCGTTAAAGCCATTTTCCGAATCATACCCGTCATCCCCACTTCTCCAGCTTTTTTCTGCTTCTCCATAATCTCTTTATCGAAATCCCTACTAGGTGCATTCGTCATCCTCAGACTGGGACTTTTCCTCTTCGGATTCTCTATGGCTGAATGATGTTTCCCGATAAAACTGCTCTCCAATGTCGATGTAGCACATCTGCCAATTTCTTGGACTTCTATCAGACCTAGGATTAGGTCATTTTCGAAATCGCCGTCCTCTGCTAGGGTGTCCCTAGTGTCGCATAGGGTTTTCGCGAGGGCTTCAAAACCGCCTGTTAGAAGAAATCAGAATTGGTGTCCTCTGAGTGGCGTCTCTATTCCTAATCAGGAATGCGTTCGGTACAACTGTGAATGTAGTAGTAGAGCACGACGTCTGGGTCTGTCAAGTAAAAAAACAAAAACTAGGCCAAATGACCACACTCGACTAATAACATTGCCAATCATAATATCGACGCTTCCGGATTTAGTCTGTCCATTATGCCGTCCAAGTGGTGTTGCAGATCCCTCCTCACGTCTTTCGGTTTGACGCTCAACGCGCACATCTTTCCTAACAAGCACAACGCGGAAAAGACCATGTCGTGCAATTGGTTCAGAGAGATTAACCCTCGTCCGTTAGTGTCGAATAAAGCCAAGAGGAAGCGTGTTTTTTCGAAGGTATTGCTCCCGCAGTAGAGACATATAGAACCAAACATGTCGTTGCGATCTGAGTTGGATACATAGGGAGAAAGATGGTCAAGGGGTGAATGAATGTTGAACTCTTCTCCACGGTTCCTCAGCTGCAATATCAACACGCATAATTATGGATCAGCACTACTATAAATAGCGATACTAACTTCAGCATCGTCCATTCTATCCAACACTAGTATAGCGATACTCTAGCATGATCCATTCTATCCACATCCATTTTATCCAAGCTTATCTTCAAAACAACAACAACAAGTTTCAACAAAAATACGTATCTGCTCCAGCTCCGTATTTGAACAGGTGTCCCACAGGAACATCGCTTCAGACTCCTCTAGACAAAGCACGTGTTGCATATCTCCATATGACAAATATTCCGGTCTCTTGGGAAACTCGTTCCAGTACCTGTAGTTAGGTTATTAGTTTTTCTAGAGAACAAGCTTTATCATCATATTCACTAAAGATTATTTACAAAACCTCTTAGCTCCATCGTAAATGTATGTGCAAATATGGAGTAGCAGCTCACCTTAATGTTACAAATAGGTGGTAGCTCGTAGTCGTAGAAGGATCAACTCCTAAACAACACTTCAAAAATACCTCCTCAACCCCGTCCACAAATCCGTTGAATTCCATGACCGGAAGATTTTTCTAAGCGCAGGCGCAGTCGGGGACTCTTCTAGCCTGTCCCGCTCAACGGTCGCCTCCAACCGTTGGAGCAAAGCGTTCCCCATCTTTTGTGCTAGGCTCTATGCTGTGTAGAGATCAAATCGTAATTTATTGAGTAGTTTTTTTACTTATGGTGTAGTAGAAGCCGGCACCATCTTTATTAGTCCTGGGACCAAGGGTCCCCCGCTGTTATGAGCAGCGGCCTGTGGATCTAGAAATCATTTGGGAAAAGTGGAAGATGCAAGTTTCATCATCATGCATCTAATTTTCTGCATGTTTCTTTTTTTACTCGAGCTTCCGACTCCGTCGAACAAGCACATTCTCTCTCTTGATTTTTCATCTACAAGCTTGCAATTGTTTTTCTTCTCTCTCCCTCTCATCATCCTCGCTCGAGGCTAGTACCTTTCCATATTCAGCGAACAGCTACACGAGGGCGTAGAATATTCCAAAGGCGAATAGAGATTCATCGACTGACGATATATAGAGACATTTTCGAGGAGGGTAACCACTTCGACGTCGAGCATTTTATGCGATATACGACACGATTAGGCCATTATAATCCTGTGCATCCTTCACCTTCTGTGCAAGCAACAAAAGTTAATTTTTTGGTACAAGGATTTGCTTGAGGTGAATCATCTAAGCGAGTACTATGGACATTCCCTTCTTGTCTGTGTATGTGTGTGTGCTGTGTAGAGGTGGAAAGAGAATCTAAACTGCTCTAGGCCCTGTCCTTATCAGCAACCCCGTTGTCATCATCTCCCTAGCATCACTGGCTTGTTGCCTCAGATTGCACACACCGCAAAACCTCGCCATCAGGATCAAAAGGAATGCCGTGAGACCAAAACACACTGTGCCGGAAGCCGAATTACTAGTGAAAGCCAGTGCAGCACAGGCGCAGATGATTAAGGTCAGGAGAAAAAGCGATACAAGACGCTTTTGCTGGGATCTGTTGGATGTGGTGGATGAGGGATATTCAGACTTTATGCCTACGTCTGAAACAGAGACCATTTCCGTTGCAGTAGTGGTAGTAGTTGTATCCAGTCTCGAGGTCCCCAAACTGATACCCAGTCTAAAGTTGAATTATGATAATCAAACCGACTACAAAACTTACCACATCTTCATTCAAAGTGTTCAAAGTGTAGAAGTATTCAGAGTTGTGTAGAAGTACTTCCTGATCCTGAGCATCGTTCCGATCACTCCTCTCGCTTGGTCCAATTCTTCGCCTACTCGTCCCATATTCTCCCTCACGCGCGTTATTACGTCTCGCTGATCAGCCAAGTTTTGTATTACATTATGCGCAATGTCCTCATTTTCATGCATTTCCCGATTTGCCTGCACCAGCGTCTCGTGTCCCTGCATCAATTGCTGTTCTACACGATTATTTGCTCGGGTGATAGATCGCTGCCGATCGTGATTGTTGACGGGATCGTAGTCACTGGTCGAACTGCCTCCTCCAGCACTGTTCCTGCCATGATTCCTCAAAAGCAGCTTTTTCCTTTCCCTTTCTCTTTGCCAGTCCTTCACCTTTCCCTGCAAGTCGCGACTATACTGCGTGAAATAGCTCAGCTTGCTCTCGAACATTTCCTTCCGCAAAGGGTCTGCGCCTAACCTCAACCTCAAAGCCTGTAGGTTTTGCCTCATATGCTTGAAATGCTTTTCGATCTCCCTATCTGTCATCAACGAGTATTCGTCTCGGAGAACGCCATCTATAGCTTCAAAAGACTTGCGTAATTCTGCTTCATAGTCCTCGAACATAGCGTCTTGGTGCCCGCTTGAGGACGATGACTGCTGGTGCCAAATTGCGGTGGACGACACGGAACCTCCACCGCCACCAATATTTGCTCCAACACTAGGTGGTGGAACGACAGGGGTATAGCGAGCAGCATAGGAGGGTTGCGCAGCGTTGGAAGGTTGCGACGACATGGTGATGATGTTGATAAATTGAAGTTTGAAGTTGTTCTTATGTCTTTGCAATGTGCCGTTCATTCCATGACAGACTATGAAGTTCACTCACAACATTATAATGTGTGAACATACTTAACAAGTAAACTAATATTAAATTTGGCGTTAAAAACACGATCACGAGGGGATTAAGGAAACTGTTGGTTGCGCATACCTGGCCCGTCGCAGAGAAACAGTTGGTGGTCATGAATAGGAGGAAAAGATCCATCATCCTTGTCCAAGCAACATTTACAACATGGCTTTTCATGCGGTGCACAACCACAATGAGTTGTCTCACACACGAGTTAGAACACAGACCCCCTCTGCTGCATCACACGTGTCTTGACACTCGTCTGGTTGATGCCGTACAACCACCCCTCAAGAAAACAAATGAGTCCAAAAGCGTGTACAGTGGAACCATGGTAATAAATTCCCGTCGAATGCTCCAAGTAGTGTTGTATACAGTACAAAGTGGCGATTTTAAGTAGTCATTTGTTATTGCTTCACAGTTGATGTTCGTAGAACATCAAAGAAGTAAAAGTATTCATTCATCATCAGGCGTTACGCAACTACAGCTTGACCTAGCGCAGTCTTTACCCTTCATTCTTCACCACTCCAGGCGAAGCAGGCGACAATTGTATGGGCGAAAGATTCAACAGCGTCGATTCTTGCACCACAGCTGTTCTCCCCGTAGCTGTTCTCCCCTTACTTGTTCCGCGTCTAGAATTGCTCCCTGCTCTGGCTGTAGAGGCTAGCGATAGTTGCCCCTTTTCGAGAAAATCCAGAGATGCGTCGAGCCATCTGTGGCCTTTTTTCAGGAATGTACTGCTGTTTTGCTTTGAAGAGGAAGCGTTGAAGGGCATCTGGGTAGTGCTATTGTTCGTAGGATCTGGATCGGCGAGTACCTGTTTGTCTAAGTGGTAGGAAAAATGGTGGCAGTTGAATTTGTTGTGCTTCTTGCGCTGAAAGTTTCGTGCTGAGCTAGTATTGAGTGAATTGTTTTGTATGCGTGCGTAGGTAGGCACACGAAAAAAAACATACCCTAGTCTCATCCCCCTCTCCTTCGACATCCATTCTCGACTCCCCTTCCAGTCTAGACGTCGTCGCTCCACTTTCCAACAACGCCCACAACTTCTTCTTCTTCTCCTCTGTTTTCGTCATCAAGACTTGATGTTCAGCCCAGAGGGATTTCAATTGCCGTCTCAATTCTTGAGTTTCCATTTCGCGGTTCTGGACTATGGTTTCCAGGTGCAGGGTTTCGACGTACCTGATGTTGTCGTGTAGTGAATTCGTATTAATTTGACATATTAACGAAGTAGTCCTTGTTTTGTAAGAGGAAGAAGAGAACAAGAATCAGAAATTCAATTAAATCTGGACGACATACGGAAGTAGACTACAATCTATCTTCAACAACATCAAGCCCATAAGTACATCCTTTGTTGCTCTTCCTCCCATCTTCTGAACTCGCTCTGTGCCTCTACTAGTTTTTTCCGTTCCTCTTGAACCCCTTCTCGATAGTCGACTCTTCGAGTCACGTCACGCATTTCTGCGTCATGCTCTTCGATTTTCCTGGAGATTTCTGTTTTCAAGGCTCGTCGTTTTTTGTTCTCCCGCACACAGAGTTCATGCAATTCCCCAGCTAATTCGTCTAAGCTTGACAGTTCATTATGCAACGATCTGACTGCTCCGCTAGAAGTCTTGGTTTCATCGGATAATCTCCCTAACTCGTTATTCAAGGCACGATGAAGAAGCTTGGTTTCTCCGATGCCTTCTCTAGCTTGCTGGATCTTCTTCAAAATACCTTGTTTGTTGGCTAGAGCTTTGTCTCGTCTGTGTTTGGCGGAAACATTAGAAGGGTGTCTCATCAAAAGATTTATCCACTATTTGGGAAAAAGTACCTAGATGTTGAGACAGCATTCATATTCATGATAGTTGTACTGGCGAGATTATCCATACATCTGAACTACATAAGTAAGATCTCATCCCAATCACAACAGTAAGTTCTCATCTGAATCATAACAATCCTATCCTTCTCAGCTTTCGCCACATCTATCTGCCCAATCTCCTTCTCTGCTTTCGCTGCCTCCCTTCTGATATGTAGCTGCTCCTTGCGTTCTGTCCTTAATTCCTCTCGTTTTTCTAGGACGCGACCCTGTTCGTTGGGTTCAATCGTGGTGGAAGGAATTTTGTCAGGAACTGGTCCGAACTCTCATGAGAAAATCTTACCGATTAGATTTCGTTATATGGAGCCCGTACTTTGGAGTAGATTCCATGCCCCCAAATGTATCTTAAACAAGTTCTCCAAAAATAGATACCGTAATTCGATTCAACTGTTCCTGCACATTTCAAATACCGTAATTCGATTCAACTGTTCTTTCAAATACCGTAATCCTATTCAACTGCTCCTGCAAATTTTCGATCGCGGCTTCTTTAGCCAGCAGCTCTTGATACCAATCTTTTTTCCCGCCTTCGTCAGATGAAAAAGAGACATTATTCAAATCATCTTCTTGCGCTGCACCGGCAGGGTCGTCCGGCACTGCGGAAGCTGGTGCGTCATGAGGAGGTTCGGGCATTTTTTCTGTCTCTTTTTCAGTACTGTCTCAATGAATAAGACCCATCTGCATCCAAATTTAGTCTGTCGAAAAAGTCTTTGCACATTCTTACCTTTTTTGCATCCGTTTTTCAACTTCTTTAACGTCTCGCATTTTTCAAGTTTGGCCTCTTTGCGTTATCTCCCTATGTGAAGGAGGCGCGCGACCCACACTCTGCTCCAACGAAAATGAAGAACAGGAACCAGAAGCAGCCAGCAACGTTTTGTGGTATCGAAATAGCGTGGAATTGCGTCAACCACGCCCTTGTCTCTATCATCAAACAAAATCAAAAGAAAAAAGCTCCAGTTCGAAAGTCAAGAGATGAGTTGTCTATCTTACTTTGTCTGCCTTTGTGAAGATTGCGTTTGTAGTTATAAGAATGAAGTTCGCGCCGGTGAAATCGATGCACATGACAAGACGTTCCGTGAGTGTCGGTTCATTATCAGAGAAGTTTTCTACTTGCAGGGCTTAGCTCAGTGACCCTCTTTTTGTCGGGATTTATCTTTTTCTTCGAAAGAGCAAGCGGCTCAACGACCTTAGACGACAACAAGTAAATGACTAATAGCTTCGTTTTGGTGTCCCGTTTCATTCGTAAACATGATCATTAACGAGACTGGATTGCGATAGGAAATATCAAGGCGTTCTGTGCAGGCGTTTTAAGAGTGAGATACTTAGATAGCAATAGCATTAAGAAAAGAAAGGCAATACGTTCATTTTTGCAGACTATAGAGAAAAAATAGAAGTTTCTGGATTCATTTTATGCATGATCTCACTGTAGTAGTGGTTGTCCTTCATTATCAATCTTCTCCATAACAAGTCTTAGTTTATAAACTCTACACTCAAACAAGCCCACATACTTCAAGTACTGTTTTGCTCCCATCCACTGGATACTAATTTTTCTCATTTTCATGTTTTTGTTCAGTGTTCATTACCATCTAGTATGTCTCTTGCTCTTCGTACCTCCTGACTCCAAATTTTTCACTGCCTTGTCAAAAATCCGAGTCTGTGTTTTGGTCACCCGCGCGTGGAGGCGAAGGCTGGGCGAACTGCTGTGTTCCTGAATTGAAAAGAGTGCATGGATGGTAAGGATAACGTGTGGAAGCGAATTCAAATACTTAGTTGTTACGAAGAGTGAGAGTGAATGCAACAATGTCCATTAGCTGCCTGTAACTACTAACGTTCCTACCCTATCAAAGGTCAGCAGTCAGTGGTCACTGATTCTGAACGGAAGGGCCCACCTTCAAAGCTCTCCCCTTTTTCCATCATTTTCCCCTGTTCTCTCCAGGGGTCTCCTCGTCGATCTCAGTGACCAAACCCAATGACCAATGAATCAAGTGAAACAATGTTTATTAGCTGCCTGTAACTACTAACGTTCCTGCAACCAAGTCCAAGACGAAGCAATTCGGTCAGAATTTAAGTACCTGTCCTGTCCACGCCAGTCCTATCCACGCCAGGATTTGGAGAGCCTGCACCTCCGACTAGAGGTGGTGATCGGGCTCCTGGACTGTGGCGGCGATTAGTTGGCCTCGTCTCCGCGTAATTGTCATTGCAGCACGTCACCAACAGGAAGGAATGAAAGAGAAAGATCAAGATCACATGGGAAGGGATAGGATAGGATGGATAGGAGAGGCCGAGGGGTGATCGCTTCTCTGAATTGAATCCTATAGGGCCACTCTACGCTGTTTGACTTCGTCTAGAAGAAGCCTGCTCAGTTTTCCTTTTCTTCGTGAATGATATTAGAGATACAAAATTTCTCCAGTCGCCATAGAGTAACATGAACAATCCTCCTCCAGCTGCTGAAAACATGATGATCGAATACGAACCTGCAGCGGCGATGTCAGGCGTCACCGACGATACAGATAGAGGCAAAACCACGGGATCTTCTGCGGAGACCCATGTGACGTTGTCGGTATTTGCACTGGCACTAGCAAAATTCTGCGCAATCGTGGCATACGTGGTCTGGTCCATCTGTGATGTTGATGTTGTTCATTCATTCACGCGGCCACCAATATTTTCTTTTGGTGCCTGGGTCTACAATTTCCCGCAGTAGTTCCGCTCCACTCTTTCCAGTACGATTGATAGCAGCACTCTTTCCTGCAACGGGATGCGTCTTGCCCGCCAGTTTTGCCTACTAAGGGCCCTAACTGGGATGGGGGCTCTACGTCATGCGACACTTAAATAATTACACAAGCCGACCTTTTGTCTGGTAATTCAACATCAACATCACAGATGGACCAGACCAGTGCATAAGTGGTCGGGCCCATCTGTGATGTTGATGTAGTTGATGTTGTGGAGAAGGATAATAGAGATTCAATATTTTTGCGACGCTATCGAAATCGAAGAAGTTCAACTTTGTGAAAGAACCTCAGGCGCATCTACTATGGTAACAACAAGTTCAGCTACGAGGCTGTAACTTTTAGAACAAGTAGATATGATCTACTCGCATTTTTCTACTTATTACCAGTTTCTGCGCTACTGAGTTCGCATGGCCCGGGCTCTTGCACAGGATTTGATACTGCAGCTGCACTTTATCCGTCCCAGCTGCTTCCATCAATGCGGCACTGTTGTCATCGTAGTAAGGATCCTCTTCTTCCTCCTCATCTTCATCATATTAGAATTAGCATAAATCCATCTTCAGCACCAGCATCTTCGTGCCCCGCTTCCCTTATAACAAACGGGACCATGATGCTTCCGAAAATGGGAGACTTCTTGTAGCCTTTGCCTTAATCATAGTCCTGGAGGTTCAAATACTCCTCTTCTTCTTCCTGTAGAAGCTTGTGTCGTCTAGTATTCTTATGTCCTCGAAGATTGCGCCTTCCATGTTGGCGTCTCAGATGTTCTTGAAGTCCACTGCTAGGATACCCACTGCCACTGTAATCTTCACCTTGAGGAGCCTCCTCATCAGGCGTCTCAGGTGCATCATATTCATCTTCGTCTGCGTTGAAGTCGTCCTCTTGTTGCTCTGCTTGACTGTTCTTGTTGCGGTTGTAGAAGGAGTCTTCACGACGACTCGAAGATGCTCTATCACCGTCTTCCTCTTCATTGATCAGAAAACTGCTATCACCAAGCTCCTGCTGACCCAATGAATAGTACCCCGGCAGATGCTTGCTGTTGACCTGTTGGAGAGAGGAGGCCTTAGAAGCTTCGCCAGAAGCCGTAGAGCCAGCACTATTTGACTGCTCCTGAACAAGCTTTTGGATCTCAGGCGACTCCCAGGCGAATTGCTGCTGTTTGGAGAGTTGTGCTTCTGCCTGTCCTGCAGAAGTCGGAGTTCCTTGCGCAGCAGTGACACCCTTGTTCTCTGGAGCGGGTGTAGACGAAGCATCTTGCGCTGAGACCGAAGATGAGGGTGCAACAAGAGAAGTTGCTTCAGCAGGAACAGCGCTGTGTGTGCTACTAGAAGCTGCTGCAGATGTAGCGCTCGCTGTGGTACTGGATGCAACAGCCTCTCCAGAAGCCTCTCCAGCAGCCTTCGTAGAAGAGGCAGTACTATTACCAGCCGCACTTTCTTGACTCCCAACTTCGACAAGCGAGGACGCACGACCATGAGCGCGTCTTCTCTTATGTTGTAGCCTTCTCTTATGTTGTAGGGCGTCTCGGTCTTGTTGTAGGGTAATACCAGCCAGGTCCCCATCTGCGCCAACCTCTGCTTTTTGAGCCAACTCGACTATATTGGGACGTCGAGAACCACGATGGAGATGATGCTGATGATGAAAGATGGAGAAGTAGAATGTATCGCTATGAGCTTAATATCGTTAAGGTGCGACAATCTTTTGGGTAGTGCCATCTTTCCAATCTATTCACAAAAGTGAGCAGTACCCTGTTCCCTCGCTTCCTTCGATGTCGGCGTAAGTGTCTGCGATGTCTCGGAGCTTGATCCAAAAAAGACGCTGCCGCGATTTTCTGTTGATTTTTTGGAGATCAGGATAAAAAATCTCGTCTGTAATCATTCGCAATACATAACATAGTCGAAAACTACTAGAACAACAAGGTTGCAAAAAATCAAAATTATCTATTCTAAGCCTAGCAATCCTAGTTGTAATGCTCTACTATGTATTTAATAGAGTTATCAACAGTACCGCCACCTCCGTAAACGTCACATTCGATTGCTTCACGTTGAGATCCGACAACGCTGAGGTAAATGGCCCAACCAGGCTCACATAGTTGCTCGCAGCATGCTCGGCCATAAAAGTGTCAGCGTCGTCAGGTAGGATTACGAAGACACCGGACACCTAAAGATTTTTGGAGGATGGAACAAGTGCAGTCTTACTTTACTCAGAACGTAGCTAGATGTAGATTAAATCCAAGAGAAGCTTTCAAAACGGAAACAAAAGTGCAGCTACTCTTCACTTCGAGTCACAGGCCATCCGCAACATCCTCAACATCCTCTAACTATATTAATCGTATACCGATGGCGGTTCGTAGCAGCAGATATCGGTAAACGTCGCCGCATCAGCCATCGTGGAGTTATTTTCCCCGTTGAGAATCGGCGTGCCTTCGCATCGCGTTCCAGACTCGTAGAGACTCTGACAGGTCTCTTCCCCTTCCAGCTCGGCCTCGGCATCCAACAAAGCCTCCTCGTATCGCCTCTCAGCTTCCAAACGCTTCTGCCTGAGCTTCTCCTGCTCATCAGCTAGCAGGTTTAAAGCACCACTAGTTGCCCCATCATGAGGCACTAGATGGCCGGTATTTGTACCACCATGAAGAAGCGCTCCTCCTGCAGCAGAGGGAGATGACTGCTGCTGTTGCAGAAGATGCAGTCTCTTCAATTCGTGAAACAACTCCTCTGGAACATGCATGCCAGCATTTTTCAGAGCCATGATTTCGTTCTGGAGTTCCTCGACCTTGTTTTGTTGTTGTGAGGAGATAGGCAATTGCTGATGGAGTTGCGCCTGCTGTTTCGCAACTAGATTCGCAACTTGCTGAAGATCTTCCTGCGTCAGGTGCGCGGGTGCTGCTCCGTTGACGTTGTTGCTCTGTGGTAGTGGCTGCTGTGGCTGTGACTGAGTGCCTGGCGCTGGTTGTTGCTTGGCAGCTGCTAGGGCCTGTTGCTGAGATGCCACTACCTGCTGTGGCTGCTGTTGTGGCTGCTGTTGATTTGCCTGCGCGGGCGCCTGCTGTTGTCGTGGTTGAACAGCCTGCTGTTGCACTGGTGGCACGACGCCACTAGCCGCAACTGGTTGTATATTGTTCTTCTGGTCCACAGATTTTTGACTAGCCTGAACAGCGTTAGCCTGCACTGCTGTCGCAGTCATGCTACCAGGCGACGTCGGTGATGGTCGCGACGGTGGTGGCGTCGCCGCCTGTTGAGTAGTACCGGAAGCACCTGCGAGGGAGGTTCTTTCCTGTACCTGTCGAAAAGCGGCAGCGCTACCAGTAACTGGCGCAATTTTTTCCGCCACCTGCTCTTGGTCCTTCTTGTTCTCTGAAGATGATCCTGCCCCACCAGAATGAAGATCTAGAAGATGTTCAACTTCCTGATTGTGTTGTTCTTGTGCGACAACATGAAGACTCTTGTTCTCAACATGTTTTTCTCTGCTTTGACTATTTTCTTCTAGTATCTTGTCGAGGGTTTTCTCGAGCTTGTCTAAAGCGTCCTCAGCTCCATCGCCTTGGAGAAGCTTGGTTAAGTCCTCTTCGGCCTTCATGCCTCGCGGAAGGGTGTTAGAGATCATTTCAATTTTGAATCACAAACACAATCAACCTATTTCCTAGTCCTCTGCCAGTCTTGAAAATACAAATCATAGGTATGCTACTAACAAAAGAGCCCGCCTTAATGCTTTTCGTCTCGTGATGCACTTGCTCCTCACCTTCCGTGTCCTCCACCTTTTCTTGCTCATTTTCGTCCTCGCTTGAAGATACTTCCTGCATCTTCATCTTCTTCGACGCCTTGTGACTCTTGGCACCTCTTCCACCTTTCTGTGATGACTTTTTTGATGATGTAACAACTTTAGTAGTAGTTTCACCTTTCAACGAACTAGATCTAGATGATTCTCCGTCTTCGAGTTCTTCATCTGAATCTGCTGTAGTTCTCGTATGATCTCCACCTAAGACGTCATCCCCGGGCGCATCTGGCCCGTCTTCACTTATAGCTTCACGACCTCCATTTCGTAGTACTTCTGCAAAGGCTACTAAGTCATCTTCTTCAGGAGCTGCCACGTCGTCTTCAAACCCGTCACTTTCAGAAAGCTTTTCAGAAGTAGTCTTCTCATCCCTCTCCACAACATCTGACTCTGAAGATGACTCCTCCTCCTTTGCATCAGCCTCAACACCAGGAGGATCATCTGTGGTGCCCATCTCTGCAAGTTGTAGCTGAGTGTCTTTTCTTAGGGGTTGAAAGTTGGCGTCTCTAGCTCGCGTATCTGACTTCTGTGGCTTTCCTACTTGAGGAAGACAGAGAGACGCTCTTAGATGATAGGTCAACTACTCCCAAGCCTTAATTTTTCTTGGTCTTCTTCTCCGTCTTCGACTATTGTCTCCCGACTCGGCTCTTCCTCTTCCCCGGAAACTACATCTTCCGCCTCATCTGATGATGAAGCTGGACTATATTCCTCCTCCTGGTCTAGGTATCCTCCTGATCTACTAGCATAGCCATCATGTGAACGATGTGGTCGACTTGCCGCACTAGCGGATTGCTCAGCTCTGCTGAAGGCGGCGAGCCCAAGTACTAGAATCGGGACTCGACGCCGCATGATTGCGTCCTTTAGTGCAAAGGAGAAGAAAAACTCATGCGGAAGAAAAGAGAAGGAAGTTGAGGAAATTTGCTTTCTTTAGTACGTTGAGACTCTACTTCAATGTTTCAGGAAAAGTCGGGAAGCACGATCTTCATTTATATTACGCGGGGTTGGTCGTCTTCTTGAAAGCATCCAATTCTCGTGGTTTTACAAGGGAATTACCTTGATCATCTTGCTATATCACATCTTTGTCTTTCTTGTTCGGACTTGTTCGAAAAAAGTTACACCTATTCATGTTCTTTAGCAAGTCTGTTCATGAGTCTGTTGAAGATACTCCTCTGTCTTTGTTCCATTTGTTTGACGAGAAAAGTAAAGTTCGGCTTTCTCTCTCTCTGGTTCTCTTTCGGCATAAGCCTGCGAAGCCTTCGCTTCATCTTGGTATTTGTTTATTGACGAACAGAGTAAGAGACAGGAAATCAAGGGTGATGATATGAAGATGCACGAGATTCCACATGTACAAAAGTGATATCAACGAGCCTCTTGGCTCAAGATTAAAAACAATACTGTCCAGGAGCGAGATGCGACGTGGGAGAGTGTTCAAGATCTGTTTCTGTACTGCATGGTAATAATCCTGATGTAGCCATTTCGTTCTTAGGTGGATGTAATATCCAGCAGGTGTGTAATTTCAGATGAATTCTTACTAGTTTGTACAAATGTCTTCATTTCTTTGTTTTGAACAAACATTCTACGTCGAAAATATATAAGATACAACCGGAGAAGTCATTTAGGTCTGATCTTTGGGTCGATACACACCAATAACATGCGGCTCAACATTCCATTGTTATCTGAAAAAAACACCACCGGGCTGCGGGCTCCGCATAAGTAATTTCATCCTGCGATAGTACTGTTCCTACATCTCAAGGGCCGGGAGGCGGGAAATAATAGAACTAAGGTTGCGCGTTAGGTAGCACCCCCCTAGATGTTAATTTCGTTCTTCTGGGTTACAGAATACCTTCTGATTGTAATCGTGATTGTAATGACTCTATCTTGTTCTTTTTCTCTGATATTAAGATGCAACACCATATTCATTTTTTCTGGTGGTGGTCGTGATTGTAATAACTCTGCGTACATCAGTTTGGTGTCCTACTTCTCGCATCTTCACATGAACCGAACATCAAGGTAAAAGAAGAAGAGCTACTAACTAAAGCGGAGTACTATCTGCGAAGTACTATTCCTCGATATCCACCAGGAGAAGTTCATGGCTTCCCATTTGTTCACCCATGCACTACCATCTCTCTTCCACTATTCCTCTTTCGCGCTACCTGTCCATGCGCTACCTGTCCATGCGCTACCTGTCCACCGTCCCCGTTACCACTGAGCTGTACGCTGAGTGGTAGAACAGGTTCTTCGATCGGATGCGGTAGTACCAGGTCGCATTCGCCACCAAAGTCTCGTGATCCCAGGTACAGGTGGCGCTGACACAATCACCAGGACTGAAGGTTTTCACTACTGTACTTTGCAGTCCATCTACTTGGTCCCCCTCGATGAAGTAGCTCATCTCTGCCGCAGAAGATCCGCCACGATCGGCTTGCGAAGAGGCCATCGCTGAGAACCGCAAAGCAAGAGTTGTGTTGAGTGCTGGCGTATTGCCTTGTTCGAAATTGGACGGTGGTTGCGGCGTCGTCAACGTCCAAATACTAGACGAATAAGACGTAAAACTGCCAGTTCCAAAGCTGTTGGTAGCTCTTACTCTGACGCGGTACTCTTTGGAAGCAACGAAGCTCAAGGTGGAGAAGTCAGAAGCGGCTAAGGTCTTGATCGGTTCTGTAGCGAGAGACCAAGGTGAGCCACTGGTGCCACCCATAGAGACGATCTCAGTCGTGGATGCGGCGATGTCCTCGACTTCTAAATCGAAATTGAAGATCGAGGCGCTGTGATGAGTGGATGAGGGGAGAACGATGAAATCTGTCTGAGCAGAATTAACAAAAAATAAACCAGAAGTAAGTAAGTACTTAAGTACTTCAAAGGTCAGCAGTCAGTGGTCACTGATGCGGAACGGAAGAGACCACCTTGAAAGCTCCCCCTTTTCCCTTCATTTTCCCCCGTTCTCTCCAGGGGCCCTCTCGTCGATCTCAGTGGCCAACCTCAGTGACCAGTGAAATAAGTTGAGCCTCAATTACTGTTCCTGTTATGAGCGATCGCAATGACTAAACTTTAGCTCCCTAGTACCTGATAAAGGAACAAATCTTGATCTTTCTATCAGTACCCATTATCCGTTCCGTTCCAAGTCACCACGAAAGTAACTGGATTCCAATTTCCATCCCTCACTGCCAAATTATATGCCGCTGGCGCAGTTCCGATCACAAAACTTGCTGCAGGTGATAACGGACCCGCACCCGCTTCATTCGTAGCCAACACCTGAAAGCTATGACTCTGTCCTGCCGTCAGTCCTGTGATTGTACACTGCAAAGGCGGCGTCGGATCCGATTCCATCCCGCATGTGTCATCCAAAGCACCATCTCTGTAGACTGTGAAACCGAATAAGTATCCTCCATTGTTATCTGGCGCAGTCCATTGCAGTAACAAAGATGTTGTGGTGCCTGCAGAGGCGTCGCGGGTTGGTGCGGCGGTGATTTGTTAGAGTCTGCTAGATTGCATCTCGGCCGGGTCCCTTTCATTGGGCTTTTCCCTTTTGCCTTGTACTTTTCATGAGAAGAATACAGGGGAACAAAAGGGGACCAAGATGCCGAGAATGATCGACACTAAATGTTGACCATAAATTTGCCCAGGTAAACCAGCGGCTTTGATTTCTTTAGGTGGGCCAAAGGTTGTACCAACTGAAGTCTTGGAGGTTTTGGTACCAACGCGGAATGTGTACACTTCACCAGCAGAAATCGTGTTCGTCTCGTAGTTGAAGGTACGGTCGCTGAGGCTGGTTTGATTTGGGAATTTGTTACGATCATCATCATGATTCATATCGGAAATGTGAAAAGCCTCTATCAAGAGTTGAAAATAGAATTCCTAATACATCAATTTTAATAAATTCTCCTGTAAGAACTTCAGAAAAGAAACCAACCGATTTCCAATTCCATCTATAACTCTCAAGTACCTAACAGTCCCGTCTGCCGTCACATCCGCAAAGGTGCTGGTCTCGCCGTTAAACGTCAATGATATCAAAGTTGTCACGTTTGTCGTTGTATTCGTTTCGTTTTTGTATGGTACCACAGCTGTCGTTGCCGTCTCTGTTTCTCTGTACACGCGATATTCCGTCACTGGACAACCTCCAGTGTCAAACACGTCAGCCCATCCGAGCGTCAAATTGTAGTTGTCCAGCCGTGCGGTGTAAGTGTTTGTTGAACTATTCAAGACTTTGTGACCCGCTTGCAATGTTGGTCCTGTGGTGTTCACATTCGGCGCACCACACGCGACTACGCTAACAGCAGTGCTTTTCGGTCCTTCGGTTACTTCAGTCACAGTGGACACCTGAAATGAGTAGGTCTGCGTTGCCGTGACGCCAGTTGTGTGCACAAATTCTGGGGTCTTGCCGGAGCCACCGTTCAAAGTTGCTAGCAAAGCATTCGTATTCGCATCAAAGACCTTGTATTGCACTGTTCTAGCGCCAAAGTTGTTGCCAGGGTTCCAGTAAATGCCGACTTGTGTCCCGCTTGTCGCGGCTAGATCCTCGAAGACTGTTGGCGCAGTAGGTGGAGGAGCACAGAAAAAGCCGACTACTGGAGAAAAGGCTCCGTAGAAAAAATCTAGAGTGACCACTTGCGTACGCACATAGACGTATTTGCCAGTAAGGTTGTAATTGACGAAGGTTAGATCAGCTTGGTCGCCTTCGAGGGTGTAGAGAAGTGTACCTGGATGAAATAAGTGTAGTGTCGAAAACTGAAATGTTCCGCTGTCAAGCAATGCTGCAGAAAAAAGTTTTATGTAAACGAAGAAAACGGATCGAAATCGAATCATCAAAGAGTTAGTTCAATACTATCAAGCGCCGTCTGCGTCAAATTTGCCATCGCTGCCAAGTTCGAGTTGTAGTCACTTCCATACGGAAAATGACTCGAAAGGTTGACTCCTCCGGATAATTGCACTACATTTGTCGTATTCACGGTCCACTGAGGACCCGCCACGGATTCGCACAACTGTGTGTGCGTTGTCGTTCCGTAGGGATACGTCGCAACCGGTGTCGCGTTGAAGAAATAAGGGTCCGAACTGGTAAAGACGCGGACTTCGGTTACTAGTAAACCGCTCTGGCTGGATCCTGGAGATACCCATTGGAAATCGACGGAATCGAAGGAACTACTAACACGAGTTGCAGCAGCTGGAGCACCAGCTGGACTTCCTGCGTAGGCTTCTAGAATACCAGATTGCGCACCTTCACCGACTTCCGCTACCACAGCTAATCTGAACTTATACAGTCGACCGTTGGCAGAGCCTAAATTGTCCAAAGTGAAGCTCACAGGATTCGTATCGAACTCCAAAGCTAGTCGTGTGTAAGTCGTGCCACCCAAACCGTCGTTATGATACAAAGCGTAGCCTGTTGCAGTCACGTTGTACGTTTCTGCATCCATCTTATAGGCGATCGAAACGCTCGAAGTCGTCGAACTAACCCACGTCGGCGCCGACGGAGCGCCAGGCAAGGGAGCACAGATGAACCGCCTGCCTTCGCTCATATCCCCTAGACCGTTCAAGCTCGATGCTGCGATTTTGAGCCAGACACTGCCGCCATAATTTGCTACTCCGCAGTCGGTAACTGTGAAGGTGGTCGTACCAACACCAGTCGCCAAAGGTGTGCTGCTGTAGATCGCTGGCGCCACCCCTTGGTAAGGGTAATAACTCGTCGCGTTGTCGGTATAGTCGTACCTAGCAAAAGCGGCGTAGACGTTGTAGCTAGTAATCGGTAGGCCTCCATTATCTGCTGGCGCAGTCCAAATAACCGAAACACTAGTCTGAGTGCTTGTTGTCCTCACCACATTCAAAGGCGCAGAAGGATTCGTGGCAGCGTAGTAGGTTGCAATGTCCGACACGGGAGATTGACCTGGCGCGTCTGAAAACACTTGCACCGTGAAGCGGTAAGCATTTCCCGTCGTCAAATTTACAAATTTATAGGTTCTCGCTGTCTCGTCAAACACGTCGTAGCTGGTAAACGCACCTCCAGCTCCATCATCTATTGCAAAAACGTATTTGACATGCTTCGCCAAGTTTAAGAAGTCACTATCGATCCTCTCTACCGCTACACTGATACTCGTTTTCGTCGCCTCTACCAGTGTAGGCGCCTGTGGTTTTGCTGGTGGCGCGGAACAGCGGAATTGGAAGGTGTCACTCACTCCTCCGATGCCTACTAGATTCCTCAGTTGTAGTCGAAAATACTGCCACTCCCCAGTAGTGCATTCGTCTCGCGTGTAGTAGAAATTGCTGTAGTCTGCGATAAAAGAGGGTAAAGCTACAGTTTCGTTCGGACTGTCGTAATCGAACGTCACCCCATCAGATGAAGTAAAGAACTTGTACTCCGTCAAGTTCGCGCCTCCGGTTCCCGGCCAGGTACTAGGCAGAGTGATTTGCACTCTTACGCTGTTATTCGTGGCGCTTACGAAAGATATCGTGCCAGTAGTTGGTAAAGCTCCAGCTGCTTTCTCTAGGAAAGGACTAGCAACTGACTCTCCAATTTTCGAGGTCACGGTGATGTAATACCTGTACAACTCGCCAGGAACCATGCCAGTGGAGGCGAAGGTTCGTTTCATCACGTCTGTCGTGCTGGCATGTAGGCTGTAAGTTGTGCTATCCACCGAAACCGGTCCTGCGCGATACATCTGACTACTCACGAGCAATTCCGAATGCAACGCCGGTACTGTGAAGCCAAAAGTCTGTGACTGGTTCGACTCTGTCGAGATAAACAACGGCGCAGCAGGCTGATCCGGTTTCGCTGAGCAGCGTCTTGTGAGGACTTCACCGCGATCTCCGATACCGTTTTGGTTCTCTGCTGCCACCTGGAAGAAAAACACCTTCTCCGATCCGTTGAAAACGCCCTCGACGCAGCTAAATGTGTAATTTCTGGAGTTCGGATCACCAATATCGATCTTCGATTTTGCGCCACATGTTTCGCAAGCGGCGTTCGGGAATAAGGTAACTTGCGACTCCGTCGTGACGTTGTTAACCGTCGTATTCACCGTGGTCGTCGAAGGCGTGTACAGAGGCATCTGACTGGCGTAGATACAGAAACCTGTCAACGGTGCGCCATTCGCTGATCCGTTGACGAAATCCCAAGAGAAGGAAATATGCGTGTCATTAGACTCAAACACCGCTAGGCTGTCAACTGCACCAGGCGAATCGGCGGCATAGGTAATAGCACTGTCAGGTGACGCATCGGAACAGCCCATATTGCTGCATAATCGAATCGTAGCTGTGTACCGATGACCAGGGTAAACAACAAATAGCGAAGGATGTGGGTAAAGTAAAGCAAGTGAGCGTCGGAGCGCAGATTCATACTCGTAGGCATTCACTGTGTCTTCGTTTTCTTGCAAAAGACGCGTGATTGTTGTCGCCGAGGATGCAGATCTGGCGAACCCAGACACTGTATATCCACCTCCTGGCCCCTCAGTAGATCCGTAGAGCATGAGATTTCGTGTTGGTCCTGGTTTGATCAGCAAGTCCGCTGAAGAGCTGCTTTCTAACAGATCTCTTCTCGTAGTACTCGTAGACGTATCACTGCTATCCTCAAGCGAAGATGAACTTTGTTGAGCATCCCTCGTTTTAGCTATCTCAGAGATGTCCGCTCTGCCCAACTTCCGCCTTATGCCGAGCTCTTCCTCCGCTGCCCTAAGCCAGATTCCTGGCAAGTCCATCGGTGTCGAACTCGGATGAGCCGCTAAGGTTGACAACGCACGCAGATAGTAAGCACTGTAGGACTCGTATGTTCCCGGTCTGGAGTTCGACACAGCGCCTCCCGAACTAGAGAACTGATAACTAGGCGCCTCCAATGTGCTCTGCGCATCGGTGGCGACGGCTGCCATGACTGTCGCCTGCAAATTTGAGACAACAAACGCGCTGTCCAAAATATAAATCGGACTCAAGTTTGGCGCATACAGGTTCGCCAATGAGTGATCGAACATGGTTGCGGTTGTAGTTGTGGTGTTTGTTGTCGGCAGGGAAAAGCGATCCGCAATCACGTCAGTGGCTGTGAAACAGAAGCGATCGGTCGTTCCATCATCCAAGTCGTCGATCTTGATCTCCCATCCGACATGTGTGGCTGTTCTTAGCTGCGTAGAATTCGGTTTGAACAACATCACAGCTAACGTAGATTGTGTTGTCACAATGCTAGGAGGAGGTGGCGTTAAAGGTCGGTCGACGCAGACAACGTGGAGTGGATGCGAAAAGGGTCCTAGGTTGGCTGTGTAAAGTGGAGAACCTGAATCAGTTGAGTAATTTCCACCAGCTCCATTGATTGCTGCCACTTTCACGAAGTAATTTTCCTCGCTGACACAGGTGAAGTTGTAGCTAGTGGTGCCAAATGCGTTTCCATGCAAAGTGTAAGACTCCAAGTGGTCCTGACTGGTCATGTTCTTCGAACTGTAGACTGCAAATGCGTAGGCCTCGACACCCGTATCGATCGAAGTAAAAGGTGCCCAGGACAGTGGCACACCAAACTGTGCCACGCTTTGCGTGATCGTGCTCATTACAAAAGGCTTGTTCGGCTGTCCCGGGATGCCCGCTGGCAGTAAAGTCAGAGGATCCGTATACGGTCCACACGTGTTCACCGTACACGCCTGCACTCTGTAGGTGACCAAAGATGAGGTCGTGAAATTCCCGTAGTTGCCCATAATTTGCGCTAATGGTGGACTAGCAAAACGCTCTGAAGGCAGCATCGTGAAGACCTGTTCCGCGGTGATCGCACTACCGTCTGCACCGTTGGTATTCTGCCAAGCCACATTGTAACTCGAAAACGGCGCATCGTCGTTCACAGTGTGCAGTACAGGTTGTTCCCACTGTACGAAAACGCTCCCCTTCGTGCTGTTGTAGTACGAGATCGACGCCGGCACGTTGGGCGACAAACTGGCGTAGAACTCCGTGACACCCGACCGAGGACCATAGCCGTTGGCGTTTTCAGCTTCTACTTGCACACGATACTTCGCACCCGCAGTCAGGCCAGTAAAAGTCAAGTTCGTTGCTTCCTCTCCAGCCGTCCTGCCCTTCAGAGTCCCGATCGCAGCAAACTGCGCGTCGTCGGTGTACACCCGGTAGCCTAAGATCGGTATAGCGGAAACCGGTTTGGCCCATGCCATTTGGATCGTAGTTGCCAGAGGTGCAACTACAAAGTATGGATTCCCAGGTTTCTGCGGCAGAGCGCCAGCTAGTAAAATTCGATCATCCGGCCAAACTGTTGACGCTTGATCGAAGTTGAACACACGAATCTGGAACTGATATCGCACATTCGCAGTCAAACCCGTCTGGTTGAAGAACAGCTGCGTTGGTTCGCCTTTGTAAATCTTTGTGTAGTCGCCGTTGGTGTCCACGTTCCGCATGAAGATTTCGTACTTCGTCAGCGTGGGGTTCGAACAGCCGCCGTCACTTGGCTTGGTCCATCGTAATAGAACTGCAGTGTCGTAGTACTCTGCAAATTCAAAAGTATCTGGATGCTGCGGCTGTCCGCACACTTGACTACGGTACACTGGACTGAAAGGGCCCCACCCAACTTCGTTTTTCGCTTGCACAACGAAGCGATAGTAACGACTTCCGACAAGAGAACCGACAGTTTCGTTCAGGAAAGTAGTTGTTCCGACTTCTACAAAATCCCCGTACAAGCCGTCATCTCTCAGCAACCGGTAATACTGCACTCCCTTGTTAGACTTCGAAATATCTGCAGCTTGCCATTTGAGATTGATCTGGACACCACTAGTACGAATGCTGGTATCACGTTGAGGCGCATAGAGCACCTCCGGTCCTTGACCCGCGAAAACAGTCAGCAATGGCGATAAGATACTGACGCCGGCTGCGTTTTCTGCTGTTACGCCGAAACTGTATTGAGCTCCTGGGGTTAAACCGGTTATAGTGAACTCTAGAACGCTGACTGCAGTGGTTGTGATTAGAATGTTCGCATTACCGCTAATGCCGTCATCACGGAAGAGATGATAAGCTTCTAAAACTTGTCCACCAAAGTCAGTTGGTGCCCTCCAACGCACAGCCAAGCCTGTTGCGGTTCGCGTTCCAGGAACTTCCACTGGCGCTGCCATCTGCGACGGCGCGCGACCGATCACAACTGAAATCGGGTCTGAGAACCTTGGATAAGCATCGGCGCGTTGATTGCTCGTCGTCACGACACTGGCTGCAGCGACACGAAACTTGTACGTAAAACCAGTCAGGAGCGAAGTGACAGTGTAAGTCGTGGTAGTCGGTAAAGCTTCACCCGAAGACAATGCGTCGATGTAGGTTCTGCCTCCTACGTTCCTGCCATCGTCTTTTTGCACGTAGTAACCTGTGACTGGTGAACCACTGTTGTCAGTGGGTGCTGTCCAACTCAAGGAAGCCGTTGTCAGATCTTTGCTCACCAGACTCAGTCCCGTTGGTGGTGCAGGCGCGCCAGCTGTGTAAGCAAAGAGAATTTCGCTGGATGTAGTGCCCAACTGGAAGAAATTGCGAGTTTGGAAGTTGTCTGCGACGACTTTGTAGTAACGGCCCACGCCTGGCACTGCATGATGGTACTCGAAAGCAGTTGAGGTTTTACCCTCTAACTGCCCGATCTTCGTGAAGCTATTAGCCGACAGACCAGTGAAAATGCTGTATCCAAGAATGGGGCAATACACGAATTGCGTTGGCATTATCCACGAGAATTTCGTACTAGCAGCCGAGCGTTCTAAAATCGTGAAGTTCGACACTGTGGCTGGTTTGTCGCACACCACGACTGCAATCGCATTTGATGGCGACTCACCAGCGGTTGTTTGGGCACGCACTTCTACAAAATAGGGGAAGTTCGTCGCCAGCTCAGTCACTTTCTGTTCGAACGTCAGCCCTGAAAACCGCAATGCATCCGCATCGGAGACGCTACCACCTTCCTGCGCGTAAACGTAGATGTTGTAGGCGAAGATGTAAGCTCCGCCAGATAGTGCAGGAGGTTCCCATTTCAGGGTGAGGGAGCCGACATCACTATCGATCACTGTAAAAGTGATCAACGAGGGCTTCACTGCCGAGCACCACTGTTTCGTATCCGACGATGGACTACGGATACCAAACGCCTCAGTGATCGCGTTCTGCGCGAAGATTTGGAACTGATAGCACACACCACTACTGAACGGAAGCAATCCTGTGGAAGTCGTTGTCCCTTGCCACAAGAGCCGGTCGATTGGTTCTTGCTCGCCTACGAGGCCATAGTAGATGATATACTGGAAAATTGGACTGCCACCGTCAGTCGCTGGAGGAAGCCAGCTGATGTTCGTTGCCGACTCGTAGCCCATATTATCGAACGAGACACTTCGAACTTGAGAAGGAATGCCAGCTGCTGTGATCGCCAAAACGTCCGAGATTTCGGAATAGCCGACTGAGTTGTAAACCTGAACTTTGAACAGGTATTCTTGGCCAGCTACAACGGGTGTGAAAATCGCTGACGTCTCATTGCGATCCTGCATCAAGATGAACTCACTGGCGTTGCTCCCACGTCCGTCTCCTAAGGCACGGAATAAGCGGTAGGAGTTGATTTGGCCACCGTTTTTCACTGGGTGTTGCCACTGAATGCCGATCGATTCGGTCGAAGACGAAACTCTGGTTGGCGCGGCTGGTCGTTCCGTTGTTGACGCACATTGAGTGATGAACTCGCTCGAATGAGGCCCATACCCAACTGGACTATGCGATCGGAACTGGAAACCGTAGTATTCACCCACCATGCAGTTCTGCAGCCAGTACTCCTTGTCGACGAACTTGTTCAAAGCCACAACTACGAAGCCAGTTCCTAGACCCGCTGCCGCTGGATAGCGCACCGCAACTTCGTAGAAATCGATGTCTGTGCCTCCATTATTTGCAGGGTCTGGCCAAGTCACCTGTACACGCTCTAAGACAGACCTGTTAAACACCGCCGCAATCGGTGGATCCGGTACGACAGCCGTCCAAGCGCATTTCTCAGGCGAGAAGTTGGGTGGTTGGTCGTTCAAATTGTTGATCGCGCTGATATTGTTCATAGCTGCCACAGCAAAACAGTAGAGTGTGCCAGTCTCGAGGGCGCCTGGAATGTCAGTGCCGTTAGGTCCTGTCCCGCTCTGCCCTTGCGAATAATTCGCATATAACGTAATCGATAGATCACTCGCTGTCGGAGTGTCGTTGTACGTATAATTCTGCGTGTTGTTGACTCTCGCGTAGATTCGGTAGAACAGCAAAGGCAAACCGCCCAAGCTGTATTGCGAAGCTGCTGGCCACTGCAAGGAGACAAAAGTGCGGTCTGAAGCTAAAACCGTTGGTGTAAACGGTATGACACCAGGTGACTCGCCAGCGATGATCATGATCGGTGTTGTCCAGTCACTTGTGCCTCCTTCTGTGCGTACACGAACTTCAAATGTGTAAGCCGTATCTAGCACGGCAGGATCGATCCAGTGCCTCCGAGCCATGGTTTCATTCTGTAGGATCCCGTCAACGCGAGAACGATAAGTGACTACAGGACAGCCGTCAGTGTCCTCAGGCTCATCCCATCGGATTTTGATCAGAGTACCGGAGCGCGAATGAATCCGCACATGGCGTGGTGGTGTAGGTCGTGCGCATAAAGTCACATTCACAATATCGGAAACATTGCTGACGCCTACAGCGTTAGCCGCCCTGACTCGGAACCGGTACTGTGCGTTTTGCACCAGCCCCGATCGACTGTACTCTGGGTCGCTGCCGTGATACACTTGCACAAACCTTGCTCCGTCTGCGTGATAGTAGAAGTAAGGCGCTTGAAAGTGGAAGTTGTTATACGTATCCTGACTCGGAGCCCCAGATCGTGGGTTTACGTGCTCGATCACCTCTTGTTGCGCCATGTACAAAATGTAGTAAACAACCGGCAAACCGCCCGAATATGGTGGCTCCCACTTCAGGTTCACGCTAGTACGACTTTTGTGCGTTACTACAGGAGGCAACGGTGTTGATGGCGGCGCCGCATTGTAGACCGAGTCTGACTTACCACTCGGCATACCAACTCCCGCGTCGTTCACACCACGAACATGATACACGTGTCTCGCACCTGGCACCACACCAGTGAATTGATTGTCTGTGCCTTTCAAGACCAATGGGTCTGCTTCGTAGGGCAAAGTCGTTGTCGGAACTGTGAATTTCACGTACGCAATCGTTCCATCGTTCTGCTCTAGGATGTCCTCTACGTAAACCACCAAGTAGTACGTCCTCTCCATCACCAACTCGCACTCCCTGAACACCTTCGTGTAATAATCCTGTACCCCGAACATCAAAGTTTGGGAAAAGTGCAGTTCTCGGTTAACTTTACACTCTTTCCCGCCATGAGAGTACTTGCCGGCTTTCACTTCTCCCGATGTGGTGATGTCTGCAATGGCGTCTTCGGACACGACACTGGCCCAGATGTAGCCTGCTTCAGCGGCTGTTCCGATGGACCAATAGACTTTGTCATAGGAGAAATCTAGCCAAGTTGTATCGACCACAGGATTCGACAAAAAGTAGTTACTCCTATAACCCGGACCAATGTTGATCGGCAATATTGCTAGACTTCCGTCGTTTAGTCCTGCAGAGGTCGCGGATTCGATGTACACGAAGAGATGATAGTCTGTGAAGGGCAAGAAGTTGCATCCGGTAACTGCTTGTGTGGTAACAGAAGTGTCAATGGCAATGCCATGGAGGAAGCACCCTTGGAAGTTGTAACTCGTGCCGCCCGATTGAGCTAGGCTTACCACTGTTTCCGCCAAGCTAGCTGTTGTGTTGGTCATGGAATCATTCGCCAGTCGTAGTTGGTAATCAGCGTCACTAATCGCGGCTGCATGGAGTTTGCCACTCACTTCGGAAGCCACAAACCTAAATTGGACCCCATCCGCTATGGGTGTGGACTTCAGATATGCAGGCACCGTGAACAAATTCGACGCAGGGACGTAGATCGGCAGCGCTGGGGCCAAGGTGCCGTCGTCGTTGTTCTGATCATCTTCGACGTAAACGTAGACGTAATGGGTCTCGCCTTTTCGCAGGTTGCAACCGACCAATTGTACTAAAGTGTCAGAGATCAACTCGCCACTTCGTTGACAGTTGCTAGTACCCTGTGCCCCACTCAGAGACTTAGCAGCAGCTTTCGACGCTGCCGGCGCACCACTCAAATAGGTCGCTTCGTTCACGATGAACGCCCAAATCGAGCCGCCCAATGAACCGAGTCGAGTCACGGCAATCTGCACGTCTACTCCGTTCGCAGACACTGCCGAAACGGCATAAGGATTGATCGTGAAGCTGTTGCTCACTGGCGTGATTGCTCGCAAGTAGTACTGGGATCCATCTGAGGCGTTGTTGACTCCTTCAGCGTAGAAGACGACTCCATAAGGTTCACCTGTTGAGATGCTGCAGTTGATCAGGTTCAAAGTCAAATAAGCAGGTCCACTCGCCATATCCGCCATCGTAGCTGCATGCATAGGAACCCAACTATGATCCGGCAAAGGAGCCCGTTCTGCGGTCAATTGCAGCATGGTGTCTAAGCCAGGTGTGCGAGAGATGTTGTGCCCTTGTTGGGCTGTAGACGTATAGTTTCCAACGGTAGAAACGCACAAAGCGCCTTCACCGCTCTTGATTTGCGACACGGGGAGTCGAAAGTCAAGTAAGGCGTACACTGGTGCAACGGTTGTGGTAGTCGATGCACTAGAGAACTGCGCGTCATCATAGCTGTACTCTCCGAAAGCGGACGCTAATGATAAAGTCGGCGCCGCGGTCATCATGTAAGCGGTGGCAGGGGTAATAGAAGATGCAGTTGCAGTGCCGCCATACGCCACTGTAGCGTAGTCAACAGTCGCGGAGAGCGTTTGAGCCATGCCGGAAATGAAAACAGTGGGCTCTGCTGACTCAGAGCTTGTATCAGAAGACGAAAGACCGGCAGACGAAAACGTGCTTGTAGTCACCGAGAAGCCGGCACCTGTCGCACTGGAAGAAGCAACACTAGTAGTTCCTGAATATGCTGAAGTGGTGACAGCTGTCCCTGTCGATCCTGCTGCAGCCGCTGTCACTCCACTGCCACCGGTGGAAGTGCTGCCGCCTCCGTAGGAATACTGCAGTTTTCTTCTTTTGCCGTCTTGTTCTGCTAGGATGCTCAACTCGTTTAAGGAACGAGGAGAAAAGCGTCCTTTTGGAGTTGCGATATTTATTTCTTCTTCGAGACCCTCTCCCTCCACTCCAGACAAACGTCTTCTGCTCGTTGTCGGTGAATAATTCCCTAGACTCATCTTCGCAGCAGCCTCGACGAAGGCACTCATGGGAAAAGCAGCCACCCAGACTTGTCCTGCTTGTTCGGCACCCACCATGACCTCGAGATTGGTTCCTGCACTTTTACTGTACGTTGGTTAAAGCTCAGCATTCAATGGTCACTGACTCTGAACGGAAGGGGCCCCCCTTCAAAGCTCTTCCCTTTCCCTTCGTTTTCCCCTGTTCTCTCGAGGGGTCGCCTCTTCGATCTCAGTGACTCCAATCTAAATGGTGACCATTGAAAGCTGAGCCTTATGTTGGGATCGTAGTCACATGGTAGTGCCACAACTTGTTGGAACTCGGCAAAATGACGGTGAAGCTCGGCGCCAGAGTACCATTGACAGTACTATTATTCGCGTCTTGCTGTTGTGCTTCGATGTACACGAAAGCCGAATATCGCGTATCCGCATCTAGATCACAGCCCGTCACACTCAAAGAAGCAAATCCACTACTATGATCTCCTGACCGGCGCGCAATTGCTAAGACAGGCACCGCATCCAAGAAACAAGTCGCAATCCCACCACCGCCGGCAACTGGTGCGAATTTGCCTGCTCTGTATTTGACATCTTCCGCCGTGACTGGCGTGTTCCATGGCGCGTTTGGTAGCATCATTGCGTGCCGCTCTTCCATCAACAGAGCCCAAAGCAATCCAGATTCATTTGCAGCGACTTTGAAATCAAAACCGTTGTTGGTGGGTGTACTTTGCAAATAGGGGTAGCAGTTGAAAGCAATTGAGGCTATGCCATCAGTTGGAATTTCGATACCGCGGACAGCAGTAATCGAACCGTCATTCAGACCAAGGGTATCCTCGATATAGAAGAACGCCACATATTTCTTGCCCTGTTCGAAAACTCCTGTGATGTCCACGCGTCCAGTCACGCCTGCAGTGACTGTGATGTTGTCTTGACGACCTACTGGGACCAAAGCGAATCCGGCTTCTAAAGACGTGACTTTGATTCCTATCGCTTTCTGCGCAGAAGATGGATATCCCACAGTCGTTCCAGTTGTGTCAGTGGTGTTTTGAAGATCCACGCCAGCGACTAAAGCTCCACTACTAGAATAGATACTAGAACTAGTAGCACTAGTACTAACGCCGATCGTAGTAGACGTTGCTGTTGAAAATGGTGACCCACCGCCAACTTTCAGGGACTCCTTGCACCACAAGAAAGACGGAATGTTGTCATTACCAGAAATAGGACCAGCAGAAATCGACGGACCTCCATCTACTGTGCAATCACCTGTGTAGGTCGTGTCCTCGTAGACAAGGACCCACAAAAGTCCATCATACTCTGCCGTGAAGCCGAACGAAACGTCTGTCGTAGCTGGCGTGGACTTGAGATACGGTGCGCCGTAATCTTGATCTGTCAAGAAGTAGTTGGAATGGTCACGCAAGGGAAGAGCTATCGGTCCCAAGAGTGTTCCGTCGTTCTGGCCTCGATTGTCTTCTACGTACAGGTAGTAGGAGTAACTCCTTTGTCGTGTGAGAGAACAACCGGTAAGGGTCCAGTTGTAGACGGCCTGATCAGTTGTCAATAAAGTTCGGTTGATAGTTGTTACGCCATCATCTGACACGGCCACCAAACTTGACATGTCTCCTCCTCCGTCGACGTAGGATGAATTCACCGCTACGCCAGAGATACGACACGTAGCTGCACTACCAACTGCGAAACTACCGCTTTTCACTGCCTGAACATCCACTGTCGGAACTCTGCTACTGTCAAAAATCGCTGCCCAACCACGACCGTTCTTTGACACTGTCACAGCAAAGCCTACTCCGTCAGCTGTTGCGGTTCTATCGTGCGACTTCGTCGTAGAGGCGCTTCTTTGCCTATCTACTACTTCTGCACCACCGAACGCGTTCGAGAACGGAATATCCACCCGAACTGCGTCACTCATAGTCCCAGCATAGTAGTTCGCAACCATATTGTGATCTTCGACGTAGACGTAGAGTTCGTAGGCTTTGCCACCTTCTAGATTGCAGTTTTCCAAGTCCACGGCTGTAATCTGCTTAGCCTCCGTGATCATGTGAGCGTACTTGCCGCACAGAAATGGTGGAACATCTTGTTTGAAAAGAGCCGGGCTCAAGTCCAAAGCTCCGCACGTGTCGTCACTCGGTGGATTATCCCGCAAGCCAGCGAAAAGCAAACCAGTGTTGTTCGCAGCAAAGTAAAAACGCACGTTTGTTGGAGACACGTCAGCAGCCGCTTTCTGCGTGTCAAAATAAGGAGCAGAAGTGAAGAAGTTGGTCAGATAAGGACTATTTGTGACGATTTCGATCGGGAAATAGAGACGTCCATCCGCAGAAGCAGCAGGGTTGGTCTCCCACTCGATGTAGACGTAGACCTTGTACAATGTGCTAGACTCAAGAGGGCAGTTGCTGACTGTTGCAGTGTCCAAAAACCCCGTTGTCATCAAGATCCTTGATCCAGCGCACAGAGCGTCACGACCGTCTCGCACTTTGGTCTTCGTCACTCCATGTCCGTAATCGGCGACATAGATAGCAACAAAGACCTCCGCTGGTGCTGCAGCCGCACCGAACTCGACCGTGACGTCACTGCCTTCTGGTTGTCGTGCAACAACGTCGCCAACTATTTTCGGGACAATGCGGAAGTCGTTGCTAGGTGGTACCAACATTGGCACAGGTGCGTGCATTGTCCCTTTCTGATGTGTAGTTCCTCTGTCTTCCACGTAGACGATGACGTAGTAAGTAGTGTCACCACGCAATTGGCAGTTGGTCAAGTGCACACTGTGGTAGATGTTGCCGTACACTGGACGACCGGGCACTGCGCACTCGACTCCTCCTTCTGCGAACTTGCCTTGTTTCAGGGTCGTAACCGTCAAAAGTGGTCGGTTCGTGTTCACCACGACGTTGAGCCAGTAGAGACCGGCACTCATGCTGGTTTCGAACATGACTGTGACGTTGTGCTTGTTAATACCCGCCAAAGCGACAGGCCTGACGAAGCTCGCAGTTGGTCTTGAGACAGTGAAATTCAACGGCGAGGACATCACGCCGTCATCATCCAAGCCTTTCCTGCCTTCGACGTAGAGCAAAACAGTGAAGATTCGACCGACATCCGGTGTCTTGTCATTCACAGGGAAGTTGCAGTTTGTCAGAGTGATCGTGTTCGCTCCTTGGTTCACCACCATCGTTCCACCCTCTAGCCTTTTGCAAGTGCTCAACCCTAAAGCGTCAGTGCCGTTTTTGATGGTCGCAATCGACTGCTTTGCCACGTCTTCCGGATTCAAAACGTTAATCCACGCTCGTCCCGCTTTCTCCACTGAAAACGACATCGTCACTTCATGCTGAGAAATCGAGTAGTCCACGACGCTTGGTTGGACTGTGATTCCGTTCGACAAAGGACTCACAAGCTTGCCGTTTCGGTACAACCTGTAGCCAGTGAGTGGACTCCCGCAGTCGCTCACCGGCTCAGTCCATTTCATGGTGATTTGGGTTTCCGCACTCGTTTTCACGACTGGGGCTGAGAAAGCCGCTAGAGGAGTGCATTTCATCTCCGCGACGTAGATAGCGCTTATCGGACTAATCCCTACTGCATTCTCCGCGACGACGTACAACTTGTACGTCCGACCATTGATCAAACCGATTACTACACATTCCGTGAAAACCACCTCGCAAACCCGTTGATACTCTTCGTCTCCATTGCCCTGATCACGGTAAACCGTGTATTTCAAAACTGGAGTGCCGCCAGCTGTTCGAGGAGGATCCCAGATCAAGGTGAGCGAGTTGGGCTGCCTGGTGTCGATCATGTCAATGGCCCTGACTGGTGTAACCCGCTTCAACCGCACGTTGTAAGGGCTACTTGGCTCAGACCCGCAAACCCGTGTTGTCGGCGCACTGGGTGGCCCGTAGCCAACAGAGTTCCTCGCAACCACCGTAATGCTGTACTGCGTGCCTGGCGTGCACTTCACAATCGCAAATCTCAACTGCGAAGCGACGCGTCCGTCGTACTTCGGACAGGACTCAGCTTCGTCGAAGAAGACTCTGTAGCCCTCTATATCTGCGCCACCATTGTCTCTAGGAGGGTCCCATGCGATCTTTAATTGTGGATTGTCGGGATCGTAGGGCAAAACCGAGTTGGCATACGGCGGCTCCATCTGCCCAGGGACCGTGGCAGCACGCTGCGTCACGGCCGTCGTATAAGGGCCTAAACCAACGACGTTTTCACCTGCAACACGGATGCGATATTCACGCGCTGACTGCAAGCCGCTGATGTAAGCGAAAGTGTCGCGAGTGTGTTTCGCGATGTAAAACGTACCGCCTAAACCATCATCGATTTCGACACGATAGTGCAAAAGTTCGGTGCCGACTAGAGTAGACTCGTCAGTCGCGGCACGCCACGTGACTGCGACACTAGTTCGCGTGTTAGGCTCCGGTCCCTTGTCGCCTGACTCGACGAACCGCGTGTAGTTCGGAAATTGCAAATGCGTCGGCACCATAGGAAGCGCTGCCGCATAACCCGTCACAACGTCGCTGTACGATCCATACGCTGAGTTCGCGATCGCCTTCGCTGCAACACGATACTGATACGCTTTGCCGGTGACCAGACCCGGAACAAGAGTTGCTGTCTTTGTTGTGGGAGCAAGGCCGAATGCTGCACCAGAATCAAAGATTTCCTGACCTTTGTCGATCCATTTTCGAATCGTAGCATTGACGATTTGCAAAACTTCCCAGCCTCTGCCACTGTCTCGTTCTAGCTTGTAGGACACTAGCCTCGATCCGCCGTCATCGTCTGGTCGGTTCCAGCCAACTCTGATAGTAGTTGGATTCGAAGATGCAATTCTCAATCCTAGAGGTTTCGAAGGCGGAATAGCAGCGATTGAGCTCGCCACACCTGACCACGGTCCTTCGCCGATCGCGTTCACTGCTGCCACGCGAGCACGGTAGGTCAAGCCTCGGCTGATGTTGGTCACGACGAAGTAAGTGACACTTGGCGCACCGTAACCGTCGTAGATTGGTCGAAAACCGTCATTCCTGCCACCGTCCATGTACAATACGTAACCCTCAAGCGCCGCGCCACCGTACAAGTATTTCTTCTGTGCTCTCAATGCCGCACTACGATTCGCTACTAGGGAATTCCTCGTTTCCTCGTAGCTACTCTCGTCTAGGGCATCTACAGCCACTCCAGCATAGTAATCGAACGGCCCACGAGGCGTGCCCCACAATTGAGGTTCTCCAACAGGGTCCCAACGCCAGATCAAAGCATCCTCCTGTCTGGCTACTACGCGCAAGTTCTGAGGAGCAACCAGTGGCGGTGTGCCGACGATCATCGAGACAATCTCCGAGTAAGGCGACAAACCTTTGGCATTTTGAGCTGCTACGCGGAATTGGTGGACTAGAGATTTTTCAAGGTTTGAGATTTGTGTGCTTTCTTCGTCGTTGTCGCGCATAGGTCCGGTGACGGTGGTCCATTTCAGGAAGTTGTCTTTCTCCGAAGCGTATTGAATCTCGTAGTTCAGGACTGGTTCGCCCCCCGCATTCAACGGTCGCATCCATGTCAATTGCACTGCTGAGTCGCTAGCTTCGCCGTTCACCATCGCGGGCCTCACTTGCAAATTCAATGGCGCACTTGGGGTGCGACTGACGATCGTGGAGACGACAGCAGAAGGCAAAGATTGCTGCCCAACCGATTCCGGGAAATGCACTAATCCGTCGCCCTGTACTGTGCTACGGGCGACTACGTAAGCGCGGTAGATGCGTCTCGGGACTAGATCGCGACTCACGTACTTCAGCTGTTCTGGTCGTTTGTAACCGTCGTAGACCATTTGGAATGTGCCTCGTAGCCCGTCGTCTTGCCACAGTTCGTAGCCGACAATAGCAGCATCGACCGCTTTGTCGAACTCCACAGCGTCCCACTGGTACAAAATCGCGTTCTTCTCACTAGGATGCATCTGCGCCCTCAAGTTTTTCACCACACCAGGTCGCTCACTAATCGGAACTTGCAGAGGCACGCTGTCACCTGTGAATCCGCCAAGACAGTTCCTGGCTCGCACGCTGAAAGCCGGTCGACTGTTGCACTTCAGATTCGTGGCTTCCAGTTCAAACACAGTGCCGTCAACTTCAGCTTGCACGCGCCAATTCTGTAGCACTTGGTACCTCTCGATCGCACAACCACCGTTCTCCTCCGGTGCACGCCACCGAAAACGGATGAAACCACTTGCATCCGGATTTCCTACACGGTCTGCACAGCCGACTGAGAGCAATTCAGGCTGTAGCAAAACCCCAGAAGCTCCAATCGGCGCAAACAAAGCTGGGTCGGAGAGTTCGGATTCGCCTGCGCGATTACTACAAGACACTTGAAACTTGTAATTGCGGAATGTGGCTAACAGAGTCGATAAGAATTCGGTTCCTGGACCGCGGTAGACAGGTAGCATCGGACCGCCGTAGCCGTCGTCCCTGTACAAGGTGCATGCCAACACATCCAGAGTATTGGCGTCATGCATCTCGTAAGCTGGCGTGCCGTTTGTCGCTAGATGATCGGACGTAGCGGGGTCAGGGAGCAAGACGTAAGATCGCACTTCAACTAAAGTCGTGTGATTCGTTGCGTTCATCTGCTCAACTGTACTGACATTCAGTTCGTATTCGTTGACGATGCTCCTGGTCCAGTTCCAACGAACAAGCAGTGAGTCCTTAGTTCTCGCCACCAAGTGTGGTGTCGGAGGCTTGGCTGGTGGACTTGCGACCAAGAAAGCTGCGACATCACTCGAAGGACTCTCACCCATCAAATTTATCGCCTTGCTCTTGTATCGGTAGGTGCGACCAGCAACTACATCGACGTCTACTTTGTGTCCGGCAGTGGCCGGACCGCCATCGGAGGTCACGTTGCCGAAGTAGCTGATGTCTGTGCCATTGTCGGTGCCCAGTTCTCTGTTCCTCGTAGTAAACCACAAGTTGAAGTCGCCACCTAAGCCATCGTCGCGCCAAATTTCCATGTAGACGATCGGAGAACCTCCGTTATGTGCAGGCGGACCGAAAAAGACGTCCAAGTAAGGCACTGGCGATGCAGCAGCCGACCGCAACTTCGGTTCTGGTGGGGCCGCTGGTGGCAATGCAGCTACGATCGGTCCAAGTCTTGTGCTGTTCCTACACCCAACAGCATTACAAGCTTGCACGAAGAAGATGTAAGCGCGTCCGAACGTCAAATTCGAAACGAGGTACTCCATTTGTGAGAAATGCTTCTGTTCGATCGTCGTAACTTGTGGATCTCTGATTGATGATTTCGACGGTCCACCAACTAAAAGTCCGTAGTCTCGCTTTTCAGGGATCCAATCGCATTGGCCGTATTTTGTGCAGGTAGTAGAATTCAAGTCGACGTTTCTTCCAGCGCCGTTTCGAATGATATCAACTTCCGTAAAGTGTTCTGGTCTGCCTACACCTTCATCCCGGAAAATCCTAAATTCTTCCACCGCAATATCTTCTTCGACGATGTGAGGCATTTGCCATCGCAAAACTACAGAAATCTCGGGCTCTCTGCGATTCTGTTCCGACAATGGTGAGGTGACTTCCGAAGGATTAGAAATGCCTACTCTGGTTGCTGTGCTCAATTCTTCCCTTCCTACAGCGTCATACTCGCGTCTCGTGAAAAACCGTGTCTTGTCGAAGTAAGAATGCACACGATAGCTGCCAGACTCGATCTCCAAGTGCTGAATCGCCGGTGGCGGTTCAGCTGCAAACACCTTCAGAATATCCGATTTCTCAGACGGTAGGGAACAAAAGACGCCAACAGGACACTTCGGCGCGTCTTTCGGCTGCAAAGGTGGCTCCGGTAAGGCGAACTCAGTACTTGCACATCTCCCATGAGCTTCGATCTGAAACTTGTATTCCCTACCGGGTAACAAGTCGGGCACTCGGTAGGCCAGCACGTCTGGATTGCAGATATCACAACGATCCAGCAACTTCGCTGTAGTGTTCAACCCGTCGGAGAAGTAGATTGTGTAGCGCGTCAAGGGCGAATCACCTGGAGACCTGGGTCGAGTCCAACCAATGGTGATTGCTGTGCGTTCTGCTTTGAGCACAAACGGCTTGGCTGGCTTCAGAGGTGGCACGCCTGCGAAGAATTCCGCTACTGCAGATCTTGGTCCCGCGCCAGCGCGACTCACTGCCGCAATCTGCACTTTGTACATCCTACCAGGAATCAGGTTCTGCAGTTTGTGACGCCTCACAAAAGCGTTGTCAGATTCGTATTTCAAGTAGGGCACAGTGTCCGGCAAGCCGTCTGAGCAGTAGACGCGATAACCGGAAACGGTGTCACCCCCATTCTCCAGAGGCGGATCCCAGGCGATCTCGATCTCAGTCGGACTACGCGCATTGTCTACACGTTTTATCGCCCTCAGAGTAGGCGGACTAGGCGGATCCGCAGCTCTCGTTTCGAGGTAGCCACTTGCCGGTCCCACGTTGCTAGCGTCTACTCCATTAGCCGCTCTTACCCTGTGCCAACAGATCCCGTCTTTGCCGCAATTTGTTGAGACCTTGTCATCCGCACAGGTATTGTAATTCCCAGGAACGAAATCGCCAAAATACTCCCGCTCATCCTTCTCGTAGCCGGGACTGCGATCTAAGACGTTCCTCGGTGTGCGCTTCTTCATGCAGTGGACGATTTCCCAGTTCAGGCCAGGACCTTTTTTATTCAAAGAGTCGATCTCGTACATGATGCCAGCTTTGTCGATCTCTCCTCTTTGTGCAATGGACCGCTCTACCACGTAGCCTGCGATCGGAGCACCGCCGTCATCAAGCGGCGGATCCCAGGTGATGGTAACGACTTCACGACCGGAGTTGTGCAGTCGTGGTTGCGCTGGAGCAGCTGGTGGAGGCACACACGTTTTCTTCAATTTTTCACTGCGTGCACTGGCACCGGCATACGAGGTGACAAGGAGTTCGAACTCGTAAATCATGCCGAATTCGCAATTTCTCAAGGTGAAGTTGCGATGACCAGCGTCGGATTCAAAAACCTGTTCTCCGTTTGCAAAGATGGTGAACTTGCGCACTGGTGCTGCACTGGTCGGTGCTCGAAACGCTAGCTCAATCGTGTCACGACTACTGCCACGTGCAGAAAAATGGCAGAATTCATCTGGCGTCTCCCGCACTAGCTCACAAACAAGTGGCGTACTAGGGACTGGTGCAGCCACTAACTCTGCCGCATTTGAAAACAACTGGTCCTCACCTGTGGTAATTTCGTTCAAAGCCCGCACTCGATAGTAGTATTGCTGACTCGCATTTACGTTGTCATCTGTGAAAGTTAGGTTTGTGCCTAGTCCGTCGGCTATTGAAGTCCAGGTAAACCCTAGATCTAGAGATCGTTCCAGCTCATAGGATGTAATAGGGCTTCCGCCATCGTCTGGAGGTTCCCAAATCAACGCGATTTGCTCAAAAGTGGTATTTTCTGGAATCGCACGTGGCGGCTTCATTCTCAACGCCTTCGTCGCAGCCACTACCTCCAATGGCACGCTAGTAGTCGTACTCTCACCAGCACGGTTCAAAGCTGTTACGTGGAATCGGTATTCTCTGCCTCTTACAATCGGAAAGAAGTCGCTGAAGACTGGACCTTCTTTGACCTCGAGAGGAAGAACCTTGTTCAGATTGCTGTCTGTGATGACGCGATAACCAGTGAAATTCACCACAGAAGTCGTCGGCGGCGCGTTGTACTCGATCACGTTGGTGATAGGTCCTCCAAGACCGTCGTCGCACAAGATGTTGAAACCGCGAGCGAGCAAAGCCGGATCCGGAGCTGGCCAAGTTGGAGTAGCCGTTGCAGAAAACGTAGTACCTGCTGGATACTGCATCGGCGGACGAAAAGCGAAGACGATCGACTCAGGCGATTGAAAACGAACTGGAGTACTCGTGTCCCAACCTGGACTGGACAGGACATCCACAGCTGCTAATGCTATCCTTTCGCTACGTGGTCCACACCCCGCGACGTTGCAAGCAGCTACTTGAAACGCATAGGATTCGACAAGCGGTGGCGTGAACACAGCCACCAGATTCGTCGCAGTGTAGAAATTCACATCCACAGAAGGGGTCTCAAAGGTTTCCTCCACCTCGTTGAACCCAATAGTAGGTGCAGCAGCTGGTCCAACCACTTTCTTCGTAGATCTCAACATGTAGACCTTGTAGCCGATGATGTTACTACTCCCTAAAATCTCAGGACTTGTTTTCGATGCATCCACCACGTCCCACTCTACAGACAGCGTATTTGCGTTGTTCGGCAGAACTTTAGACCGCCTCAAACCCGTGACTCTCGCTTGCGGAGGTATCAATTCGCAGCAGAGAATCGAGACTTCCGCTGACCAAGGTGTCCAATCTACTATCGTCGCAAAGCGATTCCGGAGCTTGTAAATGCGGCCACGTACTAGGTTCTTCAACTCTAGTTTTGTAGCAACTTCGACGTTAGTAATTTGGTCGAAATCCACACTGCCAAAAATGGTTCTGTAACCACTGGCAGGTCCGTCGTGGCCGTTGTTATGCTGCAACTCGTAATGCCACGCTTGAGCGCCGCCTAAGTCTAGAGGAGCACTCAGTTTCAAAGTGATCATGCCGAGTTCGGAACTGGTGTTGAAGAACTCAGGTGGGTTCGGGACTCCTGGTGCTGTCGTAGGTTGCACTTCGATCTCGTAAGGGTCACTGTCGCAACCGTCGTTTCTCGATACAATCGCGTACTTGTAAATCCTCGTACTATCCAAACCACTGTCGGTGTAGCCATTAGCCAAGTGGTCCGCAGTTTCGTACAGCAAGATGTTCGCCGCATCTCCATTCCCGCCGTTCCGGTAGACACGAAAACCCGTGATCGCTTTTGCGCCGTTCTCCAGTGGTGGAATCCAACGTAGTCGTACTTCCCCTGCGACCGATGGCTTGTCCCTGTAGAAAGCGTCTGGCCTACCAGGACAGTCCCAGACCGAAAATTTCCTCGGGAAGTTCGCCAAACGCAATCGCGAATGGTAGAAAGCAGATTGCGGCACTACTTGTCTTTCCAAACCGCACTCGGCGCACTCCCACTCTAGTTTCAACCGCGCGTTGTCCCGGTAATCACGGTACATCGCATGTAGAGCGTAGAGCTTTTGTTGAGTCAAGAACTGACCTGGAATGGTCCACACGCCTGGGGCGTAGGTGTCCATAGTGATCACGCCATCCATCCAGATCTTGCACACGTCGTCGACAGTTAGGTAAAACGTGTAAACGCCTTGGGTCGGAGCTTTCAGGTAAGCATTGAACTGCGCACCGACTACGTCACTGCTGTTCGCCGTGACGCGACCCATCAACCATTGGAAATCGATCATGTTGTCCACGATCCTGGAGCTGTAGTTCCCCTGCAACCAGATGTCGTTGTAGTACGCCGAATTGACCCCACCTTTCTTCACGATGAAGCAGTCTAGCTGATATTTTCCGAGTGGTCGGTCGGCGGGAACCTGGATGTTCAGCCGGTACATTCCGGCGTAATTGGGGATCTGGGCTACTTTCAGGTACAGAATGTCTTCGTTCAACTGAGATCGCAGTGTCCTCGGTCCAAACGTTTCGCAAACGATCTCCAGCTCTGTAGTCTCCGAGCTCGTCACCGCGTTGCCGTACTCATCTGCGGCGTTGAAGATGACCACATTCTCCGTGTCGCGTCGAATCTCCGTGTACATCTGCGTGTGCTTGAACGGATACAAAATCCCGCTGCCTGGATCAATCACGCGTGATCGAACGAACAACGTGTAGATACCCGGTTGCAGCGCCAAAACGTTGACGCCATTGACCAACACCTTCATCTCGTAGATGCCCGCCGTCTGAATGTTGTATCTGCACTCGAACTTCCCCTCTCCACTAATGTCTAAGCACGTGACATCCGGCAAGTTCGAGCCAACATCTTGGCCTTCCGAGACACCCGTTGGGTTGCCGTTCTCATCGCGCAAAGTGACGTTAAATCCGCTCCAAACGCCTGCCATCGCGTTCGCTAGACCCTCACCCTCTACCAAACTGTGGACTGGACTCGGCTGACCCGGCCGGATCAGCACGTTCACGGTTTGCTCCGTCCGCGTCGCTAAGAAGCCGTTCCCCACTAAAACCTTCATGCTGTAGCTCCCGGCCCTTGTGGGCGTGAACTCGGCCGTGTAATACCCAGTATCCTGCACGTGTTGGAAGGTCATGGGCGTTGGTGGATCGGTCAAAACTTCCCCAGCCACGTTGACTCCTGCTGCGTTGTAACGAGGGTTTCCGAACTGATCCAACGTGTGAAAATAGAACTTGTTTACGACTGCCGTCATCGCCTCAGTGACGTCCTCTTCACACCGATAAACGTTTTTTTTCACTACTTCGTCGTAGTAATTGCTCAATCGGATGCCTTTACACAGCAAAGACATGGTGCTGGCTTCGGCTGGTGTCGAAGGGGCGATTCGGTTCTCAGGCAAAATGTTCAGCGGGTAGATCAAGTTCTCAGGTGGAATGATTTGCTCTGCGAACGAGCCAGTGCGCCAAAACACGCGTGCATACGCTGTGCCGGTCGTGTGCGCGTACCAAATCTCAAAAGGCACATGCACATTCGCAATCAATTCGCCTTCTGGAATGGTCACCGATTCCGCCACCGGAACATCTACGTCCCACTTGTCAATCACTCGTCGTCCATTGATCAGAATCGCACAAGCGTAGTCAGACTCAATGCGGAAATAGTGTTCGCCGCTCACTTTTGGCAATAACATCCCCGACCATCGAATCGAGAAGAAATCTTCAGTACCCTCAGCAATCGGACTGCCTGGCCACACGAAATTCACTGTCGGATCAATCTTTGTATATTCAGTGACCATTTCACCAACGTGGTTCAAGTCGGTAAACTTGGAAATCATCGACTGGAAACCCTGAGCGCGATAGTACTGGGCAATCAAGCCGCCACGAGCTTCTAAGCGGACAACCATGGAAAAATTTCCAATTTCGGTAATCTGCACAGGCATTTGATAGCGCTTGGTGATGCGGTCGTAGGCGCCGTTGGCGCGGACAGTTTCACCACCGACGGTTTGAGAAACAGCTTCAGCGTAGATCAGGAGATCGAGTTCTGAGGATTAGAAGCTTCGCGATTTCGGTTGTTTGAATTTGATAGAGCAGAAATCACAGGCAGAACATTTTTTATACTGCCGCCGCTACAAGAACCTACTGTCAACTTAGCTAGATTCATTCAATGGTTGATCATCAAACGCCATAAGAAATCGGGTTGTTGAATTCGTCGTTCGTGTTACACCCCACGTTCGTCGCTACACCGACCGGAAACGCCTTTGGCACTTGGCAGGAACTACCTGCTGCGCTTGCTGGTCCAGGCACGACGTTCAAGCCACTCAAAGGCGAGTCTTTCAGATGCTCACCTATCACTTTCGCCTCCAACTCATTGTTCTGTCCCGCTGACGTACTACGTGCCACAATAGTGTAGGTTCCGTTGAAGTTATCAGTGTAAGCAAGAGCTTCACCGCTCATCTTCAACTGGAAATCGAGTAGAGTCGGTGGATCGACCAGATTGTTTCCGTAAGCGTCGCGCCATTGGATCAGGGCAATTACTCCTTCGCCAGCTGGGGATTAAAGAAGGTGAATATTATTACGACATTCATTATACTAGATCCATCGAAAAATGATCCAAGCGCTTGAAAAAGAAGTACCTGTACAGTCTAAGTATTTTTCTCACAAATTATAAATCAATAAATGAAACCGTACCTACAGTCTAAGTATTTTTCTCACAAATAGAAATAAATCAATATCAATAGGAAACCATATGAAACCAATCAATAGCATAACTAAAATTCCTCGGCAAGTTCAGCACCTCGGACTTGATTGGACTCACTGGACCCGGTGAAATGTGGATCGGAACTGGCAGCATCGTCACGACTGTGTTGTTCAGCGGTGGCGGAGCCTCGACTTGCGAGATCGAGTTGTTCAAAACTTGGATGTCGATGTACCTGTCGTTTCCCAAGCTCGCGAACGTTGGCTGCATAGAACATTCATACACACCTCTTACTTGAGTACAAAAATGCCCAGGTTTGTTCCAGATCGTCGGAAATTCGGTGAAATCTGCATCACAACCCAAATAGGTTCTGCACTCGAAGTAGTCTTCTCGACTGCTCGTGGGAATCGTGAAAATTCGGATGTTCGGTCGCAGAGCGAGAGGAGTCGAAAGTGGATTGCCGAAAGCGTCGCGTAATTGCACCATCATGTCCTTAAATGATCCAGCACGCCATGTAGTCGGCGGCTGTCCAGACACGATCTTACACCGTGGGCCGTAGGGAACTTCTTTGCCGGTTTTCACGTCTCTTTGAGCATATCCAGTAACAGCAAACGGCGATCCACGGACGTTAGTTCCTCGAATCTTGACGTACATCTTGTTGCGACCGGCGCGCAGAGCAGTGTAGGTTACGAGATATTTCCCGGCAGAAGCGTAGACAGCACGACCGAAGAAATGCCGACCAAACTCAGAATTGAGCAGTTCGACATCTGAAACAGCAAAACCATCGAAGTAGGCAGATCCAGCAGTATAGCCTTCCCAATGCAGAGCCACCGAAGATTAGACGTCGAGATGTGCAGCTAGATTATTAACTCGGCAATTACCTTACTGCACTGAAAATAGGACAAACACTCATCATTCTTACACAGCGATCATTTAGTCATTAGAAGCCATAATCAATCGGCAAGTTCGCATCGGTCACCGCATTCCCAAATCTGTCTCGGACAATCAGCTCAAATGACGTTTCCACACCCGCGAAGAAGGTTTGTGTGGCATTGCCTTCCGCTTGACTCGACTCCAAATCCGGCACTCCTGCTAGGCCTTCGACGTCCATCGGAAACAAAGCCAACATCGCTCCGTGTATGCGCACACTAAGCTTGTAAGTGCCCATCACAGTCAGAGAGGAGAAGCTCACTCGATAAGTCCCCGTTTCCCTGTCCGCAGAAGGATACGGCTTAACCAGTGGAAATATGGCCAAATCCGGATTGCTTGTGTGTTCTAGTTTCACTTCCCACGCGTCCAAAACCGTGGATCGATTGAAACCCAGTCGGTCACGAGCTTGGATGAAAAAGACGTTTTCTTCGCCAGCTAGGGCAACGCCAGACTCGATCACGGGACCAAAAACGAGACTCTGCGCAGGTGACGTGTCTAGACTCGAGGCTTCCAGTAATTCGCTAGTTGTGTAGCCATCAGTAGCGTTCTCGTATCCTCGTTCGATCAGTTCAGCTTGGACTTGCAAAAACGTAGGAAAGCCTTCGATCCAAGCTGCACGATAGAGTCTATCGCCGGGAATGATCTGCCTGGGGACAGAGAAAGCACTGTAGAACAAGCGGCAAGAGGCTTTCCCGAAGACTTCGCGATACACCAGCTCAATCGGCACAAACCGATTCGCAGTCAAAGACACTGCGCCACTAAAATCGCCACTCGTAGAGGCCCATTTGTCAATAATCAACGTGTTGTCCACCCACAACTGCACCCCGTCGTCCGCCTCTACGCTGAACGTGTATCTTTGCGTATACTGCGGTACCAGGTAGCCGCTCCATTTGACACTGACAAAGTCCACGACAGAGTCCGCTTTCCGGACTACAACTCCCGCATTTCCGCTGCTTGTATTCGCGCTGGACGCCTGAATCACCGGTCCCTCACCCCATTGGAAATCTACGATTTCCTGCTTCTCAAGCACAGGCAAACCCTGTCGCCACTGATTGTCCCAATACTGAGCCCACAATCCGCCCACCTCCAGTGATTGCACTGCAGCAGTGAATCTGCCTTTTTGCGGAACCTTAGCTTCGATTCTGTAAGTGCCGTCACCTCTGTCTTCCGCAACGAAACAGCAAGCTGGCTTCGCTAAGGTAGTTGTCAAGGCTGAAGAAGACGTCGTAGCACTACTTGAGAAGACTGCAGCACTCGGAAACGTTGTCGCGAAAGGATCCCCACCAGTAAAAGCGATGTCACGACAAGCTTGTCTATCACTGGGATCGAGATCACAGGGATTCCGAATCTGCATCAAAAACAAGCGTCCCCCAACTGCGTCGTCGTAGCCAGAGTGAGGGTCTACACCCTGGAGAATAGTCTCAAAGGCGGAGTTAGCTAGTGGTACAACGCGTGGGAACTGGAGGGCGCGACTGCTGGGGGCGACCTGGTAATAAATTTTGGGTTTCAATTTGATCATGCTAGAAACATAATCGGGCTGATACAGAACAAGAAGTACCGTTTCAGTTTTTTCCCCATCCCGTCACAATCAAGTAAGTACCTGCAATCTGCTCAGTTGTATGCTCGTTTCCGAACTGGGCGAACCTAGACCCACTCTGTTCCGTCCATGTACCCTAAACCTATGCAATAAGCGGAAGTCTAGGTCGCGAATATTGAATGAGAAGATGTTTGGGTCTTCTGGGTCGTCTAGAATTTTTCGCCAACGACTCTCATCCTGATGGTCTCCACTCGTGTAGGCTACTACAAATCCCAACAACGGCGATCCCATATCGTTCGGCGAGATCCAAGAGAGAGCGACGTCGCTACTGCCTATCTTCGAAAGTTTCGGCCGAAACGCCGCAGGAAATCGCGGTGTACCCGCAGAAGCGTAACTAATCACATTGCTGTTCAAAGTTGTGCCGTTATCGGTTTTGGTGCCGGAAAAAGTAGTAGTACTACTAGAAGGTGAAGTCCCAGCACCATCGTCTGCTTCCTTCAACCTTGTCTGAAACCTGTAGTTCCGATCCACCTCCAGGTCAAACAGCGCCACTTCTTCGTTACAGGTTCCATTATGAGCGAGAATGGACAACGGAGAACCTTTGCCATCATCCCGCAATAACTGACAATAGCTTGAAGTACCGCCTAGAGAGGTTTGCACGTCAGGTGGAGCCACGCGGAGTCGTATCTGGCCCCTACTGCTGAAAAGCAACTCAGGTGGAGGTAGTTTTTCAGCGTTGGCTCCTAGTAGAGGGATCGTACTAAGACCAAGTGGAGAAGAAAGAGTAGTCGATGCCAGAAAAAGCAGCATCATGAAGATGAAGAGAAGGAGTCCGAGGACTGCCCTTGGAGCTTGTGTTGTTGGTGGTTCTAGTGTCCGCTTCTTGTATGTGTGTATCCCTGATGATGCCGTTCCTGACACCCGTAGAGGACCTATAATTCTTTTGATCTGTGACAACATCCGCCGTCTTCTCCTTCTCCTGCGCCACCAGAAATACTGCCACCACTGCAATAACCTATCTGCTCCGAAGAAGGACAAGTAATGCTCCTGAAGGCTTCGAATAAAGAGTGCTGGATTGTTTGATGTCTCTTCCGAATTTTCCGGGTGTGCTCCTGATAACCCAGTTACGTCAATAGAGGAATGCACTACTTGCAGCCCTTCATCCCTAGTTTTCCTCATGGCCGCATCAAACCTCGATTTCCGCCGTATTCTTTCGCGGGCTCCGGCGTATTCTCGTCCTGATTCTTGTTGATGGTCACCCCTGTTTTTTTGACCACGAACACAGAAGTTCAATTTCCTCCACATTTCTACAGCAGCCCTGCTGTATTCGTTGTTGTCCTCTCCCAAGAGGCCCTCCTGCTTTTCGAGACCGAAAGTCGGCACTCTCGCTGGCCATCTGTCGTTATGCGTGCAGGAGCCACCCTGACAGAATAAATGTTCTGTTGAGCGGCTCGGCGAAGATTTCTCCCATCCGTCCATATTGACATGATGAGAGACATCTGTTTTACGGCATTCAAATTTTCTTTTTGTTACGTAGGTCTAATTATGATACCGAAACGAATCAATCAAACATGGTCTACTACGTCCTCTACACATCTTCTCTTCTCCACCTCCCTGTTTATGTATATTTTTTACAAAAAGAAGTTATATCCAAAATATTGTACAAGGTTCTCGATCAATTTACATAATGCTAGGGAGATATCCTAAGTTTTTGATTGGGTATGAGAGATGTCGAAATCGGTCTCATGTCACTCGGTGTGACTTGGCTCCTCACGTGCTTGCTCTCTTTTTCAAAAAGGTTCTCTTTCACCTCTTTCATCCCTCATTTTCAGCCACTTTTTTGCCATTTCCTGTGAGAAACAAAATCAAAACCTCTCCGAACTTACCACTCGCATTTCAAAAACATCGCTCTATCACCCTCTCCGAAAAAGAAGACACTCAGTTCAAAACATAATCGGACACTCTATCTTGACCTCTCCAGTGCCTCGAATATTTTCGCTCAACACTTTTTTCTCTCTCATGATCAACTCAGAAACACACTGGGAATCATCAATGATCTACTCAGTTCACGACCTGTCAGTTTACTGCATGCGCTAACGTGAGTTTCCATCGAGTTTTAATTTGCATAGTACTCACTATTTGTTTTGAAAGATTGTTCTCGCAAGTCAAGATTCTCTTTCCACGGTTGCATGCTTGTTCATGTCGAAGACTACCTTTAGCTAGCTACGTCGCAAAGAAAACAATTCATTCATTCACTCGTTGTATTTAATCTTACTCCTAATTGGAAAACATCGAGCTAATTCTAAACTACAAACGATATGTTACAATATCAAACTCTTCCAATTTCTAATCTTTGTCATACATTTTCATCTTTTTCGTAAGCCAATTTGTCTTTGTTACATGCAGCTCGACAAATACGGATATTCGTTTTTCTATACATTTATTACTTCGCTAAACTTGTGACGGTTCCCTTAGATTATTACGAATTCATCTTAATACACGCGTGGTACTCCTATGTATCCTATTCAATTATGCCGTACATCGCTTCTTCTCAGTGAGAGGACAGGTTTCATTCTGATTAGAAATGCGATTGATTTGAAATGTGATTTCCACAAATGTAGCATACAGTCACTGGCGCGAATTTTTAGTCTTTCACTGAAATAGTTTTTTGATGATAGAATCTTATACTTAACTATAGCAAATCACTGCTATAGTTGCAATATTTTGATAGTTAGACAATATTCTTAACGACTGAATTCTGGAATTACAACCATTCGGAAAATTTCAATTGTTACACAACTCCTTTTCTTTTACTCAGGGGTACTAAGCACTTCCTAAGCTACCTCAGCCGCGCTGCCCTGTCGGCAATCCAATCGACGGCTGCTTCAACGACCAGGGTGCCGCAATCCTATTGAACTGGACCATCTTCCCACTGCCAACTTGTTGATAGTATGTCACTTTCTGTCCTCCTGCTTGCTCGCCAAGACGAGTCGGAGGTGCGAAAGGCTTCAGCGTAATTTGAGGACTCGCCCTAGCCGCTGCTGGAGGCATCTGCTGGCCGTATTTCAGAGGGGATGGCTGTCTCTGAGAAGCAATGATGGTAGACGTCGTTGTTGGAGCACCGGTTGAGAGCGAGGATGTTGTTGTCCCTGTGGATGAAGTCGTCGTTGCTGTTGCCGCAGTACTACTACCTGTTCCTGGAGGTCGGATAGTACTAGCATTTTTTCCATCATCATTGCCGTTTCCTCGTAGTATCATGCGGTCCTTCGACACAGACCTCGACCGACCAATGCCAGCAGTTCGCAACGATTGACGCGTAGCTGGCGTCGCGAGGAAGTTACGGCTCTGATAATTCGCGGGCTTCACTGATGCAGCGCGTGTTGTGATTTGTTGAGCAGGTCCTGCTGGCGGAGCTCTATTCGCTGACGTCGTAGTAGTCGTCGCAGCACCAGAGACAGATGATGCAGTGGAACTAGCAGATGAAGATATTCCGCTTGTACCTGTCGTAGTACTAGCAGCCGTTTTCATCGTCGAAGTACTAGACATTGCCGTAATACCACTACTGCTTCCTTGAGAAGAAGCTGAAGAGATCCCTCCAGCAGATGCTAGGCTTGAAGTAGCACTATTGCTTTGCGCAGACAACAATGATTGTTCTTGGAGATCCGCACCTCTCACACCTGCCGTTCCAGAGCTGCTACAATTAGCAGCCGATGAAGATGCCACACTTCTACTGGCAGATCCACTACGACTGGCACTCCCACGACTAGCGGATGAGGCTGACATAGAGCGAAGTTGAGCAGTAGAAGCAAGAACAGGTGGTACACCATTACTTCCAGTTTGAATGATGATGCCGCTAGCGGTAGTTGCTGCTGGTAGTTGTCGTGTCTGCGCGGTCGTAGAGAGAGCACCAGCTGCGACGGTGGCACCTGCAGTGGTGGTCGGGAAAACGCTGGCGGCGAAAGCGTTTGGAGTTAGAGCGAATATGCTCGTCAAGAAACTACTATGAAAATCACAGACCAACGACCACATGACCTGTTTCCAAATTCGATATCTTTAAGTGAATAACAACTCTGTCAGAGTCAGACTTCCTCATCATCCAGTCATAACCTATTCGGCGCTTGATACGCACCACCCAGTCCCTGGAATCCTCTTGTATCGACAAGCACAGAGGAAGCACGCCTTTGACTTGAGCCACTGGCGGACACTGACCGTGCTGGCCCAGTAGTTGTAGCTGCAGCAGCACCAGAAGCTCCAGCAGTACGAATCATAGGAAATGGCAATGGAGCGGCAGGCGTCATGGATCCAACAAAGAGCTTTTGAGATGGAGCCCCTGAGGGTGATTACGATCATTTGTGACAATGTGAAAAAAAGCTAGAGATACATCAACAACGAATCTCTCTGAGCAAGGACTCCAAGAACGATGTACGAAATGGTGCTGTTGATCTACTGAAATATTTATAAGTCATGAACTCACGACCTGTTGTCCCCTCTTGCGTGGTAGCAACTCCGATAGTGGATGCTGTCTGCGCCCACGATTGCTGTCGGAAGACGCGAGCTTCGAAAGGTGGGGAGCAAGAGCAACTGCTTTGCCGGAAGACACCAATATTGCCAACTCGCAAAGGTAAAGGGGTCATATGACCTGTAGAGATTGGTATTGAAAATTGTCAGTTACCTTCCTTTCCGATGGTGAAACAAATATGCAGCTGAAGCTTCTACTTCTAAATCCTGTTTCTATAACATCAAGAACAATATTCATGTTGGTGTCAAGTCTCACACTGTAGCAGTACCAGCTGCCCCCAGCATCTGTCCAGGCGGGTTCACACGAGGCGTGTTGAGTAGATTTCGGCACGTCTTGCCCGGACTCTGTTCGGCTTGTTTGCCTAGTGGCGAGACCACTATGTTGCCAAGAAGTCCCCGTGGCATCATCTGGACTGACTGGCTACCCGGTTGGGGCAACTGAAAAGGGGTTTGCGAAAAAGTAAGGATGATCTTTCATCAAAGAGGAAAGTCGTGCGAAATCTAGCCGAACATGATGCCTTCCGACTTATGGTGATGTAGACTATGGTGATCAGATCACTGAGGAATCTACAGGAACGAGCATCCAAATGCAAATCATCAGTGATAGTAAGTACCCTCTTCACTTTGGCGGCCTCCTTAGATTCATCCGCAATGTCCATGTTCTTCTTCTTCGGTGTTGTCGTATCTTCGTCAACCACGCTGCTGGAGACAGGAGGCAATGGATTCCCGGTCGACAACCGCTTCGGAGGCCCACTTGGGGGAAGAGGAGGCGCTCTAGTTGAAGTAGTCACAGAAGCGGAAGCTGTGCTTGTCCTTTGTTCGTTGTTGGTGCTGCGGTGGAACATCGAAGTGATAGTAGTAGTAGTAGCAGTAGTGGTAGTCGTTGTTGTCGAACTCGCTGCGTTGCCCAATTTGTTCCTAGTCATCGGATTCTTCATCTGGAAAGCTTCTTCAATATCACGATCTAGAGGAGCAACGAGCGCATCGGGAGAGATGCCTGGCGATAGAGGATCGTGCAAACAAACGGTCTTTTCGTCTTCCGTGAGGTGTTAGAAAGAACGCAACTAAGTATATTGTTGTAGCAGGAGGAGGTGGAGGAGAAAGTACCTACAAGATATTGTTATGCTATAGGCCAATGTCAATGTCAATGTCTTTTTTTAGAGGTAAAGGGATAAGCCTAAGTTTGTAGAGGTAAAAACTAACCGGCTGTTTTCTGCTAGAGGCCCATGCCAATGCCAATGTCTTTTCTAAGTAGAATAAACCCTGCATACAGTTATTCGAAAAACTGAAATAAGCGAGTATAATTACTTAAAATAAGGGAGATACTGAAAGAAGGGGAATGTAGTCAAGACTCTCTTATTTCAGTCAGTAACTCGCGTATTTTGAGTATTCGAGTAGTTATTTCTGACTGGCAAGAATCGACAAGTAGCAAGCATCCCAAATCCATAGTCTGAACTAGCAGCGTCTATGCCCGAGTCTTTCGAAGCGCCGGCTCCTTTCGCAAGCACTTCCGAATGCTCCTCGTCTAGCTCCTCCCCCTCAGGAATGTTCGGCAAGCCACGGTGACAACTGATTTATTTAGGCGATAGGAAAGGTTCGAAATGTTCACCATGTCATGTCATGGATCCTCTTTTATGTGTCGCACTGACACCATCGAGGCCTTTCAACTATCCTGTACCTTCTGTTGAAGAGCAGAATAACCGATTGATAGCAAGGGCTTCCAACGATCTTCAAAATCTGCTACTACAGGCGTTCGTGGGTTACAACAAAACTCTCGTCATGGGTAATCTTAGGTCAATTGTGTCTTACCACAAAAGGCTACAGCAGTGATGTTACCTTCCCAAAGTATCCACTTCACTTGGAGACACCGTCCTTTCCGACAAGTTATCGTCATCCTGACCTTCTTCGACAGGTCGGTCGCCGAACCGCTTCACGACTGGCAACGATGACAAATCCATGATTGAACTTCTACCGAGGGTGTGGAAAAATGGAACTTCTACTGTGAGGACCACGTATGAAAAATATGCTATGATTCATTTGTAATTGCTTACGGAAGTAGCTCCACGACTAACATGGTGTGTTGGACTGGAACAACGTGAATGTGAATGTATAAATGCAATCAGCTTCGACCAAGGAAACAAAAATTCTTATAACAAACTATCTGTTGTCTTTGCATTTGCTCTTGTTTGGGGACATCTAATACTAGACAGGATTGGTGAGAGGACATGCTGAACCGATATGAAGACTGCTCAAATTACGGAACTTGTCAACCTACAAGCGATTTATGGACATATTACCGAAATAGGAGGCTGAGAGTAAAAACCAACAGAGAAACTTTCTGATCAAGAGAAGCATTCATGTTCGTGTAAACGTGGACCACCGATGTCGACTGATGAGTCTCGTGAGGGTGACCGAAGCTGATCATAATTCAGGCTGACCGTTTGGATTTTGACTTGGAAGATTTCAGCAAAAGTTTTTTTTATTTTGTAATGCCGGGGAGATTGAAAGAATCTCCTGACCTTTATCCAGTTCGCAAACCGGCAGCAGGCGGGGCAAGTTAACCCCTCTATCAAACTGGCCACCCACAGGGGCGAGAAGTGTGTATTTCTTCTCTCACTGATCGCGTTGTTGCACAAGAGGATGTTGTTCAATTCGATGACTTCTTAGTGTCTATGCCAGTTGGCGTCGCACAAGGAATGATGGGTTCTGGAATCAAGGACGAGGGAATGGGCCTTCTTCGTGGGGATATGATTACTCTGTGCGAATTCGGATTGCAAGTTTGTAATTGTGCAATCTTCAAGTGCTGGCATGGACAGGGACAGACAGCACACACATAGGTGAGCTATAAGCAACAGGATCACATCACTGTGCCTCCTTTTTCTTCAACTTTTCTATAAGTTCCTTCTTTCTCTTCCTGGCGGCGACGTCCACCTTGACAATTCCTAACTCCTCCCGACAGATCTCAACCAGCAGCATAAGTGAGGGCACAAGCCAACAGACGTAATAGAGCGCTGCTTCAGGGCCATTCAGTGTGTCTACTTCTTCCTTAGGGAGCTTCAGCTCGCTGTCGTCTGCAATCCATCTCCGCACCTCGTTATCCATGGTAGCCCGTGGCCACTCATCCGCACAGAAACAGCGCGGGTTTCGCTGCCTCAACATCCCAGCACTCGCACCACTGAAATTAGAAAAACGCGCATCGCTTACATCTTTGCCGTGCTTAGTTTCTTATTTTGGGGAGGAGGAGGATCCTAGTGAAGTGGGAGGGATGTTATCGGACGCTCCAAGCTAGTAGGTGTTCACTTCTTGCACGTTCTAAAAATGTGCAAGGAGTGAAACGAAAAGAAGAAAAGAAGCAACATTAATCATGTGCGGGACCTAGTGCGGAACGACATAGCTGGACTTAGTTTTTTTGTTGGACTGTCGGGCTGAGTTTGCAAATTGGTACCCATTTGCAATCCTAGGCCGAGAATCTGAATAAATCTATTCAAGAACTTGATCAGACACGCATAAGGAACCAACTAAATTAAGCCGGCCTTTAGTCTCCTTTCGAACCACTTGGGCCAGCGATCTTTGAGACCTTTCAAACTTTGAGGAATTTAGGATCTTCAGGGAGCTGCGATTTACGATTTCTTAACCACACTGCTGCCAGAACAGTGTCTCTGTCATCTCTTAGCTCAGGCGATGCATACTGGAGCGGTTTAGCAATGGCGCGAACTGCTGCAAGCACTACTTCCCTGTCATTTCGCAACCGCGTTGGGGCATACTTCAATGCCGAGTTAATATAAAGAAACGGCCACCGACCATAACGCGTTGACTTGATTGCTACCAGAACAGCGTCTTTGTCGTCTCGTAACTCTAGAGAGATGAACTGGAGAATCATGCCGTTGGAAGATACTAGCTTCAGCGCATCTTCCTTGCTCAAGCTGCTGAAATCCAAATGGCCTGAATCTATAAGATTAGCCAAGTGTCGCTTGAAGGAAGTCGAAATGTCCTGCTGCGAAAGGTCCGGAAGTTGATGCGCATGCTCTTCTTTATTGCGGGGAATGTTCTGTTGTTCGTCCCCCCGCTTGAAGGGCTTCAAGATGCTGTCATATTACCACTAAATCCCTCTGCGCGTTCATCCTCAAGAACGTCAGAAGTTGTTGTTCTCGTGACATTATGATCGGCACCGGATTCTTCACGACCAACACCACTTGTCTTTTTATCTCCATCGGCATTTAGTTCTTTTTCTGCTTCTTGTCCAACACCTTCATCATCCGCGACTAAGTTTGCCGCTACATCTGGTTGCTCAGAAGAATCAAGCTCCGAAGGCGGGGTTGGACGAGCGGCCGGCCACCCCTTGTTGCTGGTCGCGAGCTCTATCTGCTTCTGGACCTGGAGGAGCTCGTCTAGTGCGGTCTCCAAGACCGAGACGAGGGAGATCCGGACCACTCATGGTGTCAGACACTGTGAAATAGAAAAAGCAAGAGCAGAAGGGAATGGACGATTATTCAACTAGAGAAGGCAAATACTACAAATACAATTACTGTAGAAAAAATTCACTGTAGACAGAGTGGTAGGCACACAAATACTACAAATGCAATTACTGTAGAAAAAATTTACTGTAGACAGAGTGGTAAAATTCTTACCTTTATTATAGTTGCATGCATTTCAAAATCTACGGAGCGACTTTCTTTTGAAGTTTTTCTGGAATCCTGACACCATTCGGCAGAGATAAAGTAGGGAGTGTTTCTCCGCCCTACGTCAAGGCTATTGTCGTTTTGGTCTGTCTTCGTGTCTATTTTGCCATACGATGGGTAGGAAAGGGCATGCTGAAACGACATGAGGAGACTCCTGCTTACGGAAAAACGTCGCAACAGATGTCTGGAAACAGTGCTTTTAGTCTCCATTTTTTCCCAAGTGTATGCTATGATCAATGCCGAATCCAACGGAAGTCGCAGATTTGCAAGGGCATGCTTTGTTTCATGACGTGGTCGGATTCAAAGTGTAAACTTTCGCAATCAAAAGGCTATTATGGAACCAAGTCATATCATGGCAAATCAGATAGCAGCATCAAGATGCTGTTGAAGGTCATTGAATCAAATTAAAGGCCAACCTGAACTTTTTTTATCTTGTCAGACTATGCCTGGTTATGTGCATCATTGTGGCTATGTGCATAATCCATTATGCCTGTTTTTCCCAATCCATATACTTTTTTCATCTCCAAACAAAATGCATTCTCAAAGTCTTTACGTTTAACAAACAACATTTCAGCCTTGCCAGGAAAAACAAGTTCTGAACTTCTAGCCACGCAAGAATATGGCCTATGAAACCTTGAGAAATTACGTGTGAGCAAGGTGCTAAGCAGTACTTTGGTATGACGCAACTAGTGTGGAGATGCGAACTACTTTTGTCACTGTTACATCTACCATAAAATACACACTGGAGTGAATGAAGGCTAGTCGAGTCGCATACTGATGGTCGGGAAAATTGAGCCATCTCTTATAGACAGCAACCTGGAAAATATTCGGTAAGACTTTGTCGGCCTCTCTTGACAGAGTGGCTCTCGCAAAATTATGAAGTGCACCAAGACACACATCAATCGGCTTTATTTATTTGTGTCTTAGACGGTACCAATCCACTGCCAGCAAGACAAGATAGTGGCATATTGAGTACACGCGTTAATGTTTTAAAAGTCAACACGTGTTGAGGTCTTTAATACATTACCACGCGTTAGTGGAGGTCCGCACGGCGCTGGAATGTTGAAGAAATCGCCGATATTTGGTCCCATACTCTGCATCAAGTGCGTCATCAGTCGCGCAGTCGGTACTGCTCTGGTGCTGTCCTGGAGGTTAGAGGGTTGCTGGGGGGGGAGGTATGAGAGGTAGCAGTGTTCTTGATGGTTCTATTTTTGTAGAAATTGACATGGTGGCGGAAAGACGGTCACTGGAGCAACGGTGCTGTTGGAAAAGAGATCACGTTGGGAAGATTCAAGCATGTTATCAAGTATTAGTATTCCTTTCTTATTTGTAGTTCTTTTTACAGGAAAGGTAGTGGAAGAGCGAAAATAGTCATTCATAACAAGAAGTGCTTTGCTCGGATCGCTCATCCCTACTAAAGCATCCTCGCGATCGCAGGACACCAACATCTGCGGATATTTGTCTACGATATTGCGGCTGGGACCTGTTGGTTGAAGATAATGGACAATCGGTTGAAGGAAGAATATGCTGTGAGAGTGAACATGGCAGGACTCTTTACCAACTTGACGAACTTGTTACAGGAGAATGATGACCATCGCAAAGTCCGGTCTTAAAAGCATTACGGAAATTATATTACGAGACCTCCTCAAAGAGAAAAACTTATCCACTTTTTTCCAGTTCCTTCTGTGCTCTTTCTGCCACAGCGTCCACTAATTCATCCGCACTTTTGCTAGCTCCGATATTCTCCACCGCAGACAGCAAAGCTCCTGCTCCATCTCCCCCTTTAGCGTAGTTCTTCAGGTTTTCCTCCAAAAATTCCTTGCCTTCCTGTGTCAGAGACACTGTCACGTCTGAAGGCACGTGGCGGTCGAGATATTCTGCTAGCCAGGCGGCTCTTACTGCTGGATCCTCGCTGAATCGCTCCGCGAGTGAGTGCTCGAAGAGGGAATGGCCTAAGTCTCCAGTACTGGTGACCAGCACGTCGCATTTGTCAGCATCAAAATACTGGAGATAAAATTCGCCTTGAAAAACGTCATCAAAGTCAGCGTCGAGCTGTTCCTGCGACTTCTTTGCTTGACTGCGCTTGGATTCCTATGAAGGCAGGGGGACGCAAAAGGAAATCTTCGGATCATGGAGTGACATTATTATTATTATTATTATGTTTGCGCGCGACCCTGCCGCCTCGCACGTGTTGCACTCGCGAGCGCTCCTACCATCTGATATTCAACTTATCATATATTACGAGTGTGTTGAACATGTGCGAGGACCCTCGCAAAGGCTTACAGCTTTGAAGTTCGACTGACGAAAAAGCAGCAGAGGAAATGATTTTTGGTTTTACTTTCTGTTCCATAACTCCCCACTCATGAATCTGCTGACGCCTCGCGACGCACTGCAGACTTCTCGTTGATGAGGGAAGAAGATCGGCGATTCGTTTCCAACTGGCGGTAGCAGTACCACAGCCATGTCGTTCCAACGTCCGGACAAGTAGGTCAAGTGCTCACGTCGAGGATTGCTCTTTTCCATATCTAGATCGTCCTCCTTATCTTTGCTTGACTTCAATGCCATTTTCTTCGTATTAGCCACTGTGTCAATTTCATCCTTGTTCTCGAGCAAATCTAAATTGTCCATCTTCTCTCCCAGCATAGTGGTAGGAGTCATCCTTCTTCTCGCGACAGTGAATCCTTCCCTTGCATGCTCGAAGTTACTCCTGTCTCCAGCATGTACTACTCGCATCAGAAGGCGGCTGTTAGCTCGCAAATTCACCAGATGTTTCATCGTAGGCGTGTCGTCGTCTAGGTTGTAGATTGCGGCAGGCATGGCCCAAAGCTTCTGCAAAGCCGCGAAATCGATTGCTTTTTCAGTGCTGAGAGCGATAGTTCGTTGCAGCGCTGCAGATGGTCCTTCCTCTGTTGAGGCTAGCACTTCGCCCGAGACGTCAAAAGTGGCTTCCTCTGTATCGAGCGACGCCCGTTTTTCTTGGTCCTCGGAGTCGGAATTCTCTGGCCTCTCGCCGACAAGGATACTGGTATACTTGCTCTCCACCCCAGATGGAATGGCATTCTCCACGACTTGTTGTTCCGTTTTTCCTGTCACGGGATCGATGAAGGATGTTCTGCTGTCTACTTTCACGTAATCATCACTCGGGCCATCCTTTGCTGAACTACTACCTTGGGCCAACAAATTCTTCGTTTTGCATGGTTTCTCTTGTAGTTTGTTCTTGGATGCTGCAAATACTGCTCCCTGATCATGTAGCTCTTCGCCCTTACTACTACTATGATGACTTTCGTCATCTTCCTTACCAACCGACACCTCTGGCCCCTTCTCGAACTGTTCTCTATCCGGTAACGTTGGCAAATATTCGTCCTCGAAGTAGTCGCCGCTGTTCGGTAAATAACCACCGCGACCTTCCAAGTCACTCAGCAATCCTTTTGGCGCGTCTGCATCTTCCGCAAAATCATGGCCCAATGTCGAGGGAGAAAAAGACGTAGAAGAAGTGCTCGCTCTAGGATGAAAAGTCGACGATGCAGCTGGTGCAACTATATCGTAGGCGCTTCTTGAACGCGACGGAGATGAACTGCTAGATGATCCACCAAACCCACCCGCCTGAGCAGCCATAGAACCCGCCTGAGGCCCATACATGTACATACCAGCACAGGCACTAGAGGCTGCTGCAATACCCGTCGCAGCAAGACAAAACTTTTTCAACAAACGGCTCCTCATAGTTGTGAATTGGGCATCCACAACATGTTGGCCCTGGAAGATACCTCCAAACAAAACGCGGGAAGATGGCTCAGGTGCGCTGCGGTCGTCTGTCGCAGTGCGACCTTGCTCCATTAGGCATGCGGAAGAAGTGCCAGGAATTAGAAAAAGAAAAAACGCGCGGTGGGAGTTGAATAATGAAATGGTGATTAATTGAATAAGTAAGCTCGGAAAAACAATCAATCTTTATCTTGATGATGATGTTAGTCAATTCGGATTGGACATACGACTTAACAATCCCAGAAGTAGCTTATTCGTACATCAACTCTCGCCTTAACAATCCGGCAGCTTCATGCTCTGCATTCAATCCGGTCAAGGACGACGCTGACGCTGACGGCACAATGCCGCGACGCAACAGCGATCCCAGCATACCAGAGCTGCGTGAGGTGGGTTCTTCTTCTTGCTGCGAAGCTAGCTGAAAGCCCAACTGCGGCAACGGTGCACGAATGGGTGAAGGCTGAGGCTTCGGAGTACCAGGGCGAGGAGGCTTACTAGACGACGAATCGTTACAACTAGAGCCTTCGCGCTGTACTGCTTTAGTAGCAGAAGTAGCACCACGAGCATCATCGTCACGTTCACCAGCACTATTCGGAGCAAGCGGCGCTTGCTCGAAAAGCGTTGGAGGGCTTTGTCGTTTTGTATTTCCCGGGCTAGAGGCTGAGTAAACAGCAACCTCAAAGAAGGCATATAGCGAAAGGAAGAAGCAAGGAGCTTTCAACATTGTGGGCAACATCTTGTTTATCTCGTCGAATAACAAAAGTACTTTGTTGAGAAAAGTCGTGACTTCACAGGAGGACTCTACTCAACAGATTAGTCTCTCGCTGTTAGGTTTGTCTTCTCTCGACGCAGCCCTCTCTATTATGAAAAGGACACCGAAGGACGTACCGATAGAACACGACATTAAAGAATATTCGCAAGCCGATCACATTGGAGAAAAATACTGTCGAAGAATTAGAACACGCTGTGGTGGAACTAGAACACACTGTAGTACCTTGATCACGTTGAACCTAGAAACACGAATTCAATACCGACGGCTGCGTTCCTCTCCGTACAAAAATCTCAGTCAGAGTCGCTATCCTTAAACACTATACGCGTCGATGTGGAGTCGTTAACTTTTCAAGCTGTGCAAATCGTTGACAAAATTTGTTTAGAAATGTTGTGTTTTCTCCATAGTCAAAATTGGAGAAGCACGCCGGGCCTGAGACTCCGCTTCTCTTCACTTCAATGCATTCGCATACGCGTCTTGGAGATACCAAAAGAAATTCTTCCCGCTCTCCAGGACCTGCCACAAGGCTCCGCCATCCGAGACACGCTCTAGCACATACTCATCCTCGGAGGTTAGAGATGTGGAGCGCGTAGTACCTAGTATATTACTGTCTATAGCAATATAAGTAGACCTAGTAAATACTGTCTATAGTACTTAATTATACCAAAATTGAAGATTACCGAAATACAGTCACAGATACTTAAGTCCATTCACAGCCGTAACAAAAGCGAGGCCCCTCCACCCGCATGAGTTCCACTTAGTTGCGCTCCGCCATTTGTTCCACCTTGGTTGCCCCCCTTTCGATCCGAGACGGGGGTGGTAGAGAAGGTTCCCACGCCATTTCCCAAGAGAGTTGGACTCATCGAGGTCCCCTTTTTCTTCTGCTTGTCCAGAGCTCGACGACATGACCGGACGCGCTTTGCGATTCTCTGTCGAGGAATCAGTATCGGACGAAAGGCATTCCACATTGCGGTGATTGGTGGATGGAGAAGGGCGCGCTCTAAGGTGCGACGGTGGTGCTGGTTGCCTGTGAGAGGAGAGGAGGATGACATCTGGTGGGGTTCGTGTGCGGCGGATGTTCTCTCTAACTCCATCATAGTGGAAGATGGAGAAGATGCTTCCTTTTCGTCCACCAAATTCGACGCCTCCGACAGCTCTAGCAAAGACGGAATTTCTGCTAAGCTTCCTGTTCTGGTACTCCTGCCAGAAGGATTCACAGCAGCACCACCAGAAGATGGAGGATACCCTGCTCCTGTACTAGGATAAAAACCTCTCCTGTTCGTATGCTGTGAGGGATAGCTGAATTGTCTCCATCTCCTATGCAGTGGGAACTGGTAGCTCAGTGGCTTATGAGGATTCAGCCTATCGGCTTTTGGCTGGTTATGAAAAGAAAACCTGTTATCATTATCGTACTTTTCTACTTAAGAAAATCTGTTATCAATATCGTTACTTATTTATCAAGTTTCTTAAGTAGAAAAGTACGATATTGATAACAGATTTTCGCTTCATACTGGTCGTCGTGGCAAAAGCCTACGCCATTGGAATCAGCGTTGTCGAGTCCGTAGCATCGTACTGCGACGAAGTTGCTCCCAGGAGGCGGTCTGGTGAGGACTTGGTATAAATTTAGACTCGGCTTCAAACCATCTGGGTCCCTCATCTCGACCCCTTTCCCCTTGTAATTCATGAGAATGCAAGGCAAAAGGGGATCAAGATGCCGAGAAAGATGGATGAAAGCTAACCATAATAAACGATTACTCCCTGTGAGAACGCAATCGCCGGGTCCAAGACCGTGGAAGAAGCCGAGATATGAAAGCTTAACAAGCTTAAGTTTACTTTTCTCATATAAATACTCGCGAAAGTTGTGCCAGTCTTGAAGCCGATTACTGGTACTCCTGTAATTGTAAGACTAGCCCGATAGTCTTACAGTTAGGAGTAAACGGATAAAAAGTGTTGGGTTGTCTCTGAATCACTCAAAATTCCTTCGTCGTAAATTCATCCCTCCACCTTCTCCACTGCCTCCTTCGCCTGCACGTTTCGATGCGGCGCCTCCACTCAGCTCATCAGCCAGAACGTCTCGCAAATCATCTAATTCGCCTTGCGTCCACATCCTACCACTGCTCTTGCCGTAGACGATTTTCAAAACTAGTTTACTCAAATCCTCCTTTTCGTCCTCGAGCAGCTCATCGACGCGACATTCTGCTGGATCTGCGTTCGTGGTGGCGGTACTAGGTGGACTAGTCGTGAGTGAAGGATCCACCACAGCTGATCCAGTTGTAGCAGAAGAAGCTTTTGTACCAGCTGGACTTTGAGAACTAGCACCTTCTTTGAGGATCTCTCTGTTCGTGCCATCTTTCTGCTGAGTGGCTCCTTCTGGTGTTGTGCTTGCTTCTCCTCCTTCTGTTGCTGTAGCAGGAGCTTCACTAGGATCCGAATCAACCTGAGCAACTAAGTCCACAAATGTCTTTTTGATTGCCGTATACGCTTCGTATGCTTTCTCAACGAATCATGAAGAGGTGGATAAAATTGTTTCGTCTTCTCTGGTTGACGCCAAGCGCAACTCTTTTTTGTAACAAGCCATGAGGATCTGCAAACTCCGCGGCTCGCTTACAGTATCTACTCGATGATCTAGCTGGAAAAAAAATTGCCGAACTTTGCCATAAATACGACTCATTCTCGCCTTCTGCTATCACAATCGGACACAGTTTTTGCTGAACTAATCTTTTAGCCTGTTCCGTGAGCCGTCCTGGCAGATTGGTGATTATTATGGTGCCAGGGATTGTCCCGGGACTCACGTGGGGTTCTCGCATTAATTTCGTGAGGTCGGATGATGCGGCGCCGGCGATTGGAGGAAACGATGTCTAAAGGACAGCACGCACCAGTGCAAATAGCAAATGCTTGATGTTAACCTAAACCCTAAACCCTAAACTAAGTGGAACAGAAAGAGTCTCTACCTTGTAAGTCTTTCATCGATGCAAATATACTTACTTTGCCATAAAAACGACGAAGACACGAAAGAGGAGTCTTGCTCCTCTTCGGTTTGTTCCTCCTGCTTTCGTGACGGTTCTACGACAGGTTTCTTCTGCTCTTCACTCAGCTGTTCTTCTCCTATTTTAGCAAGTTCAGCCACCAGGTTCTTTTTCGAAGATTGATCATGTACTTTTTGAGGGATGTCTACCTCAAGTCTTTCCTCTTCCCCCTCTACTGCAGCGCCAGCACTGTGGTCCTCGCCTTGCTCATCTTCATCTTCTTCACTGTCCGTGATCCTGGTACGATGATCCTCAGGAGCGCCATCACGTGCGTTATCTTTCATCCCATCTACTGCCGGTTCTTTCGCCGTATCCTCGGAGCTCTGTCGTGGCGAAGAATCATCCTGGACCTGCTGCTGTAGTTGTTCCTCCTCTGCCTGTCGTTCTTCTATCTCCCTATCGCGCGCTAATGCAGCATTCGTAGCTCCATCCAACGGCGTAGGTGGTAAAATGCGGACGTTGTAGTTCCCGGAGTCCTGATCTTCTTGGTTACCAGCTGCACTAGAAGTCTGGACTTCCAAGGACGAAGATGAAGAAGCAGATGATGTTGACCTTTTCCTTTTCCTTGCAACTTTCTCGTTTGTACCACGTAGCAAATGGCCTTTCCGTTTAGCCTCTTTGCTTGCGGTCGCGACGCGCGTGATCGCGACGACTAGGACGAGGAACGCATATAGTTTTTTAAGCACCATGACTAGTATTCTGATAGATCCATTGAGGATTTGAATCTATTCGGCAAGATGCCTAAGATTTCCCTGATAGGTCAATTATATGGCGTTTAGCTATAGCTACCCGGTGATTGATGTTGTCTAAGTCGATAATCATGCGTGCATCTTTCTGAAGTCTGACTCGATACTATTGATCTTTTTTGCCATTTCGAGGCACGATATTACGTTTTCGACTTTTCAAGGACGAATCCAAATTGTTTCCATGTCATTTTTCCCTCACCCCGTCACCCTTTTCGTTGTTTCGCAGTCCACAATAGTGGCATATCCGCTTGTATTGCATCATTCTGTGTCCGAGGAGCTACCGCGTACGCCAGCAAGAGTGCTCGCGTTTTTCCGTCACTACGCATGGAAGTTTCATGTTAACATCATCTGCACGAGCCGTATGATCCACAAGCACTCTTGTCAGAGCCATTTTGGGGGGGGTCCACAGACCTAGTTTTAGTCCACACTAGAGCACTATTTAAGGTTATGAAATTAAGAAACTCAGATAGGTTTTGAAAAAATATATATTCTTCTCCTCGATAAGGAAACAGGAGGCTGTAGCAAAAATACTGTCCACCGAGATTCGAATCTTACTAAGTACTTCTACGCTACGTCCCACCAACCAAGACGCTAATCGCACATACTGAGGAGTAAAAGATCGTAATGAGTTAAGTTTACTTCAAATTTCGAAGGTATGTGGAACATGTTGACGAGTGTATGTTTTCTCACGCCGCTAGTCATGTGTCAAAAATGAGTATTTTCTTATATCAAGACAGACTTCTACGCACATGACACGAAACAGGAGGCCAAGACAGCACTCGACAAAAAAAATTGATACAAAAATCTTCAATATCTGCTGCACCAGAAAAAGAATCTACAAGAGACAGACTCTCGTACTAGAAAGGAAAATGACATCAGAGGACTCGCTCACTGAAACTATGAGACTCAAGCGAAGCTGTAATCTAACACGAGGTCTGGTCACTGCGATGAGGAAAGACACTTCGTTGCGCACGCATCCTCGATCGACCAGCGCGTTTGGTGGAGAAATCCGAAGTAAGCAAAGACCCATGGCTCTTTTCCCTTTACCCACCCCTCATTACTTACCCTCTACCTACCCTAACTTCAGCTTTGCGCCTACTGACCGTACTACTTAGAACCGCGCAAAGCTAACAAACATCATATCTAAAAACTCACTAAAAAAACTGCGAAATACGTAACCCTGAACTGGAAATCTGAGAAACCTGATACGAGAAATGAAGTCTAAATCTTTTGTCACCAATATTGAGAAATCTGAGTGCGAAAAGCTTGCTACAGTCTCTATCTACTTCATAAGTATCTGAATACCAATGGAACCGAATAACGAGATAAGAAAACTGTTGGAGAAGCTAAGCTACTGGGGTACGCATATGAAAGCTATTTGTTATAAAGCTAAGTTAAACTACTCGCCCAATTGAAACGAAAGCAAAAGTGTTTGCATCAATCAACAAGGTGCTCCAACTGAACTGATAGCGCCGCTCCTAGCACCCGTAGAGACAGAGCCTGAGTGTAGTCATATTCATCCACCTAATTCCGAAGAACTAGTCCTGGCACTATCCGTCGCGTCAGCCTGGACTACTTGGTGGAACTTCCCGAAGTCTACCATCGAAGAGCCATCCTGCTTCAGGAAAGTGCAAGGCATGAAGTCGCCATTGAGCACAATATCTTGGCCAAAAGCGTAACTATGCCTCGCTTGCACCATGCTGCTGGTGAAAGGCTCCACACCCTCGACTAGGACTAGAATCTCGAAGTAGTCGTGGCTTAAGGGATTAGAGGCAAACTGTGATCAGGGCACTCATCTGTCCTTCTAGCGTAAGCAATCATTTCAAACCAAAATCCAGAATATGCGGACTTGGCTTCTTTTGACTACTATTTCCAAACTGATATTACACGCAGTGACTTCTAATGATTTTTTGCTTTCCGCAGCCATAAACAGATGCGCACGCTCTTCTTGGAGTTCATGGTCGTATAAACGCAGCTCCCTCCTAGTCTCATCAAATGAATCTTTTTCGTGCCTTGATCGCAAGTGTTCTGGATATTGCACTTGTTCCCTGCTACAAGGATCGTCTTGATGTGGGTCGTCGTTGTCTGGATCTTTCACACGTCCACGTTGCTGAGTGCCTGCAGCTCTAGTATCACTAGCACCTACTTCGTCTCCGACATTCAATACAGAAGCTCCACTCTGTTCAACAGCATCACTGCTCCTAACTGGTAGGGGCGAAGATGCAGCTGCTCTTGTTGTAGCGGATGTTGTTCGAGTAACATCTACTGCCTTAGTAGGTAGCGCCTCCTCGTCTATGATCTCCACGCGAAAGGAACTGACAGCTTCCTCTGCCTCACTATGTTAGCGGTAGTCAAGCACTAGGCGCGGTTGTCCTTCCTTGAGTTCCCCCCTGCTTTCCTCTTCGACTCAAGGTAAGTGGAGGCTGTCCTTTCTCGAGTTCCCCCCTGCTTTCCTGTTCGAATCAAGGGGAACTAAGTCAGGATATCTCGCGCCAGATAGTGACTGGCTAGCCTTAACTAGAGGCGCTCCTATCGGCCTGCCTCGCGTCATCCGTAGTGTCGCCTCCGGCTTCGTCCACTGTTGTACTGCTTATTATCTTCTCAGCGTCTAGACCGAACTGATCGTGATTACTGCCCTTGCTGTTGTTTCGCGAGATTGTGTTTAGAAGAAGATCATCGAAAATTTTTTGACATATATGTAGTTCGAGTTCCACCATCAACTACAAGTCATAAATCTATATGCAATTTCTCCGCAATCGGAATGCATACTCCGGCGTCGCTTCCTCCCAATGATGAGTGCGTGTTTCGACTGCTATTGATTTGCTTTTGGTCGTCTGGACTGGTGAAAGAGTGCGCTCTTCTCGTCGTCGTATTCCTCCGCAATGATGGCCTCATAGGCACCAAGTCAGGAACGTCGGTTGGGTGGATACCTAGTGACATTGTTGTAAATTTTGCGCAGTGTGTGCTTTCGTACATCAAAGACGATCTCTTGCAACTCTGCTGTCCTGATGGTCGGACCATTATGTCCTCTGTACATTCTTCATCCAGTACCTTCCCCTTTCCTATCCACCAAATGTCTCCGGTAGTTTCGTTTGGTGTTGAACATTTCTCCGCAGTACGGACAGGAAAAAAGCATAAACGCGCCCCTCTCGATATCGCACATACGCATGGGTGGACAGAGGTAGTCTCTTCTCGCGCAGAGTTGCGAAGATATGCAAGTTAGAGGCTTTTTGCGCGATTGCACATGGAGTCATATAAACTGATGTCAATCTTGCTACGCAAGGGGTATTATCATTGCTACTTACCACGATGTGGTACTTAGCAGAATTAATCAACAAAGATTTTTCAATTACGACCTGCCACAATATTAGTGATTCTTTTGCACCGAAGACTCCAGATGCTTGTCTGTTCATTCGTCCAGAGTAACCGCCTGCCCATCCTTCGCTGATCGGACTTGGATTGCTTCCGACTGGCGGTGTGAGGAACATGCTTAATTCTCACGGCAAGAAAAATTAAAGTAGCCTTGGTGGTTAATGTACTTCTTCGATTGCAGCAAAGAATCTTCAACACTTATCTTGTATCTCATTATTAAATTAGCACACCAGCTAGGACATCTTCCTCAACAGAAGTTGTCTATAAGTACTGCCCAATCCCCTCAGCAGCCGGTCAGAGTTCTCCCCTGCGCAAGCTGCTAGTTCGTACTCGAAATCTGGCGGCGTCGCTTCTGGGCCGCGATAATGCCTAAACAATGGGGACCATTGGTCTATACGATGAACGACCAAAAACGGCGTCGCAAGAAACAGCATGCCACCAAGCTCGTCGTCTGGACTTTGCAATCGCATCGGAAATTGTTGCAGCACCTGCATGTGGGGAGTGTGGGAAGCTGCAGTCGGTGTTAATAAGTACTGAATGTCACCGCTTCATAAGTAAAGACCTCAAAGCCTAGTATAAGTAGAGGACTTCAAAGCTTAATAAGTAGAGGACTTCAAAGCCTAATATAGGTAGAGGACTTCAAAGCTTAATAAGTGGAGACTATCCTCGCTTAAGTGGTGACTATCACCGAATATCGCTTACGTGGTGACTATCACCGAATATCGCTTAAGTGGTGACTATCACCGAATATCGCGTAAGTGGTGACTATCACCGCTTGATGAGTAGTGAGTGGCGCCGTTTAGTAAGCAGTGACTGTCCCCGGTTAAGCGAAAGGCTAAGGCAGCTAAGGGAGGCTAACCAGGCGAGGCACTTATGGGCCACACACCTGAGGCGCTTAAAGGACACGCGCCTGACGCAGTTGAGGGGCGCGCCCGTGAGGCACTTAAAAGACACGCTTCCGAGGCACATAAGGGAAACGCCAATGAGGCACTTGGAGGGCACGCCTCTGAGGCACTTCAGGGAGGCACTTCGGAGGCACTCAAGGGGAACACTTCTGAGGCACTTTGGGGGGCACTTCTGAGGCACTTAACGGGGGGCACTTCTGAAGCACGCAAAAACCGCACCTCTGAAGCACTCAAGGGAGGCCCTTTTGAAGCACTTAAAAGCCGCACCTCTGAAACACTTAAGGGAGCCACTTCTGAAGCACTTAAAATATGCATCTCCGAAGCACTTATAGGCGCCACTACTGAAGCAGTTAAAAACTGCGTTTTTGAAGCACTTAAGAAAGGCACTTCGGAAACGCTTCAGAGAGTCACCCTTGCAACTCTTAAAGGGCGTGCTTTTGCAGCACCTAAGCGGCAACCATTAGCGGCAGCCACTAGGTGCCGCGCACTTGCAGTTCTTAGCGGGTACCCATTTGCAACGCTTAAGAGCTTGCTACTTGCAGCACCTAAGGCCCCCATAGTTGCGCCACCACGAATACTAACACAAAAACACGCCATCCACCTCCACGACCCACAAATTCCAAAAAAAAATATACCCTGCTCTTGCTCTTCGTCCCCGTCAACGGATTGATGACTTCACAATGCTTGAAGCAGTAGCATCGTATCTTTGCGTCTAATAAGCTCTGCTTTCGTATTTCTGCGACTTGAAAGACCAAATGTGGCGATCCGTCTATCAATTTTATAATCGCTTTATCCGTGAAAACCACAGTCGCAGCGCGTCTCTGGGGATTCGTAAGCGTCATAAAAATCAAACCGATCAAAATGCCATCCAAAATCATCGACACGAGGGAGCCGAGTAATTTAGAGGAGATGGATCGTTATCGTAGATGTAGAAAAGAAAAAGAAACACTGCTGCGAAGGGCAGCTGTGTAGCTTTATCGTAGTGGAGTCATCGTTTGAAGACGCAACTAAGAGTCACTGAATTTTTGTTCATTCAATTTTTTCTACCTACTGAACCTACTGAAACTTAGATTGTTCTGTAAACTTTCGCGCGCGTCTATCGGGTGAAGTGTCTTCTTCTAGCATTTCTTAACACTCAAAACCACAGCACCTTCCCAGCATCCGTTCAGGTAAGGGTCGTTCCGGAGACCGTAACCAATCGTCACAAACGTCTCCACGCTCAAAATATAGGCTTTGGTAAAACTGTGGTCCAAATCGAGCTTGCAACTCTCATCGATCAGGAGAAAGAAGGAGATGAAAGTATGCTGTGGTGGGTGTGGTCGTCCATGTGGAAAAAAAATGCGCTTCGCATGTTATTCGACGAGTACACCTGAATAATATTGTTGTACGGGGGGATAAGTCTAATATTGTCGAGGTGAAAACTAACCGGAGTACACCTGAATGAAGATAAAAATGCTTTGGCTCGAAGATGAAGCTCGAGTCGGTAGATGAGTTTCAATTAGACTATAGCACGACTTCCACACAGGAGCCGCGTCCAGGTGGTTTCTCAATTTTCCATAACTACCGCAATGACCATCCAGAACAGCGTATATGTGAAGGAGACCAAAACCACATGCGTCCTGGTGTTGAAATCCAGCAGAGAGTGGAAAAGGTTCATGTAGTAGAGAGACCGCAGACTGCTGCCAAGATATCCCGGTATCTGCCGCTCGACGAGAGTTAGAGCGGCCTTGGTAGTGTTTAGTACAACTTAGTAGTGTTTTGAGCAAGAAAAGAACAATATGTGAGTCCGAAATTATTCATCTACTCCATCAGACTTTTCACAACTCGCAGAAAAAGCAACTTCCCTACTTCTCCTACTTTTTTTTCATAACACTAAATTCCCAAGCGATTGGCAGAAAGGGCTGTCTCGAGGAACTAGTCGATCTTGGTATTTGTAGTGTTCGGCGTGTTCTTCCCGTGTGAAAGGTGTGAAAAGGCTTTTTCTCGCTGGTAGTCGTTCTAATTTCGTTAAGGAGAAGTTGTGATTAGATGAAGTCAAAGTAAATCTTATTCGGTGAAGATGGTTGCCAATGTTGTGCTAAACCTAGTACATTTGTTCTATTCTTTGTCTTTGTTCAGGCCAAATAATTTGTCGCCGGAGTACGACTTCCCGCAGCAGACAAACTCAGCTTCTCGCGGTCGACTTCGGGTTATACTAGTAATATATTACTTGTTTGCTTTTTTTTTGGTGAAAATATCCTCGCAGAAAATATCGGAAATAGATTACCCTATACCCTCATAATATATCTCCTAGGCGGGTCTGGGATATACTCTGATCCTCTCGTCTGATAGCCTCCTGCTATGGATGCTGAAAAAGTTGGCGCCTCTTTGATATTCACCGGCTGGCGACCTCTTGCAGTGGCAGCAAAGTTCCGCTGGGTTGAAACCTGCTGAGACAAATTAGAGTGTAGATGAAGTACTTTTGTTGCTCAGCAAAAAAAAAAACCTATTAGCTCAAGGTCTCTTGAAATTTCATTTTATCATCAAGAGGATGTAGTTCCCCTTTCATCAGGTCGAGACTCATCCCGCTCTCCAAATGTCCTAGTTCCGCCTTTCATCAGGTCGAGAGTCATTTCATCCCGCTCTCCAAATATCCAAGCTCCCCCTTTCATCAAGTCGAGAATCATTTCATCCCGCTCTCCAAATATCCTAGCTCCGCCTCTCATCAGGTCGACAATCATTTCATCCCGCTCTCCAAGTATCCTACTTCCGCCTTTCATCAGGTCGACAATCATTTCATCCCGCTCTCCAAATATCCTAGCTCCGCCTTTCATCAGGTCGAGAGTCATTTCATCCCGCTCTCCAAATATCCAAGGCGCCGTAAGTTGATCCCCACCTGCACCATCGGTTTCTGCTTGTCCAAGTAGATCCCCTGAGGAGCTTTCAGAAGTCTGTAGTCCTCCTGTTCGTTCGTTCAGGTGGTCGGTGCCTCTTCCGGCATATGATGGCGACCTCTCTTGTATCGGGGTGCCAGTTTTAGTTAGAAGAGAGGACTTCGTCCTCGTTGTAATTAGAAGGAGGAGCTATCTGACAGATGGAGATAGCCCGGAGTTGTCCTAACTTGTCTCATGATGATGCTATAAAAAACTTATTGATGAAGAAGACGTCTCCAATATCATGTCTGCTTTGCATAACGTAGGATGATGAAAGCCGTTTCGCGTGCCACTGTTCGTTGCCCTCACACTGTCGTCGAATTGGCACTGGCCGTGCCCATCATAATTCTGATGTTGAGAGTGACTTCCAGAACTTTGATGATGGACTCCTGGGTAGGGATACTGTTGTATGATACTCGCACGTCGATGTTGGTGTTGCGCGAACGGCCACAAAGACGCCGACTTGAACCCACCAGGGGTCATGGTGATGCTATCTTCCCGCTTCAGCTCGTCCATCTTGTTCTTCTCTTCCCCTCCAACTTCGCCTTTTCTTGTTATTTTCCCCTTCGAGTTGTTGAGAAAAGCAGCGTAGGAAAGGATTGGAAGTTTTGTATCCAACACACGCAAGCAGCGAGGCTCGAAGCAGATTCCAGGTTCTACTCAATGAAAAGCAGCAGCAGCTGGAGCAGCAGTCGTCTTCGCCAGAGACGTTCTCTAGCGGATGGAGTTGGATGTTAGAACGGCGTCGCCCATGATGGGAGGACCACAGGAGCGGAGGATCTTACGCATGCTCGGCTCGCCTCGCGCGGCCCGTTGGGGCCGTGGCCTTCCCGTATTGCCGACCATGCAATTTAGTGGAAATTACATGTGTGGTGCGGCTTTGGACGTATAGACTTTCTCCACCAAGAAGTCTTTCTACTTGCATGGAACACAACTTATGTAGAAAACATGTCACATAGAAACTACTCTTCCCACTTCCTCTTCGTCCATACAACTGCATGTGGACGTACAAACACCTACATTGAAGTTTTCAGGGAAGCTAGTCTTTTCAGGTAGAGATAGGCCGGACTCAATCGCTCGAGCAGTGCTACTTCACTCTCCCCTCACGCGACTCACTCGAAGTCCATGACCGAAAAGAACCGCCGTCGGCATAACCGAAGGAACAAGGCACCAAGAGCAAAAGGTCTCAGCCGCGAAGTTTGTACAACAGCGCCACTTTCCAATGCATTTTTTGCCACGACATCTGACATCATGTCTGTGGACAAAAGAACGAAACCACAAAAATGCACTTCGTCGAATTTTTAACATTTGCGATAGGTAGACATTGCATCAACGTAGTTGTCTTTGTGCTTGCGGCTTCTTTGGTACATCGCAACGTAAACGTTTGGTGATGAGAATTCCATCAGCATCGCAAGGCTTTTAGTTTTTTCTAATTAGCGAAAATTTGAGTAGATTCCGGTAAAGCTAGTATGGCATTTTTTCCGCCGTTATAAGCGGTGGTGTCATGATTCTGTCGTGCAAATTTTTCGTCCAATCACAGAGTTCATTATCTTCAATTTTGTACCTGTGTAATCTCATAGAAGAGAAGACATCCCTCCTTCTCATCAAATCTTCCCACCTAGTAGAATATTATGGTCTCCTCCGTCTCCCATTTCCACTTCCTCCAGATCCTGATGCTACAGACCCAGATCCGCCTCTTCCTCCAGGTCCTGACGCTCCACCTGTTCCGCCTCTTCCTCCAGATCCTGACGCTCCACCTGTTCCGCCTCTTGGTGCCCCAGACCCAGATGCCCCTGTTCCGCCTCTTGGTGCCCCCGACCCAGATGCCCCTGCTCCGCCTCTTGCTGGCGCTTTTCCAGGTACACTCGCTTGACGGAGGTCCTCCCTCATTTGACAGAAGTTCAGGTAGGCTCTGCTTTGAGGGTCCATGCAATTCAAGATGAGCTCCAAAAGTAGCGTTCCCGGGACATATTCTTGGCTCAGGAACCACTGTCTTGATACTTCCTCTCGTGACTGTCTGGCTAATTGGTCTCGTGATGCTCGACTCCTATTTTCCTCCATCGAGGAGGACTGGCCAAAAACAAGTGGTAAATCGTCAACACGTCGACCTGGATATCGTTCTCTGACACCTGCGTCTTGTAGCGTACCTCCTGAACTACTTCCCAAACCGAAAACTTGTGCTATATGCGACAAGTTTTCCATCATACCTCCGCCCAGTCCCATCATACTAAGCCGCTGTGCTAAATCTGCTTCTCCAATACCCGCAGAGGCTTTGGAAGCACAGGCTGAGGGCGCAGACGCCGATGTGTTTCGTGCTACTTGGAAAGATGTTGGGGATGATGCAGAAGAAGACGATGGAGAAGAAGAAGACGATGGAGAAGAACTAACTCCTCCCTCTGGATCTCCACGAAACGTGATATCCATCGTCCTCCTCAGCACATCTTTGGCGGCATCTGATAGCTTCACGTAATAGCTTAGCAGGTCAATTGCAGCTTGGCAGAGTCCTTTAGGAATGTCCTTGAGGCTCATGCCAAAATTCAAAAAGCCACCAATCACGTCTGCTCTGATTTCGGTAAACAGCTCTTGAGTTTTTGCTGAGTCTTCTTGCTCCCAGGAATTGTTAGAGCTAGAGCTATGTATAAATGGAGATAGCTTTTCAGTAGCATCAATATTCAGAGTTTTCTAGTGAAGTACTGCCACGAATGTTTAGTCTTGATGCTTCATATGTATATGTAAAAAACGCTACAAAGATTTAATAAGAAAGAATCTAGTGATTGATTGATCGATTGATTGATGTGCCCGCTCATGGGGTACTATATCATAGTGCACAAATCTCGAACAAGATTTTTGCAGTTTCTCCAATAGAAATGCGCTTAACAGCTCTTTCTGCGACGTCTCGATAGTACACCGAAATTTTTGCAGCAGCTTGATCCAAGATAAGCGCAGATTTTTTCGCCGCCTTTGCGAACCTAGTATTAGAGCTCAACTGTTCATCCCGAGGACCATCCTGACTCCGTTTTCCCCTTGAAAACATCTCCAAGATGCTTCCGGAGATGGACGATTAGGGGAAGCCGTAACACTAGGAATCACGTTCCAGCTTGTCCTCTCCTCTAGTCTGCTTCCGACGTCATCATGCAAAGCCAACAGTACTTGCGATGGGACAATCGCGCCTGTAATCTGGGGATACGTGATCGTCACCTCCATGTCTTTCCTCATGCTATTCATGTCAGGGCGTTGAAAGATCACGTTGCCATCTATTTCTAAAGGTGCCAACAAGTTCTACCCATCTTTTAGAACATCAGCCTCTTCTTCTAGCTCATTTCAAGCAGAAATGGTGGCTAGAAGATGCCGTGAGAGATGGGTTAACGGAGTTACCCATAAATCTACGTCTGACGATGAAGGTCTCCCGAGGACTTCGAAGGCTCGGACGAGTACGCCAGATGCTCCAGGACTCGTCAGGTCTTCCGAAGACAATAGAAGTCTGGAGTGCTCTAAGGTACAGTACAACTTTATTTGGCCTCCAGCCCCACTCCTGCTTCTATTAGCATCCTCCCCCAATGTTCCACTAACGTGGCCGCCTCGATGTTCATAAAGTGGTGTCACCATAGTGACAACCAGTGAACCAGAAGGCAGTCCGATATCTTGATGATCCAATCCCGGAGAGACCGGGTGTGCTGATGCTCCTAGTCCGGTTGCTTCCTTCGCAGGTCCTTCATGTGCTTGTCCATCTTTCTGATCCTGCCACTGTCCCCCCACATGAAGATCCTCCTTTAGCAAGAATTTCGCAAGTTCCTCTAGACCCAAGACACTTTTCGCATTGTCCCACAAAAACTGACCCGACAGCCAGCGCAGTAATGTGTCTGAAGCCGTAAGCCGCACTGCAAAGTCCGCGATCAACACGCCAGTAAACGTTCTGAAAGTCCGACTCCACGCACTTTCTTAGAGCTACCACGTTCGCATCCCTGCGTCCATCCTTGGCTTCTTTTTCTTCAAGTAGAAAAAGAAGATCCAAGGATGATGGTGTCAGGGGGACATGCTTGTTCTGCGGTAGCCTTAACTTTCGCAAGCATCATGGAGAGAATTCAATTGCGCAATGTCGTTCCAAAGGAGGTCGACCAATTGCCCTCTCAACGTCGTGAGGGCCACAGCGACTGCAGCGTCTTTTTCTTCTCCCACAACACCAGGTTGGGATCCGTTTTTGGCAGACTTTGAAGCATTTGAAGGCGTAGTTTTCTTGTTGAATACAACTAACACGTTTGATCCTACTTCTAAATCTTTTGCGGCCGCTTGAGCTCTCTCAGCGCGCTTTTGAGATTTGGATTTGATCTTCTTTGAGTTCTTCTTTCCTGATGCATCTCCAGCGAAGTCGGAAGTCCCAACTCCGGTCCCTGCGCTCTCAACTCCCGTTTCAACTCTTGCGGTTTCAACACCAGGAGTAGTTTCCACACCAGAAGTAGTCTCGCCCGCGTCTTCCGTATTCGAGGCACATGCGCCAATGTCAGAATCGCCAGATACGCCCTCGTCGCCTAGAGCACCGTACTTTGCCAGCAACTGCTGATATTTTCGTTTTGCTTCTGGCGTTTTCTGGTTCCTTTCGCCTTCAGACAGAGTACGGTGATCGCCCACCAATTGACGCAATCTCCTGCCAAATTCACTGCCTCTGCGTCCGACTTCCGTGAATCTGCCGGACAAGTAAGCCGCATCAGCGTATTCAAACAGGCGCTTGCCTGTTCGAATCGCGCCACTGACTCGCGAAGTTACTCCGACAACTAGATTCCCAACAAAACCGCTTCCAGGGATGCGCAACGTCCTGGGTTCCAGGTCGGGTTCTTGTTCAGGCTCAGGTACCTCTTCCTCTCCCGCTGCTTGGCCTCAAGGCTTAGAAAAATCGGTACGTCTAGTACTAACTGTTCAAATAGTTGTGATGTTCCCTTAGAGCCTTTAGAAAAGAACAGGAGCATTTTTCAGTATTAAGTAACAACTGAAGACACACAAACACGTGTTCGCACTGTAAAACACTACATGATCGCCATTCCTCATCGTAAAATAGCTGTGGTGCTGAGCCCTAACTAGGCAAGGAAGAAATACATCGAGAAAAGGAGACGTAAGAAAATGAAACAGTAAAAATGAAGATATTGGCCATCCTCCTCATAATGGCTAATACTGCAGCAGCCTTTTGTCGGAAAGTCGTTTCCCAGAGGTCCTTCAATTCTGGGCTCCTACCTGTCAACGTCTCTCCAAAACTGAAAAGTTCGGTATCCTCGATTGACATTTGGATTATTAGAGGAGACTTCGGTTTTTTTTTATTGAGTCACACGATAAATGTTGGTACTTTTTTACAAATGATTCGTTGTTCTTGTCAAACATTCTCCTTGGTACTTCCTCGGAACCCAGCACTGGATGTTCGGCGACGAAATGGAGAAAACAAGGTGTTACTTGCTCAAAAAGCACATGCCGTAAGAGTAACTCTTGTTTCTGCGCTGCTGACAACTGTTCGCTCTGGTCTTCCGATGTAGACGTGTAGCGTAGCCAAAAGTCCTCGCTCAAGAGTGGATATGCTATTTGCGTGCCAGTATTAGGAGTCGCAAGTTGACTGATCTAGCTCGCATATCCATCCGATTTTCCCTTGAGAAGCAGAAGGTCACAGAGATATGAACCCACTAGATCATAGGTGGTCAACTTCCAAGCCTTAACAGTAAGTTTGCCATCCTCGTCCACCTCTTCCACGCGGAAGAAAAAGCCTTTCCTTCCCCTTGTCGCTTTGTGAATCTTTTCCGCCAATGGGTGGAAAAAAACGGCATCCAGCCAAGAGATCCATTTCAGGAATTTGTCCAACCAAGAAGTGTATTGTGCAACCAAGTATATCCGCCGCAGGAGCGTTAGCAGGTATCCTCGGATCCGATTCCCAACACTCAACATTTTGAGAATTGCGTGTACAGGAATCCTGGCGTTGTAGACCAGGTCGAATTCCTGAAAAAGGAGAGCGAGATGGACTTCGTGATGCTTGGAACATTTGCGCCAAGAACCGCAGGTGCCCAGTTGCGACTTTTCTATGCCAAAGTCGACGTCTTTCTTCACCTCGCGAATCAAGTCCACGATAAGCGAAGAAACCTTGTGCACCCAGATCGAGGCAGGCTCGAACCGACCGCTACTGCCACTGGTGCTATCATTAGAGCCAAGGCTTCCAAGCATCCACCAAGGTTTCTAAGCACCCACCAAGGTTTCTAAGCCACTCTTGGAGATGCATTCACTTCAGATAAATGGATACCAAATCCTGCTTGATGTGGCTCATAATATATTTTCTAGTTACTTATATATATAGTTGGAAAAATAAGAGGCAAGAAAGATCACAGCAGCATCTACAGGGATGGGGAATACAAATAAATGCTCATGTTTGTGTAACCGAGCCGCCTTAACCGCATTATGATGCGCTTGCCCGTCGTGACCAAGTCCAAAGTAGTTGACCAAATCAAAAACGTTGTCCGTGAACATCAGAAACGCGTTTTTATACCAGAAACCTTTCACAAACTTCTGCCACGCACCACCAAAAATCATGTCTAGGACACTGCTTTCCTCAAAAAGTTTTTTCCAATACCTTTCTCGCAGTTTTTTTGCGGCCTCAGTGGTTTCACAGTCAGGACCACTATGCTGAGATGGCGACCCTAGTACTTGATGGGGACGCTCGTTCTGTCCTTCAGGGTCGTGTCCTCCTTCAGGATGTGTTTGAGGACGACGAGCAGCAGAATTTTTCCTGTCGCGGCCTTGTTGGTCAACACAGTTCTGACCGTCTTCTTGTGTACTACAACTAGGTCCAAACGAGAGGCTTCCCGATGATCCACCAGGCATAGGCGGTGAGAAGATCCTTGGAGGTCCAGAAGGATACGGGAGATCAAAAGCAGGATCGCCTCCGAGAGGAGTGCCAGAAAAGTAGGACACAGGTTCTTGTTCAGCAGTTGCTTCCCTGGTCGGGTGAACTGAAGTAGGAGAAAAGTACACTTGATGTAGCACAGGTTCTTGTATCTTCTGAGCAGGCATAGTCGTTGTATTCATCGAGGCTTCTTCTAGTGCTTTTTCTACGAGGAGGAATTTTTTGAGACCGCGGTCTGCTTCGTTTTCAGGATCAAACATCAAAAATTCAGCCTCAACTACTTCCTTCCATCCTTCTAGGACAGCTTCTACACTATGTTCTGTAGATCCACCCTCGTTCTTCTTCTTCTCTTTCTCAACTACCTGCGTAGCTGCCGCAAACACGCGCAACAATTTGTTCGAACGTACATGTTGCGTGCCTTTCGCGAAGATTACTTGGTTCAGGAGGGATGGTAGAAAACTTGTCGTTCCAGCGTTTTCAATGGTAGCAAAATGCAACGCCTTGCTCAACCTTGATGTTGGCGCCAACAGACTACCCAGAATGGTAGCGCTCTCGTCGGTTCCAAAAGGGCCACTGAGTGGAAAGCGCAGGACGTAATTGATCAAGTCGATGAGTGCAGCAAACGGTTCGTAATCTTTGTCGTCGTCATCTTCGTCATCCAGTCCTGCTCCTGGTGCAGCGGCCGAGCGCGACTTGGTCCTTCCTGTTCCTACCTCTTCAAAAATATCAGCATCGTCTTTAGGTTTGCTTTTTCTCTTACCACCATCTTCGTTATCCCTGGAATTTTTTCCAACGGCACCCCATTTGTCTCGAACCCATTTCGGCAGTAACCTCCGTGCAAGTTTGGTGATGCTAATGTCTCCTTTTGCACCCTTCACCTCGTTCCAGTAAACAGACCACATACCGGAATATGACAAAAGTCGATACACTGATACCAAGCTCTGTCGTTCTTCTAAGAGTAGACGATAAGAAGTGGAATCAGATGATGGATCAGAGCTCTTCTGTAAAAATTTTTCCTCGTGTTCCTTCATTTCTCGAATGCGGTCTCGGAGTTTCATTTCCACCTCCGTCTTCGGATTCGAGTGCACGGTTTGCACTTCACTGGTGCTTGTACCAACATCTGCCCCATTAGTGTCCATATTCAGCACAAAAAGCAAACCGAGTTTGGCAACGGTTTCAGCGTAGCGGAGAAAAGTGTTCTTGAACATCAGCACCAGTTCTTCTTGCTGTTCTTGACTCCTGTTAGCAGAAAATACTGCAAAAGAGGATGCAGCACTAGTAGGAAGGCCAAGCATCGGCCGTGCAGCTTTCGTCCCAACTCCAGACCCCACAGCAGCTTTCTTCACCGACCGCATAGGCTGCAAAACCGAATCCACAAACCAATCTGTGATAACGCGCTTTGGCTTTTCGAGGCCTCGTGCGGTGAACATTCGGAGGTAATCTGCGGCACTGTCCCTGGAAATATGTTTGAACGGGCGTCGTTGCCCATGCAAATACTGATTCACACCCTCAATACGAAAGAGGGGCTCGGGCAATTCCATTTCGTTGGCGAAAGTGGCCCCCCGTGTGACAAAGTCAAGGAAGGGCTTGGACCAGCGTCGTTGAGCCTTTGTTGGAGTTGTTGGAGGTTGTTGATGTTTTTGTGAAGAGCTGCGTTGAGTGGAGCGACAGGCTTGAGAAGGTTGTTGCTCTGGTGGAGGGGCTCCTGTCCCTTCTGCAGAAAGAAATTGAAATCCTGCTTCAGGAAGAAGGTTTTCTCCAGCGGTGTCGTGCTGCCAAACACGGCGTTGCCTCTTGGAGGAAACGCTTCCAGGTGCAACAGCGTCATAAACATCAACATCCATACCCACGGCCGCGCCAATTTGAGCATATTTCCTTTTCTCAGTGGTGTCTTCTTGAGCATGATGATGTCCTTGTTGTGATTCTTCCTCCTCCTCACTATCTTCCCCGCCTCTCCCAAATCGTTCGATCCAAGCATCCTGTATGCAGTCTACGAAAAATTCTACACCTTCCCACACTCTAGATTGGGAAACCAAAAACTCAGCTAGGTGCTCTTGTGCAAACGTGAAGGGCGTGTGTGCAAGTAAATTGTGTGCTCTGGCGGGATAAGAAGGAAGATTAGCTAGGGATGGAGCTGCAGGAGTTGTCCCTCGTGATGCACCGGAAGGTTGAGACTTTGGAGTGGTAGCAGATGATTTGGGACTAGGAGTTTGTGGACCTCGTTCTGCAACATCGGAAAAGGCATAGCCTTCGCCAAGTCCTAAACCTTGCCTCACAGCAGCCCAATCCTTTTGTTGTAAATAGAATTCCAAAGTTTTTCTGAACATACGAGGTCCCTCTGTGGTCCAAGTACTCCACTCATCAGAGTCTTCCTCTTGCATTTCCTCATCGCCGTCGTAATCGAGGTCATCATCGTGAGAGTCGTGGTAGTCGGCGTCTAGGTCAATATCTTCAGAGGAATTCATTTCTTCCTCTTCTGGCGTGGACACTTTCATCTCATCTTCTGGTGTGGACACATTTTCCTCTTCCGCAGCATCACGCTGGTCCCCTTTTAGACCTTCTTCTCTCTCCTCCAGTTGTAGCCCTGCTGCCTCCTGTGCTGCCTTGGCTCTTGCTGCCCTTCGCTCGGCCTTGCGCTCTGCGCGCAGCTCTTGTCTTGCTTCTTTCTCCTGCAGCTTTTTCAGCAAAGCCTTCGTCGAAGCGCTGATGCCATCATCGGCAACCTTTTTGCGCGGGGCCGAGTCGGCATCTGTTTTAACCAAAATTTTAGCAGGTTCAACTTCTAGTACTACCTCTGCTTTACCTTTGCTTCCTGGTAAAGCACCACTCGCTAACAATTTTTCCGCAAGTTTCATTTCCCGCTTTGCGACTTTCTCTTTTTTCGATGCAGTAATTCTCTGTTGGCGCAGTGCTTCTTTTTCCTTCTTTTGCTGCTGAAACTTCTGCCGCAGTTGTCGTCTCCATGCCGCTTCCTCTTCGGCTTTTTCTTTCTGCATCTCTTTTTCCGCAATGTGTTTTTTCATCATAGCTTCGAAATTGCGTAAGGACTCTTCATATGTTGAGACAGGCTGTTGTAGTTGGTGGACGACAGGAGGATTGCGTGGTTGGACAACTTCTGCTTGAAGAGGATCATGCTGTCCTTTTGTGGCACTATGGTCGATATCGTGCTGTTGAGCAGGTGGAGGCCCTGGTGCAGCTGTATGCGTACCTCCAGCTTCAGCAGAAGGAGGAGCCATATCATTCCTTTTAGCCACCGTAGGACTCAAGGAGTGTCCAGAAAAAGCTTGTTCTCTTCGCGCCACCTCGCGACCGCTAAAAGAGTCCCATTCTCGCATTAAAATCGACACGCCAGATCCAAGACTACGCGTAGTGAATTTCTTTTTCTGAAAATCGATGTTTCTCATGCGGGAGAAGCCATACAGGTGAAATCGGATAGGAACGTAGAGGTCAATAACATGATCTAAATCTTCTTCAACATCGTTGTTTTCGCTTTTGCGATCACGTTGCGGAGAAAACAAGACAGTCGTGTCTTCAACATTCTTCGGAGTACTAGATGAACCACCTCGTTGTTGCAGCTCATCAACATGATCATTTGCTTCGACGTTTACTCCTCCTCCTCCTTTTCCTCCTCGTTTCGCATCCTTCTCCCCAGCCAAGCTGCTCTTGTCCTTCAACACCTCGCTAGAAGTCTTCGCCAGATGGTGTCGGAGCATCCAGGCGGCTTTCTTGAAGACGAAGAGGCGGCGATTATCCAAAGTCCACACATTGGACAAGGCGTGTTCTTCTCCGTATACATTTGGTTCCACTACAGTTTTGTAAGACAAGTTGTCCAGGAGTGAAGAGGCGGTAGTGAAGGGGTTTTCTGGTGCTGCTGCTCCACAAGTCGCTCCTTTACTACCAGAAGCAGCACCAGCGAAAGCAGAAGCACCACCACCATTGCTACCACCACCAATAGTAGTTGTAGTACCACTAAAAGAATACAACAGCTGTTCCCGCACATCGGCATCTTTGGCTTTTAAACTGTGAATATCTAGTGGCAGAGTTTCTAGTAAAGGCAAACGAATAGAACCACCACCCGAGGGTTCCCAGATGAATTCGCTTCCACGCCAGTCTTTTTTCAGAAACACTCGTTTTCCGGCTAATTCTGTCCGCAAATATTTCTGAAGAGCTGCTTTGAGTGGGTTCTTCTTTGCAGATGATCCCGTACTAGCTCCTGAGGATGCCGCTTGCTCCGATCCTTTTTGCGTAAAATACTTCTGCATAAACGCTCCTCCTGCTCCTCCTGAAACTTTCACCTTAAACTCACGAAGTTTTTTCGTTACATCCGCGATTAGTTGTTCGCCAAATTTCTGTGCCAAGGCGGAGACCGGTCCAAGACTGTCGTCTCGGAAATACGGAGAAATCGTTTCCTGGCTGAACCGCAAGTCTGAAGCCCTCGCGAGGCATAAATTAGAGCTTCCTGGAATCCATCTTGAGTGGCATCCTGGGTTTGCTTTTCCCTTACAGGATGGTCCCAAGATGCTTCTGGAGATGGATTACCCGAAGCCTTAAACAAAACGGTATTCCCACTCATTGCCATGGATAATGCTGCGGCTGTTGTGCTGGGCGAAGATGAGGAGAAACCTTGATGGCCTTGGCGCGTAGTAGTTGCCGATGAGGATGAAAATCCGAGTTGTGGCATCCACGTTGCCATGGGTGTTTTCTGTTGCGGATCTGCTGACGCAGGTTCTTCCTGTTGTGGATGAACTGATCCTGCTGCTGCTGCTGCTGCTGCTGCTGTAGCTCCTCCTTCTCTTTCCGTTGCACCGCCACCAACAGGAGTAGAACCACCACCCTCACCAGACGAAAACTTACTCGACTCTGACCCCAGCATAGGCGTCGTCATTGTGTTGTAGAAGTTTACCCTTTCACTGAGGTCAGTAAATAACGCAGAAGCTTCATGATAAAAACGCAGGGTCTGCAATGCTGGTAGATCGGAACAGAGCGGAAGAGGATTCTGCTCCGAAAACGCAGTGTACGTAGGACCTGCCGCAGAGACGTAGCCCAGCAGATGTTGTTGAAATGTGGTGATAAGCATAAGCACTCGCGGAAGAGATACAACAGGTCGTCGTTGAGTCCTCTGAGTCGATCCTTTCTTAGTCGTAGCAGGAGACGACCCCTTCTTCCTCGTAGGAGGAAAGTGCGTACTGGAGTTGTGAAGAGCCATGGTTTTTTTGTCTTTGATAAACCTCTAAATTCACAAAAGCAAATTCTTCAAGTGTAAATGAATGGTCGTGAGGGCATGGTCTTAAAAACGATCAGAAAAAATTTCAGAGTGATTATCAAATTCTAGAAAGGGCATCCAAAACTGCTGTAACTTTTTCTTTGCCACGAGCAAGGTTGATGAACGTAATGATTTCTAGCTGAGCGTTGTTTTCAGGAACGGTATCTCTTCTGATACGTACTTTGATGCACCAGTGCGGATGTTGGCCGAACGCGAACCCATGATCATGAAGACCGATTTCAATATCTTGAGAAGCATGCTGCATGAAGATCAGATGCCGGTCAGGTGACAGTGGTCGAGTGAGGTGTTCAATTGTCCGTTTTCTCCTGTGTGTACATGTTCATTCATTCATTCATTATTAGTTGACGACTTCGGCTGCCAACTGAATGTTATTTTGTGTGCGCAACAAGAATATGGTGTTTATTGATAGGTCATGCGGCTGCAATACTCCAGTTTTTCGCCAGCAGATACCTTCATAAACACAACTATGTTCGATAAGTTACTACCCTTCTCAGACACGAATGATGTTTAAATTCAAGACTACAACGAACTTCTACGTCTAAGCTGCTTTAGTCCGATGATCAAAAATGAATTTGCGGCAGATAAAGCTTGCTTATTTGCTCAGTATATGCTAAACAAGTACTATGGAAATCATCCTCTTTGTAAAAATCATATTCATGGAGATTTGGATTTATAATTCGGGAGGGGTATTAAATAGCAAGTACTAGCACCAAGGCTTCTACTCACATAGCAACACTTCTGCAGGATGGGTACTTAATACTTCTCTACAATCAAAGTAGAGTTCAAAAGTTCAAGTGTTTTTTACTCTATACTCTTCTTCAACACTCCTACAAGGACGAGAATGAAAAGAGCTAACCCAAATTCATTCGGAGTCGTTTGTGGAGAATGAAAAGAGCTAACCCAAACCCATACTAGTTGGAATTATTTCTTACCACAACGAAGTTTTTACATTAGATTTATGTAGACCAAAAGATCAAGGTACAACGTATTATCATTGGATGAAGAACAATCGTCACACACAGAGAGTACCCACAGAGTAACCTCCACAGAGTAAAAACTTACTTCAGTGTTATCATGATGATGTGAATCTAGTCGGCAACTTCAGTGTTATCATATGACTATTAAAAAATTAATTATGGCAATCATAGTAAACAGACACTAGTACGTGTAGCTAGTTGTGCGTAACTAGACCTACAAACTTTCCAACTGCTGTACGTCGTCTGACGACTAGAATGCCACCTAGTAGTATGCCTAGTACATAGTAATGATAGTGCCCCTACTAAATTTACTGTATACGGAGGAGGACACATCACCATCAGGTGCAACTTGTACATGTGAGATCAACATAGCATTAGATTTCATTTCCACCAAGAAGACCTCGTACAGCTACAACAGCCAGTCCAGACTCTTTCTTCCTGTTCGATTCCGGTATTCGTAGACTAGTCGATGTCGCAAGGCCATCAGACCGACCCCACAAAGGACGACCAAAACGCCACATAGTCGCGCGGCGGTTACTTTTTTGGGAGTCAGTCCGATCAAACCGAAATGATCGAGTGGTAAGCTGCCCAACATTTGTCCGAGGATAATCAGGAGCCATAGCATCGCCTGACCAACGCGAGGACCAAGGAGGGATGTGGTGCAGATTTGGTTAGAAGATGTGATGAGTTTTCTACTGGCTACTCACAGGCCAAATTACGCCGATTTTTGAGAATTGTTTTCTATCGAGCCTACAACTCTGCCAAAAATTGATATTGAAGTCTCTACTACAACTTGGTAGAGGGAAAATTATTCACGCTAAAGCCATCGTCCTCTCCAAAGCCCGTAACAATAAACCCACCAATGACCCCCGTCGTCAGCATCCACATCTCCAAGGGTTTCTCCCATTTCGCTAGGTCCATCGGGTAATCTAAGCTGAGGAAAAGAAACAATGCTGCAAAACTCGCACCAAAGAAGCTGACTTGTGCACCTGCGAGCGGTGTTCCCAAAACTCGTTGTGCCGCAGCATTGACACTCGCCTGCACTGGAAGCATCACCCCGATCGAAATAGCAAGTAGTCCGTAAAAGAGTAGACTGCCAGGATGGTTCTCGTCTTTGGCGGGGTGGTCCTTAGAGGATGTGGTGTTTCTTGATGCGCACTAGCGAGGTCCAAGGTAATGGACGAAAAAGAATGTGATGAAAAATATCAAGATGCAAATTCTACGATGCAAAGATCACAGTTTACAAATTCATCAAGACCTGAAACAAAGCCAATTCATCATAACGTTCTTCCCCGCCTCTTCATCCTCTTTCGCTGTTTCTGCTGTCGACAACACAACAATGGAAACCCCACAAGCGACGATCAGCACCGAGAGCAAGCGACCTGCTGACAAAGGTCTTCGTGGCAGTCCAGCAAATCCGATGCGGTCGCACACTAAACCTGAGCACAGCTGTCCAGCGGTCACGGACATAAAAAAAGCGACTACGCGAAATTAGAGGAGAACTGATCATAGCTTCTTTTGGTCTGGTATTCATCAAAAGAAGACCACGAAGGAGAACGAATCTGCTACTTCTACTTCTAAGAAAAAACAACAACCTTTTATTTTTGATTGTCATGTATGTGTCCCTGTTATGACTGAGCTTAGTTAGTATGATCTGAGAGAGGACAGCAGCAGCACTACTATTATATCAGAGCGAGTTATAAGGTTTCACAGCTCGCATGGCATGGAGTGCATGGATCGCATGGAGTAGCATGGAGCGAAAGGGGGAGCTTCCAGCGCCCCTTAAAGCTCTGCGCTCCATGCGCCATGCGTGCTATAAACTACTCTGTTACATAAATATTTATTGCCATAACCCAAAGGAGGAATGCAGAGAAAGCCGGTTCCCACTATGAAAACACCAATCGGACCTCCTGTGCATTTCCATAGCTCTAGCTTTTCATAGCTTGTCCCCTTTTGGTGGACCAGAGAAGACTCCCTTTCGGTTTGAGCTTCTCTGCTGGTATTTTTCACGACGTTGCTGAGGTTCTTCACGTTCACTGCTTGCTCATGCGAGAGGTGTTCTACGACGTTCTTCACTGCTTGCTCGTGCGAGAGGTGTTCTTCATGATCATCTGTGCTGTTGAGAAGTAGAGCGTCTTTCCCGGCCGAGGCGAGAACGTAGCTGCCTCCTTCTTGTTCTTCAACGTGTTGTTCGCCATCCACGACAGAGACGACGAGCCGACCCACTTCATTTCTGGTAGGTCTTGTGAATCCTCCGTTAGTGATGTTGGTAAGCATAGTTGCATCACTTCTTATTTTTTCACGATCTGCTCGGCCGCTTTCTTGCTGCACCTGCTGCGCATGAAGATCTACTTTTGTTCTGTCGGCATGAAGATCTACTTTCTGTTCTTGATGTACTGGTTTGCCCACGACTGCTACGGCATTATGTTTAGCCGCCCATTGAACATTTGTGTTTTCTAGTACAGCAACGAGTCGGTCGAACTCGACACCTGCAACATCCTTTGCTGCGCGTTGAGCAATAGGTGCATAGCTCACGACGACGGATTTTAGAACATAATACTGGTAGGAGTCTATTTTTGTTGTTGCACGCCGACAAGAAGTGCAATGAGCTGTACTCAAAATTTTCACCAATATGCGATAATGACAATACACTTATTTCTACAGAAGTTCGATGTTCTACCTCTACTTTCAAAGCACCACTAACTCTACTTCCATAATCTCAAAGTAGAGAGTTTTTGATTTATCTATCATAAAGAAATGATCAGCAGCGCAGTTGTCATGTTGACCAACGTTGGAATGGCAACGCTGCCATAGACACCACTAAACTGTGCGCCGATTGCGCCATGCACAGCCAATAGCGCTCCCGCAAAAAGGGGAAGACCATAATCGAGTAGTCTTGCCGGCATATTAGAAGTTGAGGTAAATCAGATGTTAAATGAGATGTATCAATAATTTGTGCGAGGTACATGAGATTGATATGTCTAATATCTTCGTACCACCAGTAGATAATCAAGTGGAGCCAGCACTCTGTTACCTATCATTGAGGCGAAATCAACAATCCTGAATGTTCCAAAGATGTTGACGCAGAGCCTTGTTGATAAAAGGAACAGCTCCCTATCAGTTTGAAGCTTGTAAACTATTACCTGAGCAAGAGTATCACTTGTTAATGAAAATATAACCTTCGAGATTTTTTCCAAGAGCCTTAACTGTTGTTCGTGGCTTGGGCGGTCTGACGACTTCTGCCGCTGGCGTCGCGCCAACGGTTATTTCGACGCAGGAAGACGCTTGCATTTTTTGGTTCTCCAAGAAACCACCTTTAGCGACTGATACTTTGAGGCCAGAAAACGTTTGTAACTACAGAAAATATATGTTGTACTAGGACAGTTGTAAAATGACAGCAGACCCTTGGTATGCTCGTCAGTTAAAAAAATTACTACTGGTTTTTAACAAAGAAGAATCCTTCGATGACATGTTGTACAACCTGAAGAAGAAGAGTGTGCGTCTAGCTCGATAGTAGATGTAAAAGTATGTGGTCTAGTTCGATAGTAGATGCAAAAGTTAAGTATGGCAGTTTGAGTCGGTCGTTTGTGGATCTTCATTTTTGAAACGCCTCATTGGGTCTGCTCGAATTTCGTTCAACCTTCCCTTTCTCTAATCGTCTTCTGCTCAAAATTCTTTCTTCTCACTTCTCTCCACTGGCTAAACTTGCGAGACGACACGTGCTTCTCAGTATCCGCGCGAGCGACATTCTTACTTGCGAAGATGCACACTTCTCCTCGGCGAAAGGCCTTCGATCTTCCGATGATGAACAATAGATGAGCAATTTGTTAACGTTACGAGGCAAACTTGAGCGACAGTGTGGAATAGACTTTCTTCATAAGGCGAAAACGAACGAGTCCGATTTCGTCGACATATGAAGAAAGAGGTGCGGAGGAACGTGCATCGCACCACCAGTGTCGACTCGGTGCGCGACAGTGCGCATGAGTGTGGGGCCCTCGGAGTTGAAGCACTGCTACGCCAACACGCCCGGAAGTATACGGCAGAACGGGACGTGGGCTCGCGGTCTTGTGTAGTATCAGCTCACTCAGCTTGATTTCCAGACGCGGCATTCCTAGTGCGAGCCATAATATTTTCCTTCGCTCCCGATTTTTGGCTCCGACATTCCAGCTTCAGCGCCCGCGGCCTTCCCACTTTTCCCAGGCCCTTCCGCTTCCGCTCCTTTCCCCCGCTGCATTTTTTTCGGCTTCCTTCCCAGGGCTCCGGACTGCTGCTTCTAACCACCGAGCGACCCCTCCCCGGCTGCGGCCCGCGGCACCCGTTTGCAGGCCGCGGGCCCCTTGCTTCAGCGCCTCGCCTCGCCCCGCGCACCGCCCACCACCGCCGGCGCGGCTGCGTTGGTTTCTGTTTCGTTTTTCAGTTGCGGCCTCTCAGCTGCAGTCTTGTCGTTGCTCTTTTTCAGCTTCGGTCCTTCGGCTTCAGCCTTTTCACTTCAGCGCAGCTTTTCGGTTTCAGTTTTTCAGTTCCAGTCTTTCGCCCGCAGCCTTTCCGCTGCAGTCTTTCCGCCCCATCTTTTCGGTTCCAGTTTTTCAACCAGTCTCTCAGAGCCACTCTCCCAACTTCAGTCTCCTGCCTCAGTTTTTCAGCTGCAGCGTTTCAGATGCAGTGCTTCAGCCGAAGTCTTTCAGCGGCAGCTTTGCAGGTTCAGTCTCCGTTCTTCAGTTTCAGCGTGTAGTCGGTTTAGGTCTTTCGGTCTCGGCTTTTTCTCTCAGTCTTTCGCCCTCAGTCTCTCAGCCTCATGCTTCGGCCTCAGTCTCTCAGCTTCTGGCGTTTGGCTTCGGTCTTTCCGTTTCAATTTTTCCGCTTCAGTCTTTCCGCCTCAGTCTCCGCCTTTCGGCTTCGGCTTTTCCGTCTCAGTTTTTCCAGCTCAGCCCGCCAGCTTCAGCCTTTCAGAGTCAGCCTTTCAGAGTCAGCCTCGCAAGGGCAGCGCCTCCGCTTCGGTTTTTTGGTTCCGGTTTTTCAGCTTCGCTTTTCGGCCACAGTCTTTTGGCCTGAGTCGTTCAGCCTATTGCCTTCGCCTCCGGTTTTTCGGCTTCGGTTTTGCAGCGTCAGCCCTTCGGCCTTTCAGCTCTTCAGCCCTTGCGCCTTTCGGCTTCAGTCTTTCAGCTTTTCAGCCCTCGTTTTTCAGTCTCGGCCATTCGGCCCCGGGTTTTTAGCCCAATTTCTTTGGCCTTAGTGCCTCCCTTTCAGTTCCTCAGCGTCGGCCTTTTGGTTTCGGTCTCCGCCTCCTCTTTCAGCTTCTTCTTTTCCTTTTCGATTTTCAGCTTCAGTTTTTCAGCCCCAGCCCTTCAGTTTCATTTTTCAGTCTCCGCGGCTCGGGCTCTCCGATTCAGCTTTTCCGTTTCGGTTCTTCGGTTTCGGTCTTCGGCTTCGGTTTTTGAAGTCCTGTCTGTTTTTTTCGGCTCCGGTTTGTCTGCTTCGGCCTTCCCGTTTTCGAAGCTTCGCTCTTTCATTTGCGGCCTTTTGGTTTCAGTCTCAGCACTTGGGGCGACGGCCTTTCGGTTTCGGTTTCTCCGCCTCGGTCTTTCCGTTTCAGTTTTTCGCTTTCGTTTTTCCAGCTTCAGCGCCTCGGCCTCACTCCTTCAGACTCGGCCCTTCAGGTTCAGCCTTTCGGCTTTTCGGTTTCCGTTTTTCAGTGTCAGGCTTCAGCGGCCCTGTAGCTTCAGCCCTTCGGCTCCGCCGCTTTCGTTTCAGCCTCTCAGCGTCAGCGCCTCAGACTCAGCGCCTCAGCCTCGGCTTTCTAGTTCTAATCTTCAGTCTTTCGGCTTCGGTTTTTTCAGCTTCAGCGTTGTGTTCTCAGCCTTTTGGGCTTCCAGCTTCGTCTTCAGTTTTTCGGCTTCGTTTTTTCTGCGTTTCGCTTTTCGTTTTTCAGCTTCAGCCTTTCAGCGTTAGACCTCCGGCCTTGGTTTTTCAGCTCCAGGCCCTCGGTTCGTTCCAGTCTTTCAGCCCCGGCCTCTCACTCAGCTGGGGCTCTCGGCTTCGGCCCTTCAGTTTTTCAGCTTCAGCCTTTCAGCCTCCAGTCTTTCAGCCTCCGCCTTTCGGTTTCAGTCGTTCGGCTTCGGCTTTTCAGTTTCGGCCTTGCTTTGCCTCAGCATCCTCCCCTCCGTTCGGTTCCAGTCTTTCTGCTTCAGCTTTTCCGCTCCAGTTTTTCGGCTTCGGCCTGGCAGGCCCATCGCTTCGGCCTCGCTTTATCAGCTTCAGGCCCCAGCTTTAGGCTTTTAGGTTCGGCTTTTCAGCTCCGGCCCCAGCCTTTCAGCCTCAGTTCTTTAGTATCACTTTCTCAGTTTCGGTTTTCCGTTTCAGCTTTTCAGCTCTTCCGCTTCGGTTTTCGTGTCTGGTCTCAGGCTCTCTGCTTTTCAGCTTCCGCCTCGCAGTCTCAGCGCTTCGGCTTCAGCTCTTCAGCTTCGGCCTTTCGGCTTCAGAGCCTCGCTTTCGGCGTTGGCGTTGGCGTTGGCGTTCCCGTTTCCACTTCTTCAGCGTCGCCTCTTCCGTTTCAGTTTTTCAGTTTCGGCTTCTTAGTTTTAGTCCTTCAGTTTCAGCTTTTCAGCTTCGGCCCCTCAGTTTCAGCGCTTCAGCCTTTCAGCTTCGGCCTTTTCGTTTCAGTTCTTCAGTTTCGGTTTTTCAGTTTCAATTCTTCCGCTTCAGCTTTTCAGTTTCAGCCCTTCGGCCTTCGCCTTCCAGCTTCGGCGTTTCAGTTTCAGCTTTTCGGCTTCGTTCAGTGTTTCGGTTTCAGCCTTTCAGCTTCAGCCCCTCAGCTTCGGTTTCAGGCTTTCAGTGTCAGGCGTTCAGCGTCAGCGCTTCCGTGTCGGTTCTTCGGTTTCGGCCTTTCGGTTTCAGCCTTTCGGCTTCGGCTTTTCGGTTTCAGCCTTTCAAGCCTGCAGCTGCAGGCCTTCAGGTTGGGCGCTTCAGTTTCAGTTCTTCAGCTTCAGCGTTTCAGTTTTTCGGTTTCAGTTTTTCAGTCTCAGCTTTTCAGTTTTTCAGTTTCAGCCTCTCAGCTTCAGCGCTTCGGCTTAAGTTTTTCAGCTCCGGTTCTTCAGCTTCAGCCTTTCAGTTTCAGTCTTTCAGCTTCGGCCTTTCGCTTTCACTTATTCAGTCCCAGTTATTCCATTTCAGCTGTATACTTTCAGTGCTTCGGTTTCAGTTACTCAGTTTCAGTCATTCGGCTTCAGTCATTCAGTTTCAGTCATTCAGTTTCAGTTATTCGATATCAGTTATTCAGTTTCATTTATTCAGTTTCACTTACTCAGTGTCCCTTATGCAGTTTCAGGGATTCGGTTTCGGTTATTCACTGGCGGCGACTTAGTTTCAGCCATTCACTTTCAGCTATTCGCGTTTAGTTATTCCGCTTCAGTTATTCAGCCTCAGCCATTCAGTTTCAGTTATTCAGGCCTAGTTATTCAGTCTCACTTATTGAGCTTCAATTATTCAGCTTCGGCTATTTACTTTCAGGGATTCAGTTTCCGCTATTCAGTTTCAGGCATTCAGTTTCAGTTATTCAGATTCATTTACTCAGTTTCCGCTATTCAGTTTCAGTTATTACATTTTCGCTATTATATTTTAGCTATTTAATTTCAGTCATTTCATTTCAGTCATATCATTTCAGTCATATCATTTTAGTTATATAGCTTATTCGGTTGCGGTTACTCAGTTTCAGTCATTCGGCTTCAGTTATTCAGCTTCGGCCATTCGCTTCCACTTATTCAGTTTCAGCCATTTCGTTTCCGCTCTTCAGTTTCAGCCATTTGGTTTTAGTTATTCATTTGCGGCTATTCAGTTTCAGCCATTCAGCTTCAGCTATTTAGTCTCGGCTATTCGGTTTCAGTTATTCGGTTTTAATTTAGTTATTTCGTTTCAGTTATTCAGTTTCAGTCTTTCAGCTTCATTTTTTCAGTTTCGGCTTTTCAGTTTCACTTAGTCGGTTTCTGTTGTTCAGTTTCAGTTGTTCGGTTTCAGGTATTCGGTTTCAGTTATTCAGTTGCAGGCATTTGGCGTCAGCTATTCATTGCCAGTTACTCAGTTTCAGTTATTCGCTCTCGGCTATTCAGTTTCAGTTATTCAGTTTCTGTCATTCCGTTTTTATTATTCAGCTTCAGTTATTCAGTTTCAGCTATTCAGTTTCAATGGCTCAGTCTCACTTATTCATTTTCAGTTATTCAGGCTCAGCCATTTAGTTCCAGCGATTCTGCTTCAGTGATTCAGTTTTAGTTATTCAGTCTAGCTCTTTCGTTTCAGTTTTTTAGTTTCAGTTCTTCGGCTGCAGCTCTTTGGCTTCGGTTGTTCAGTTTCAGCTATTCAGCTCCAGCCATTCGGCCCAAGTTATTCAGTTCGAGGCCAAGCCTTTCAGCTTCAGCCTTTCACCTTCAGCCTTTCACCTTCAGCCTTTCAGCTTCAGCCTTTCAGCTTCAGCCTTTCAGCTTCAGCCTTTCAGCTTCAGCCTTTCAGCTTCAGCCTTTCGGCTTCAGCCTTTCAGCTTCAGCATTTCAGCTTCAGCCTTTCGGCTTCAGCCTTTCAGCTTCAGCCTTACAGCTTCAGCCTTTCAGCTTCAGCCTTTCAGCTTCAGCCTCTCAGCTTCAGCCCTTCAGCTTCAGCCTTTCAGCTTCAGCCTTTCGGCTTCAGCTTTTCCTTCTCAGCTTCATTCCTTCGGTTTCAGCCTTTTGGCTTCATTCAGCCTTTCAGCGTCGGCGCTTCAGTTTCAGCCTCTCAGTTTGAGCCACTCAGTTTCGGGCTTTTGTCCGTAGCTCCAGTCTTTCAATTTCGTTGATGCTCATAATTTTGGCTATTTATGCCTGGGATTTGCAGCAACGAGATCCAG